CTACGATATAGTATAATATAATATAACATAACATAATCCAACACATCCCGAGCTAATCGAAAGAAAAAAGAAAGAAAAAAATCGCATACCAACCGTAAATTTCATCATATTGTCCCATCATTTTCTCCAACACATACCCTATCATCCACACCAAAGATACTATTCCTGGAATACATACATATATACGCGTAGTATATACACACACCCAATCCAATCCAGTCTAGATACAAATACAAATGCAAAAAAAAAAATACCAATAACCACCCCCTACCCACAAATTTCGAAAAATCAATCTTTCTTGCGGTGAGAACACTCCTACCTAGGTACTTAGTGTTCATCCATCTATCTACCCTCTTGTTCTCTCGGTTTGTTATATTCATTATATACCTACTCAAACTGGGGATATCAAAATGGATATAAAATTGAGTTTTGAGGTCTAGATGGGAGTTGTATGGATGGATATGCTTTTCTTTCACTTTCGCTTCCGCTTCCCCTTCTCTTTCCCTTCCCTCCCTTCCCTCCCTTCCCTCCCTTCCCTCCCTTCCCTCCTCCCTTTCCTCAGCTTTCTCTCAACAAAACAGAGTAAGCATCATCAAAAGCGTTGTCGAAAGTGTCGTCATCGAGAGGAATAAACCAAATCTCTCTGATAGGTACCAACTCAGACCCTGTAAGTACAATACCCATACCATACAATTTTCATAGAGGCCCAGGTACTTACATTAGACATTCTCTGCTGCTATTTTCTCTTTCGTTCTCTTTCCTCCTTTCTTTTCTGTTCCCTCGACTTTCTATCTGTCTTTCTCTTCTTTCACTCTTTCTCATTTTCTTTCCTCTCGCTTCTTTTCTCTTTCCTCTCTCTCTTCTTCTCCCTTCTCCTTTCTCTTCGTCTTCTCTTCTCCGCCGTCCTCTCCTAGCTTCCACCTACAATCTCATCCCCCTCATCCCCAAATCTATAACTCCCTATAATAACTCCAAAAACTATAACCCCCTAAAACACAAACATCAAACACCCTTCAGAACAAATAATAATAAATAAATACCCCAACCCCTCTCGGTTCCTTCGTCGCTTCTCCTTCTCTCTTTTTCCTTCGCCTTCTCGGCTTTTCTTTGCGCGCTTTGCCTCTTTTCCCTCTCCAATAATAGCATCCATAAGAACATCATCACTCTATATTCCTCCTCTCGCCCCGCCTCGCCTTCGCTGCTGTACGACTATAGCCAATCGCTCCTCATAAGCTATCCAATACAATCCACCAGTAATTTCTCTCATCTCTTCCAAGATTACCAATCACACCTTCCAATCACACAACACACCCCCAAATACTTGCTAATACTACTTTCTGCAAAAATCAAATCGCATCAAATCACATCAAATCAAATCACAAACTCAAGCTCAAGCTCAAACTCTCCCGACTTCAAAATAATAACACCATTTCCCACATTCCAGAATCCAATATTCGAGAAAAAGATATTTCCTCCTTCCTTCCCCATACACACTCCTCCCATCTACCTACATCTACCTCTACATCTCTATTTCCAGCTACCTATCTACCCACCCACCCACTCACCCCAAATACAATCATCCCAATTTCCACTTCCTCCACCAAATACCAAATACCAAACACCAAACCCACATTTACACAGATACAGGTACACACAGACACCCTTCCCTCCTCCTCTCTTTCATCCCTCGACCAACTAAAAGTAGCAGCTGAACAAACGAACAAAACACACAAACATATATAACAAATAAACGAGAGTATTACAAGATTACGCATCTGGGCTGCGTTACTTATTTATCACTGATTAAATATATCTTATTATAAATAAGAATATTGCAATACGAGTGGATATATGTACGTGAGTGCTAGCCCATTAGTATACGCATGTAGTTTTTATAGTTCTAGAATCTACAAGAGATTAAATAGTATATTAATAAACATAATATGTGTACTTGTTATGAAGATATTATAATTACTATCGAGGTGATATTAATAGATGAATAGCTATCTACTCGTAGTAAGTATGTAGATAAGTATGTAGGTAGGTAGATGAGAAATAGGGAATAAGTAGGTAGGGAATAAAGCTTTCCATGAATAAAAAGAGGAAGAAAAAAAAGAAGAAGAAAGAAGAAAGAAGAGAAATGATTGAAATGATTGAAATGGTTAATGGATGCGGAGGTAGGCACTGGTATATATATATATCAAAACAAACCCCACCCCCAATAAAGTCAAAACTCCATTCCACATTTTCCAATCTTTTGCTCTCATTTTTCCTCTCATATTTATATCATTCTATCGCATCCTTCTCACACAATTATATAGATCAAAAAGAACAAGAAAGAATAAGAAAAAAAGAATAGAATAAAATAATGAATAGAAGAATATCGAGTATCTATTTATTTGTACTAACATAATTTATCAGTATATAGACTATATCAGTATATAGGCTACTTGAAACATATCAAAATCAATTCTTTTTCAATATTCTTATTTTAATAATTGATCATTATTTTGAAAAAAAAAGAACAAAAGATAATAATAGAAAATAAGCTTTTTATAAATCTAGTATGTATATAAAAATTCCTATTATTTTATAAAGAAAGTGGAAATTGTTACGATTTTCGTTACAAAAATATTATTTCTATAATTATTATTATAATAATTCCATTTTCCAATAAATGTTTCAAATTTTATAATATTTGTATAATTAAATTTTCAAATTTTCAAACCTTATAAAATTGTATTATTAAATAAAGAAAGTGCACGGTTACGCACAGACGAATTTTGTATGCAAAAAGGGGTGGCCCATATAATGATATAACCTACATGCTGATAAACTACGTTATATATAACGTGGTTTATCAGTGAGCGGGTTATATCAATAAACGGATTATTTCGAAAACCATCTAAATCAAGCTTTTTAAAATATTAATATTTTAATAACCAATCATTATTTTCTTGACTAAAAGATCTTAAAAAATAATTAAAATGTAGGTTTTCTATTAATTTAATTTTTATAAAATAATTTTATTATTTTTTTTAAAAAAAAAGGAAATTGTTATGATTTTCATTACAAAAAAACTATTTTTATAATAACAATTTTATAAATTCGAATTTCTTAAAACTAATTAGATTTTTAAAATTATTTTATATTCAAATATTTTATATCAAATTTTTAGAAAATTATATTTATAAATAAAAAAAGTGTATAATTATATATAAACAAATTTTATATATAAAATAAGTGATTAATTTATTGATATAACCTGCTTATTGATAAACCACGTTATAATTGGGAAATATCTAGATTATATATGTATCAATAGTTATGTGTAATTTTTTGCAGATTTGATTTGATATATATATAATATACTAGGTGAGGTGTTGAATTGTTGGATACACGGAATAGATTGGGATTGCGATTTTATGGGATTTTAGGGGATGGATGGATGGATGGATGGATGTGTGAGGATGTGTGAGTAGAGTATGTGTTAGGTTAGATTAAAGTAGGTTAGGTGGTTGTTAGATAAATAGATATCGTGGGTAGGAGATGGATATCTATCGCGAAATAGCGATATCTCGGGACCGAGAGCACGAGATTGTGAGGCTTGGTAGGGCAGATGAAGGGCAGATGAAGTGGGTTGTTTGGCGAATACGATGGGTCGTCAGTGTGTATTTTGGAGATGTGATGTGATGTGATATGCTAGAGATATTGCGTACGAGTACGAAGTATGGAGTGTTGAGGGGAGATGGGATCTTGGTATCTCTCTTGATATGATGGTATGATGGTAGAAGGGAGTGAGAGGTGTGAGAGGTGTGAGATGAGATGAGATGGGGTTTTGAGATTGAGGATTTGGAGGTGAGGTGTTGAAGAAATGGAAGAAATGGAAATGGAAGAAATGAATGGATATGTGGTGAGTGAGTTATTGACCTTGACTTAAATACATACATACATACCTAGATGGGTATCCAATGCGAATTTACCTACCTAGATACTCATAGTCAGAGAGAGATTGCCAGATTTGAGTTGTGTACACTGTACGAGTATAAAGTATATATATATATAGAAATATCTAAATATAACTAACTGTATGAGTTGATTATCAATAACTCGTCAATTTTCGAATTTTATTATTAGATAGATTATTATGAATTGAGATTCGAGAAGAGAAGATGTTGATTGGTTCTTTGTTAAGGTTGTTGATAAGGTTACTTTCTTCCATGCATGTTATTAATAATCGTGTATTGGCTCGACTGGTACTTGTACCTGATAAAATGGAAAATGTTGAAATGTATGTGGGGTAAGATGGATCAATCGGTGTACGAGTGTCGAGATAAATTTCAGGGGTTTGATTGCTGTGTTACGTAACATGTGTAGATGAAGTTAAGTTATTATAGAGTTTGAAAAGGATTTGTGAGTGATGAAGTGAAGGGAATGCATGTGGTGGATAGGATGGATGGATGGATGGATGGATAGGAAAGGGTTTTTTGAGTTATGCATAAGGAGTAGGGCGGTCTTGGTATTATGGGAGTGGTGCTTGGTATTTGGATAGGGGGTTAGGGTTTAGGGAGAGGGTTGAGGTTGGAGATTGGGGATTGGGGTTTGGGATGAACGGGAGTTGGGATTGATTGATGGTGGGTGAATGGATGGATGGATGAATGGATGGATGGATGAATAGGGAGAAAGGGAGGGAGATATTATAAAGTAGAAAGTATAATAATCTATATTCTGTACATCAACACATACCTATGTCTCTATATCCTTATGTATCTATGTCCCAACTACTCTGTACTCCATCTCCATCTTCAACCCCAATGATAGATAACCCCACACACTTCACATACTAACTAGGTAGGTGAAGATTACATATGCACATGCATACTCAGACTCACACGTGACATATCAAAACCAAAAACAAACTTTTAATCTTGAAAAGAAGTGGGGAAGATTCCTAACACTAACTCCCTTCAAGTATAGTATGCTGTACTCTCCTACTCTAATCACGTTTGACAGCGGACGGCTCGTACGTCTCTTTTCTTTTCTTTTCTTTTCTTTTCTTTTCTTTTCTTTTTCATTGTTTCTTTTCGTTCGGAGTCGGAAGAAAATCTTCCTTTGTGAAAACATACTACACCCTGATTGGATTGAATTGAATTCATCATGATTATCTCAATCTCGAATTCGAAATCAAAATCAAAATCGAGAAACGCAAAGGATTTATTAGCATCGGTACTCGCACTGTTAGTCGATATGTAGTTAGTTTCGTTAGATCGTTAGTGGAGCTAGGGAGACGTAAGCATGAATGAATGTTTCGGAACGTTAACCTGTTGTCTAGAATTAGAATTAGCATGAGCATGAGAAGGAGAACTAGAATGCACACTAGAATATCCAAGCGCCGCCATACTATCATTCATTGCATAAGTTTCATAGGGAAAAATAAAGAAGAAGGTGAAACGTTCCAGCGAATCTTCAAAGGCTGAGTTGATTGAGTGGATGAGATGGACCGGTTGGTGCAAGATGCGAGAGATACCAAGAGATTGAGAAATTACCAAATCCACCCTTTGGGCTTGGACTGCGAATCACAAAATTCCAAGTCGGATGTCGGAAGGGAAGGGAAGGGATGGGATTGATTGAGTAGTCTGTAGACTGTAGTACATATCCATAATCGCCATCTTCGAGTACTACCAAGCTGTACGCAGGAGAGGAGAGGAGAGGAGAGGAGAGGAGTGTGGAGGATACGGCTACAAAGTACTGATTCTCATTCCGATGGAGTTTCTCATCTTCTATACCAGTACTTTGTATGCTGCTATTCATATCTCCGCTTACATCCCCTTTTAGATAATTCCCTCACATTGTCGCAGATCTACAATTACTCGATACTTCTATGTAAACTCTAAATCTACACAACTCAATTCAATTCAATCATCCATCTACGAAGTACGAGATCTCCCATCACATCCATCTCTCTTCCAATGACGTGATGTCTGGAATAGATAGCCACTCTTCAAGGACATACGCATACGTAAACCCTAGTCACCCCGGGAGAAGAGAAGGAGCCCGGCATTCAGTTACCAGATACCAAGACTCTAGCTCACCCGCCGAGCAGCTAACCACCTAGTCGCTACTTAGTACCTCCCTACCTAGGGCAAACCTCGACAGCACGAGCTTCGGTCTTGAGATCCCAATCCGATTTTACCATTTTACCTATGATCTAGCATTCATCCACATCCAATTCGTTCATGCAACCTACCTTGCCTTTTATGCTTGTTATCCGATGCGATGCGTGCGTGCGTGTTACATGTTTTTTCCGTGCAGTGCAGTGCAGTCTGGTGCTTGCTTGATTTCGTGAATTGAGTTTGGTTTGATTTGATTTGATTTGATTAGATGGATGGGATGAGATGGATCGATTGATTGGAATTAATTACCTGGTCCCTAATTAGTAGGTCGACGAGGGGAGATGTGCATATCTTTACCAAATAAATTACCAAATACCTGGAAGGATATATACATACAGACCCCATACATACATACATACATACATACATACATACATCATTCAATCATTGCCTGTCTCGAGCCTGTCTACTCACGATTGTACTCCCTCCTTCGTTCATCTCATATTATATCGGAGGACAGACAGATCCGCTTTTCCTTCATGACCTTCTTTTCAATTCTCCATGTGTTACCGGTACATATAATCAGTGCCTAGATATTTGAATTGGATTTGGATTTGGATTTGGATTTGGATTTGGATTTGGATCTTGATCTCAATTTGATTTGATTGAACCCAAGACTTCTTTTCATTTGATCTTCCATTTTGATTTCATTTTTGTTTGATCTCTCTTCTCAACTTTCTCCATCTCAATCAATTGGTTGAATACTTAAGATCACGACATCTTTTCTACAATACACTCATTCAATTCCTACACATAGAAAATTCTTTCTGCAGAGATTCATTTCTATCTATACACTTGGCGAAGATACCTGCCTCATTTGCAGCAAACGGTCGGGGGATAGATAAAGCAGGATAAGAAAGAGTGACGGGCTTCTTCTTTCATATCTATATCTATATACCCAGGTACCTACCCAGGTATCTCTCTACATGGTCTTTCGATCACCTTCTTGACCAACTTTTTCTTTCCTTTTTTTCTTCATTCATATATTTTTCTGTCGAAGAATTCTTTTGTAATTGTCCAATTCCAATTTGAATGCATCTCTGGTCGATGAAGGTGGAGTTTGAGAAATTACAAAGTTTACAAGGTTACTCTTGGTCGAACGTCAAATCATCATCAAATCCTCATCATCGTCATAATCATGTCGGTCAAAACGGAAAATGTTAAATGGGTTGATGTAAGTTTTATTCATATTGGATTGCTCTATATTTATTTACTCAATTGATCCATCACATCAATTACATCCCTCAATATAAATTCATCACATCTAACCAAAATAAAAATACAACAGGGCCTTCGAGGAATCGCATCCCTCCTCGTAGTCGCAACTCATATCGCACGAGCCTTCGATCCCGATCTCTTCCTCCCCAGTTCCGGCGAAGGACTGCGTCCACGTCTCCTCCAACTTCCCATCCTGCGCATTCTCCCTCAAGGTCGCATTGGCGTCACCATTTTCTCCCTCGTCACTGGATATGTCTGCGCTCTGAAACCCATCCGCCAATGTCGCGCGGGTAATCAAGCGGCTTCCTTCAATACGATTTCTCGCTCGGCATTTCGACGGGTACCGCGTCTGGTTTTACCAACCACCATCGCGACGACAATTATTTGGTTCCTGTGTCAGTTTGGGATTTATAAGGTGGCCAAGAGATCGGATAGTTGGTGGATTGAAGCGACGAGTCCGGATATCACGCCGTATTTTGGAGATGCGGTCAAAAGTTTGTTGTATCATTTGATTACGACGTGGACGAGAGGGTGGAATATTTATGATGGGAATCAGTGGACTCTGTTGCCGCTGTTGAAGGGAGCGATGATGGTTTATGTTTTTATGTTGGGGACGGCGGGTATGAAGGCGAGGTATAGAATGATGTCTAGTATGGCATTGTTTGTTTATTTCTATGTGGCGAATGATTGTAAGTTTTTTCTTTTTCTTTTTTGGTTTGGGATTGAATTGAGTTGGACTGCATTGGATTGGATTTTCCATGATTTCTTCTTTTTTTCTCAATGAAAATCACTCAAATACTAATTATCCCTCAGCTGCATTTGGAATGCAATTCTTCTTTGGAACATTTCTCTCCGATCTCTCTCAACATCCACCCCACATCGAGTGGCTCAAAACCGTTACATGGCCCCGCTATTACCTGGCTCCCTCACTCATTGTCCTCGGTTTAATCTTCGCTTCGTACCCTGAAGGAAAACCGGAACTCCAAGCCTGGTCACAATCCCTCTATAATCTCTCACTCTGGATTTTCCCCAACGATCCTGATGTGCCTCGTTTTTACTCGGGACTCGGTCTCGAACTCATCGCGCTGGGAATTCATTTCTCTCCCCTGTGTAAAGATTTCCTCGCGAATAAATATTTACTCTGGTTTGGCAAGAATTCGTTTGCGGTGTATTTGATTCATGGGACGCTTTTGAGAACGTTGTTGATTTGGATGCTGTATGGGGTTTCGATGCCCGAGGATTCGGTAAATGAGAATGGAGAGACGGTAAGGGGGGTCCTGCATATGTGTGGGAGGCTTAGGTGGTATAGCATGTTGTTGGTTTGGTTTGTCATTCTGTATGCGATGGCAAATGCCTGGACGAAGTGGGTGGATCCGTGGTGTGGGAAGGTGACACAGAGGTGGGAGAGATATGTTTTTGAGGAGGATGGAGCGAGAGAGGTGGTGGTGGATGCGAGGGGGAAGAATGAGGGAGCTGACAAGGGATTGTTAGGTTGAGCGGAGGCATTTGTGTGTATGTATTTCGAAAATTGTATGCTCTAGTGTGTTATACAGGAATTTTTTAGTTTTTTTTTGAGAATCTCATTTGTTGAGGTGGAATCATTGTTTGATGAATGAATATATGCATGGATTGATGGATGTATAGATGTATAGATGTACATAGGTATGTATACATGTATACATGTAAACCTTGGTGAATACAAAACAAATGGAAATTATTTACTCTCTTTCAAGGTTACTCTATTGCTCTATTGCAATTCTCATTTAAGAGAGATTTCACTCGAATTTGTGCTAAGGGAATTAAGATACTTGCTAGTGTTTGCACTTTGCGGAGGAGTAGAGCAGAGTAGACTTGGGCTTGGGCTTGGGCTTGAGTTTGGGCTTGGGGAATATTAGATGGGTTGTGAGGGATGGGGATGGGGATGGTACTGAAACTGAAACTGTATATAATAGAATGATCAAAGGGAACCAACGAATAGATAGATTACTTATATAGATTTTAAAGATTTTTTTGGGATTGGTATAGAGTGGAATGATTGGATAGATAGGTTGGGGATAGGGTAGGGGATGGGATGGTATGGTATGGTATAATATGTGATTATAGATTGTAGATATTAGATATAATAATATTCTTGTGTTGTGTTGTGTTGTTAATTCTTTTTCTCTTCTTTTCTTTTCTTTTCTTTTTTTTCACATCAGACTTGGGAATATTTTGGAAGATTGGAAAATCATTCTTTATATTCACAAGGCATATCGAATATCGAAGATTGCAAAGTTGCGAAATTGAAGATTTATAGTATAAGATCTATGGATGAAGTGGGATATTTCTCCTCTCCTCTTTCTCTACATGGAAATGAATTCTGTTATTCAGATGTAATACTAAATGAATCCTTTCATGATATTCTGCTCTTTGTGTTTTTCGGGTTTTGAGTTCTGGGTATGGGGGTAGATGGATGGATAGGTGGATGGATAGGTAGGTAGGTAGGTAGGTAGATATATAGATTGATAATGGATTCACAATTGGATATCTTAGGGTTTCGACCATGGAAAAGCTCCACAGTAGAGTATTTAACAAAACTTCAAGGTTAAGATTTACAGTTCAAAGTGCTTTATTTTTTTTATATCCATACAGGAAGTAAAAATTGCACCAGCAACTCATTCCCTTCACCACCTCTTAATTTTTCGACAGCTTTACCTGCTCATCGATGGGGCGACAGCGCTTTGTCCTTGTTGATTTGAAATCCGTTGATGCTGTGTGATTCTTGTGGTACAATCGATAGATTCGGGAAGCAGAAAAAACCAGGCTTGGTTGGATGTGGTTCAGAGAATTTTTTCGATAGTATCATGATGATCTTATATAGTATGGTAACCAAAGGTTTCTCTTTTTCGACTTTAACTTCTGATATCTCGCTTGCAAATCGACCTGCGATGAAGTCAGTTTTGAACGCTACCGAGTTTAGGATGGTGGAGAAAGGGGTTCGGAGTTGTAAATCCTAGAGACCCAGCAAAAAACAAAATTCGGCTAGAAACAATTTATTCATGTCTGTTCCCATACCGTTGGTAGTGTAAATTTTGGAAGGGGATTACTCCTTGTAGAGTCGATATGCTCTTTTTGTGTGATGATCTAGCAACGCATCTCCATGTAGTCTTGGTGAGGTGGCTCCGAGTGACTCGGAATGTAAGATTACAAATTGACCTACACTGGGCTTGTGAATTTTACACACGAGAGCAAATTCAATCTGAATTTGTGACGTGAGTAATGGTAGCTTGTGCGAAGTCTTGTTGGCGCTTCCTAGAAGCGTCGATGCTAATTGCTGGTAAGTCTACATCGGATCATAGGTAAGCGAGTTCGTGACTCGTGGGTATGGGAATCTGGCTTGCAAATTGCAATACCGCTTCTTGAAACTCTTGGTTAGGTATGAAATTTGTTCCCTAACTGTCATGGTTAGTTTTATACAGAGTGTGTGAATTGGAAAGAAAGTGGCTCACTCGATAATATAGCTCAGTCGTTGATAAATTATGTTATGTGATTTCTTTGGTACTTCCGCCACGTAGATTTACCATAAGTGTTCAATTAGCGTCGTGATATGATTTGTTCAAAGGCTATAAGTGGGGACACATTTTGATGCATTTCACGTTACTTGCTTATTCAATCATTATATAAACACATTGTTATTACAAGCGCTCAGAAGTTTTCGAATATAATTCCAAGTCCTCGTACATACTCATGACTTTCCCCCGAGCCTTCTTGTGGGATACATAGAAACTTACCATCAAGCCCTTTTCCGAAATTTCTATATACTACAAATGTATTCCCACGAAATATGATAAGTTTACGTATTCAAATAATACAAACGAGAAAATTGCAAGGATGAAATGATTAAGGGAGGTAGGCAGAATGAACTTAAAACCTTCAATCCTACATATATATACACCAGAAGGCGCCCAAAATTAGCTAGCCACCTTGGTCATCAAAACGAGTTCACATTCGCACGATTTAGATAGCTTCTCACAATACTACTTACAAAGACTTCCACGCTTCTAATTAAATTTAAATTGCTTCCTACCCCTCATAAGTTTTCCAACGACTGTAGAAGTCAGAGAATCTCAATGTTAAAAGGTGTGGCAGTACGACATCGGTAGTTGAAATACGCGTATTCAGTAATATTCGACCCGATGTCGACCCGCTAATTTGTGACTCCTAGGTTTTGGCGAATACTTGTATCTGATAGTGGTCTGACTTTTACTAAAATATTTTCTCAGATCAAGGAATATAATTTGTCGATTATTATGCCCTTGTATGCGTTTTCATGCGCCACGACTAGAATCTACATGATAATAGTATGTTCTAAAATCTATTTAACTGTTCTCTTGCTCGATCTTTTCCGGAAATATCTACATCCACTGCCTTTCATTCATGGAATGCAACAAGAATCTCGCTTTGTCTAACATGTCATTCAATCCTTTCGCCGCACCAGCATGTTCATCGCTTCCTGCGCCAGATCTCTTCGGAGTCATGATCCTCCCTTTCAAGACTGACCAAGTCACTAATTACACTCTCGTCATCTTGATGGGTCTATACATGAATGATGGAGCTGTCGAAATTCAAGCAGCTAGCTTTTGCAACTTCTATATAGTTATACTCATCCCGGTCTTAATGATACAGTCAATGTACAAGTCTACTTGCCATCTACAGAATGGAACTGTCGGATGCAAGCCATTGGAGGTGGAAGGCTGGCCTCAACTACGTAGCTTTGGCTGGCATAGCAGCAGAGATAGGTTAGGGCTACGTATCTTTGTCTATCGATTCTGGTTTGGGAACTAGTAATAGCGCGACTTAGAGCCTTTCGAGTCCGGGAATCCCAAATCGTAATCTCCTGCAAAACCTTGCCTCAAAATCTCCTAACGTCCTTGCAATTATTGGGAAAGACATCACTAACAGCTACTTTGGTACACCACTAGTCTACTAGTATTGGAACGGCTGCTATCAAAGCGGCCGTCAAGGTATGATGCTTGCTCAAAGGTTTCCTGAGGCTTTTGACGAAATCGCAGCTTCTGCACCGGCCATTAATCGGAGTGGTATATTTGTAGGCGACTTATGGGCTCATGTCATATTGAATACTATGAAATCTACTCACACATGTGCAAGATGCAAGCAATTACCGTAGCAGCTATTACAGCTTGTGATGCTAACGACGGCCTTGCTGATGAAATCGTCGCAGATCCTGATTTCTGTGGTTTTGATCCTACTACTCTAGTTGGCACCACCATAAACTGCACTGAAATCGGTGAAAACTTTACGGTATCTTCTGGAGCTGCTTATCTTACTCAGACTAGGTGGGATGGTCCTAGAAAGTCGGACAATAGTTCTCTTTATTTTGGTCAAAAACTAGGCATCAAGTGACGACACTTCTGCGGGGGGATTACTTACTCTTACCGCATGTTCAAGCAACGGAACTCGTACGGCAGATCCACTATCTCTTCTACTTCCGTGGATAGCGAAGTTTGTTCGCATAGACGACAACACCGATACCTCAAGTATAACACGCCAGGAATCTGTTCAGCTTTATCATTCTTCCATCAATGAGTGGTCTTCTATCATAAACACCAACGACCCAGACCTTTCACGATTTCTTGCCCGTGGGAGAAAACTTCCCACTTACCATGGACTGGTCAGTTAATCATTTTACGTTAAATTCTCCAAATCAATCACCAAAAAGCAACTAACAATAATACAGGCTGATGATATTACCCCTCCTAACTCAACCACGAGCTATCACGATTCCGTTACCGCGCTCGACCCAAACCTACACGATTTCTATAGAGCGTTAATGGGCTCCAGGTATCGCTCACGGCTTTGGCGGACCTGGTACTTCCACAGCTGATACCTTCTATATTGTGCGTGCTTGGATTGAGAACGGTAGTTTTCCGGATACCATGAACGCCACCTTTCCTTCAAACAAGACTACAAAGCGTACTATCTGCCCATATCCGCTCAAGTAAACCTAAGATGGTGTTGGAAATGCTACTACGACTGAGGGATTTCCATGCCAGTATATCCTGGAGAGTGTTGAGTTGTGCCGACTTGCTATTCTTGCATTAGAACATATTTCCCCTTTTTCTCTTTATCAAACTAGTTTCCCCAACACCGAGCTTTATTTCAAAATCGGCCTTAGTAATATAGAATTTGATTTTGGCGATTACCTGAAAGGCTGGTGTGGAATCACATTTTGGAAACAGGCAAGGAAGCCTCGAAGCAGAGTATTATATTCCCGATCATATGGCTGACTCCGCGGATCAATGTAAGGCTTTTGATGGGTTAAATGTTGTATTTGGCATCTAATAGCGCGGGTTGTAGAAAGATGGTTTAAACACTTGTAATTATGAATGTCACAACACGGTTGCAGTTGATTGTCGAGATCTACGTGAATTCTTAATTTGCTTTCTTGATTTAATTTCACTGAGCATATATCAGAAATCTCATTTAGTACCTCAATTGGACTAAACCAAGCATTGTTTACTTATCCCCGTGAAATCGTAGGCAAGTCAGATTATGCACCTCAAGACACTAATAGAAAGCAGAAGTTCATTCAACTTCACACCAGCGAAATCCAAATACTAGCCTAGATGTTCAAACCCGATTGATTCCCTTTACCATATTCCTACAAAGGTTTTCTCTTCATCTTGATCATCCCTCTATCACGAATGTTTCATTTCTTGATACTACCTCTATCCTCTTTCACGACTTCATCCATCCACAATTATTATTCACTCTCACAAACCAAGACTCAAATTCACAAACCCGAACCCCTCATCCCTCATTTCCGACCTTCCCCAAGTTCACAACCTAATATATCTGGTTTTTCTATGATACAACTCTCCTCACCCCACCCGAGGCCATGCGAGGCTATCCGAGGTTGACCCTTTACCCCTCCATGGAAAGTTCCCGAATCCTTTTCTTCAACAATAAATCCATTGGAACTGAGAATATCATCTCATGTCTTGTTGCATGAAGGCTGTGGCATTGAAATATTTCTTAAAAGTTGCCCGGGTGATTCACCCAAAGGAAATTTTTCTTTGAAGAAAACTCTGACATGGGGTTAGGGGAAAGGCCGAAGGCCGAGTGGTGAATAGTTGATGGATGAAAGATAAGCAAAAGGTCATCTGAGGCTGTGAGAGAAAACTTCTTGCGCTTGAAGAGAATTTGAGGTTGAAGCGGCGTGGGTGGAATTGGAAACTTGAATTTGAAATTTAGGCCATGTGTTGCGCTTGTGCTGTTGAATATTAGAGTTGAAGATGGCGCTAGAATCTGTAATTACCCTTTCAGGATATCAATTTTATTAGTCTTAATTATCAAATATGGATCCCAAGGCTATGTAGAGTATATTTATCTTTCGATGAGGGTATATCAAGAAGTCAAGATACCGCAGAAGCAGATCATCCCGTGAAGATATTTCAGGGGAGACGTAAACACCGAGAATCAGCATTTCGAAAAAAAAGTTTTTCTCTATGAAATGGAAAATTATCAGATAGATTATCTAGATTCTCGAATACAGATTTAGATGATTAAAATAATTATTCCTCAGACTTGAATCTAAAGACGTAATTATACTCGAGTAAGGATTTAGAAAATCTAACTTAAAGAGTATGTTCTGCTTTACTTCAATATAATTCTGGAAATATTGATTTCAAGAACTTGGAAATACTTGAAATAGTTAGAAGACATGGGAAATGAGTTAGAAAAGACTTTCAAAATACTTTGTAATTGAATACAGAGAAATAGATACTATATAAAGATATTTACTTTTAAAGATAGCTCGTTTTATACTTACAGAGACTAAACTTAATAAAAACTTGAAGTTACTCTTTTTTTCTCTTAGTATCTCCTTTTTAAAGGGATAAATAGTTCTTTATGAATATAGTAGAGAAAATTCCTTTCAAACTGTATAAAGTTCTCTACTTCGAGTATATCTAAGAGAGATTAGAGTTTATCTTATTTCTTAGAGTAAATTACTCTCATAATCTATACAGACTATTTAATTACTCTTATGCCCGTTAGATTTCATAAAAGAATCTATTCATTCTAAAATAGATTCTATAGATATATTTATCTTTGATTTTCTCATAGAGAAAATTAGAAAAGATTAATATTAGCTAGAATCCACATGGAATCTAGAGAGTATAATAGTCTTTAAATGACTTTTAAGGAACATAAAGTTTAATTTATTACATTTATTGATATATCATATTTTTCATAAATGAAACTCTGGTTGTATAGATATAGATAGTGAATTCATTACTTGAAATAACATTACACGAGAAATAACGAAGTAAGATGAAGGGGTTCTAGTAATAGAATTAGGAAACATTTGAATTTAATTATTCTTTTATTCTATTAAATGTAGAATCTCTATATGAATCTAGAGAAAGTAGAATATAGATCGAAACTAAACTTAGAAATAATAATACTTTTAATTAGTTATGTATAGCTAAAAAAAAGCTCTAAAGTACTGGAGCTTTCTAGATAGTTTTGTATTACTTAGCTTAAAGCGAGATAAACATCATTAAATAGGTAACGATATTACTCTTTTAAAACTCAATTGAAGTTCTATTAGATTAGACTTAGTAGTCTAGAGGGTATTCAAGATATAATATATGTTATTAAGTGATTCAAGGATATATCTACATGCTAATAATAATGATTGATTTGTAAAGAACATCTTTAAGGTATTAATTGGCTTTACTCATTCTTTTCAGCTCTATCAACTACTGCAATCATGAAAATAATACGTAATAATAATCGTAATTAGATGGCTCTATAATCTAATCGAGTTAAAATATGAATTTCTGAGCGATTCGAACGTGGAAATAAGCCGCATCTTCAGTCATTGAGTACTTGGAGGCGCAGTCCAAGCAATACCATCAGCTATCAAGGTTTCCATTTGTAAATGAGCTACTCAAAGAGTTCTCAGCCGCGTGACGGGAGTTTGCGTGATTTAGAGAAGAGTTAGCGTCGACTTTAGCCTCGGGACTCGGCTTAAGCAGCGAACAACATCGTATCATACGATATCTAAGCTTTATTATTGGCCATTGAATGATTTAGACGCGTGTTGAAGCTTGTTTTGACCTCAGTGCATGATTTGAATGATGGGGAAAGTCACCTTCAACAGAATTGAAGCAAGAGTGTACATGCTAGGTAGAATTAGATTGAATCCGGTTCATGACAAAAAGTGAATGATTTATTTCATCATTTGAACATACTTTTGCGCAGTATTATTGGTCATTCCAGGCATTTCTAGCCACAAAACAGGCCATTGAGTGATCTAAATACGTCTCGTCGCTTCTAGTGATCTTGAAGAGCAGCAGAGAGAATTTTGTTGAATAAAATCGTGGCAGGAGAGCAGTTTTGGATGGGGTCATCAAACAACCTACTTTATCGCATAAGGTGAATGATTTCATTGATCACTTGGAAGTCAAATCAAGCTTTAGTGCAGGCCACTAGGCGATATTGAGGCGGCTCAGCCTTAGAAAAATAAGTCGTTTAAAGGTTTAGCGGCGTTTTGAAGCTCATTTAGGCCCTGGAAATGGATTTTGGCGGCATAAGATACACCCCTGTATACATCGCTGCCGTAATAATGGTCATTTACTAGTTTAGACATGAATCAACTGTTTCTTTGACCTCAACAATTGAATCAACGGCAAGGAAGGTTCCGTATAGTAGATTTGAGGCGGGGTTAATGGTCTAGCTTGCTGAGATTTCCAATCAAGACTTCTATTTAAGCTTCCCCCATTGATCTGTAAACCTGTTCCTGTTTCTTCTTTCCTACATACTATTCCTCTTCCTTCAACCATACCCTTCTTTTCCCTTTCAAGACCCCTCTTACTACAAGATACTTCAACTAGAACGTATCTTTCTTTGTCTACCCTTGTGTTTCTTCAAGGAGTCCCGTTCTTCCAACCATCCTCGTTACTAGAAGTTCTTCTTTCTACGGCATTCTCGATCTCGGAATCGACGTCTAGTTGCTCATATCGCACGAGGTTTTCACAGTAAGTATCTTCTAGCCAATTACACGTACTTCCTTTGTCTTTTTACTAACTATTTTACTCTCTAGACCTTGAATTTCAGATTCAGCGTCGTTGAACTACATTTGTTCTCCCACAGTAAGTTTCTCTTGGTTAGATAAGGCAATTTCATTGAGAATTTGCTAACTATTGTGCTCTCCAGTCCTTCGACTCTCCAACGTACATCCTCCTATCTACCTTGAAACCTCTCTCGAAACCCCTCCTACCAATTTTACAATGGATCCGTATCAGAATCAAGGCTATGGAGGCAACCAGGGCTGGACTGGTGGTGCATGGAACCCTGCCCAGCATGGGTACAATCCAAACAACAACTGGCCACCACAACCTCCACAACAACAACTCCCACCTCCCCCTCAGCACAATATGCAGGTGTCATCTGCTCTGTTCTGCTGCGGTAACTGCCAGCGCGTTGCTGCTCCACCCCAACCGAGCGTTCATGCATATACCACGCGCTTGGCCTTCTTCGTTGCGCACATCCTGCATCCTACGGTAGCATCGTACACCCAGGTGCCTAACCACAACCAGCATCCCAATCACTTTGCTAGTGACATACCACTATCTCAAGCAATTCCCTCCATTGGAGGTCATGCTGGTCAAGGTCAAGGTCAAGGTACCAATGCCCAGCAGATTGCACAGCAAGTGGTCCAGCAGCAAGGTGGTCAGCAACAGCATGTTCTCATGCAACAAGCTCCAACCGGACCTGCTGCGGGTAGCAGTACTCATTACACTGCTTTTGCTGGTAGTAACCATCAACCTGGCTTTAATCAGCAAGGAAACTACCAAGCTGGTGGTGGTTATGCTCAACACAATGCTACACAGCAACATCCTCACCAAAATGGACCACCTAGCAATACATCCCAAGCTATTATTGGTCCCATCATACATGCTGGATCCTCTTATAGCATCGATCCAACCACTGCCATCCCTCTTCCGCGCTTTCTTCGACCCAACTTTCAGCTGAATGTCAAGTTTCGCCTTGAACGCTTCCGTGTTGACCCTCCGCAACAGCCTTTTCAGTATGGAATGTCAAATCCTCAAGGTTTCACTCCCTACCAGCGCTCACCGTACATGAATCCTTACCAGAACACTGCTATCTCTCCCTCCACCAATGTCCCTAAGCCTAGGGACAACATGGAACTTATCTGGTACTACTGGCCAGTTCAGCTCGAGGTTCCTCTCTGGGCTAGGGGTCAAAACACTCTGACTTCTGCACCAGACATTGGTGCTCAGCTCATTCGAGAGGGTATGCAGATCATTAACGGAGAGCGCTGGGGATTTATCCAGCATCAAGAGAGTCCCGAGGGCTTATGGCACAAGCGCCGCTCGTACAAGATTCTCGAGTGTCCTGTTCATGGAATGCTCTGGAAGGTCACTGTCTTCGTTCGTCGTGGTTATTAGACTGTTTTAGAAGGTATTGGGTCGTTTTTAGGCCTTGATTCTTGATTTCTCAGGGTATGATGTCCGGATGTTTACTTAGAGCATCTTTCCTGTCATCATGGGAAGGAAGCTTTGAAGCTTCTTCATGGATAGTTTTCAGCTATGTTTCAGATTTTTGGCTTATTTTACGACATTAAGCATGCCTTTCTACTACTCTACTTCACGGATGATGCACTACTCTGGCTTTTACTACTGGTTTTACCTACTGGCTTTCACTTCTCGATTTCGATGATATGATTTTGCTGATTGCATACTCATCATTCGACTTTACTTCACGGTTTTTACTCCTAAATGTCATTTTATGGCTTCTATCTGATGGTATTGCTTCTTGCATACCGCTTTCTCACGATTAGTTCGGAAAATTCTACTCTTTTGGGCTTTCTAATACATGGATGTTCTACTCCATTGACATAGCTCTTCATCCTTCATCAACCCCTTCATTCATGGTCAACCCCCTTCATCAATCATCGCCAATCATCGCCTACCCTGCCCCTTCATTCATCCTACCTTATCCATCAAACATCAAACGCACCTGCGACATCAGCCACACCTCATCGTGTATGCATTGGTCAACACTCTTCATGCATCAACTTTATTTGGGTAGATCATGGTCTACTATCTTGATCTTTCTGACCAAAATTCCTCAAGTTCCTTGGTGCTACTCATACATCACGCATCACCATCTAGAATTTTTCGGTTTGTATCTCTTCGATGCTGTTTTGGTGTTCACAATTCATCAGCTGCTATCTTAATTTCATTTGCTGACAATTGGTGGTTCATTGCATTGGGATTTGGCTACAATGCATCATCATTCAGCATACTTTGGGGTGGATGTCACTAATGGTGCTTTGGTTTTAATGTTCTCAGCGACGGGTATCGTTGTCTTTGGGGTGAGTGTGATACCTTCATCGTATGGAGACTGGTTTTAATTGATGACCATCGTGTTACCTTTGGCTGAAACCTCATCAATGCAGCTTTCATCTTCATACTATCAGAGAGTTCTTTCATCATCTTTGGTCTGGATATCATGCACTTGTTGAATCGTGGATGAACTTTATTTATGATGAATTTCTCCTTCTCCAGATAACATGACATCGATGTTCATTGCTGGCTGAAATCTTGCTGACATTCATCACCTTTTTGCTTGATGGTAATTCGCCAATGATCCTTCTGGTATGAAACTCTTTACACCATACATCTCTCCGTCTCAAGATGGTCCATCTGTGTCACTCACTCGACTTCAACACGCATTTCATGTCCAATTCCTCGTCGTTGGATGGCGTTCATGGTTGTTCTATGCACTCTGGCACAAGATACATCCTCAACTTGCTGTCACTGGATGGAACTGCTTTGTTGTGTGCCTGTGATTGGTCTTTTTCCACCACATACCTCTCCATCTCTGGACAACATGTTACTAATGTTCACTGGGGACTGGTACTTCGACACCTTCAATCCTTGACCTATCATCCATTAACACTCATCTTACTTCGGCAATGTGCATGAGAGATTCATACATTGATCTGATACCTGTCATTTTCGATCTAGCGTCCTATCATATCACCAATACTTTACTTCGATCCAGCTCTTCACGGATACGATTTCAATTTCTTACGATGGTATGCATTGCATTGACAGTTTCGATCCAGAGAATGATCTGTTGTTGCGCGCTATTTCTCCTCCTTGTCACACACAACAGAGATATCGATTCCAATCTCCTTCGGATGTTTTGCACCGGGTGTTTCATTCTCAATGCGACAACAAAGACCACGATTTCCGGTTTCCTGAGACGTTTACCATGATATTTTAGTGCAAAATAGCACATTCTACTCATCTCCGCTTATCTTCTTACCCACTAGGGGCCTTTTTAGTAATCGTCTTTCATTTCTCTACCTTCACATTTTCCTTATTTCCTTCATACTCGTGTTTTCAGGGCTGGATGGATGATTAATATTGAGGTTTTGGAACTAAACAACTATGCGGGTGTTCTAAAATAACGAAATTTGACACTGGGACATGTCGGGAGGATTTCTTTGCGAACATACTTTAGGGAATTTACTATTCCACCAACTTTTGAGTGTTTTGATGACTTAGTGACTTGGTGACACGGTGATCATTGATACTATCGCATCTAAGCACACAAGGTAAATAAATAACCACATGAACAGAATCAAGCATTCCAAATTCTCTTTCCACAACTCTATCATCGTACCTTACTGAATTTAACTAGTAAGCAAAGAACACCATGACATGCAACTGCCAGCGGATACAACACCTTTATTTTGAAGAACAACACATCACCATTCCCATGAAACACACCAAATACTTGCCCTTAACACCGTGGAAACTACCATAGTCCTCATGCCTATCCGCACGATCTGTCTGCTCAATATTACAGATCTCACACCACCCCCTCCCCCCCACAAATCTACGTCAAACATCAAAATTAGGATCCCGAACTCCCCCCCCCAAAAAACAACCATTCTCCTCGCTCTTCACAAACCCCCAACATTGAGAGATAACCGCAAATCTAAGCACCAAAAAAAACGAATAGAACATGAGCCTCCCAAGAACGCGCTCCAGCACTCAAATCCCCCTTTGAAGTTCTAGAATCCTCGCACCCCAAAATCAACTCCTATGCCAACGAACTTGAATACAGATATTCTACACTTGTCTATCCGTATGAGATTTTCCGTTCAATTCTCGCGAGCCTTCCACTTCCAAAACATGATACTAACCTCGACTTCAAGGTCTCTTCCGAATAGATTTCAATTACTGATGATCGAAGAATATGTAGGTAGCTTATTCAAATTTTCAGGCTTTAGATACCGCAAAAGTAGGTTTCGCACTGTCAAATACATGGATTCTTGTATACAGCAGTCTGCTCAAGAATTACCGCGCTCCGCGGAAAAAGTTCCAGTTAATAAAAGTTAAAAGTGGAAGTCCGTTGTGTTGACGTGATGTCACAGATGTGTACATAGTCAGTGCAGTAGAGGTTAGGTAGACTGAGTCACAATCACTGCCCAGGTGTGCTCAGAGACGTTTTCTTCTATCGACGAGAAACTGTCGGGACGTCGATCATGTGATCAAAGAGGGCACTGTATTAGCTAGCGTCGCGCTAGCGCTTCCCTATGTCAAGTACTAGCTTCCCATAGATAATGATGATCAAGAACCATACAACCACAATAGAATTAAGTACTTACACTTATCAACTAAGTTGATACCAACAGAAACCCATATAATTCACTGTCCAGTCTTTAATTCATAGATGATAACTCATATAAATCAATACGAATAATCAAGCTCTTTATCCAATACCTCGATGATTTTTTCCAACGTACATACCGGATTAGATGTCTCGAACATGATAATCGGTCACCTCTAACTCCGACAAGTAGTTACACAATGCATCGGTCCCCATAATCTGAATCTCCAAATGAATCTGCCCAGAATTACAGCTCTTCCAAATTTCTAGTACGTGGTCAGTATGTTTAACATTTTCCCTTCGCTCTCCTCTATCGTCCTATCGCACGTTTCCTGAAAATTCTTTCTCGTCTGATCCAGATTCATCTCTTTTCATAGTAGAGAGAATCTAATCTTCTAGAACATATGTTTCTCTTTGTCCCTAGACTAAGGATCAAAGAAAAGAGATTTGATTTTCGAACACTTTTACGTTTCGTAGATAATTAAATCTCATACAAGTACTCGAAATTCGTACAACCCCGATACCCGATACTCCCTCTCGTTCATCCCCTCTTTAGCAAAAAAAAAGGAAAGAAAAAGAATATCCATCGATCACAAAATCAAATCAAGCCCTCAACATCAACAAATCCATACGTCTAGCAAAGATTTCTTTTGAAAGAAAAAACATAAACAATCATCCAAATGCACTTCCCCCTCGAAACCCCCGCTTCCAAAATATTCACTTCCAATCTTCTCCCTTCTTCCCTTACTGAAATACTTCTCACTTCCACTCCACTCCACTTCTCTTTTTCCTTTTCTTTTCTTTTGCTTCCCCGTTTTTAATCATAGAAATTAAAGGCCAGGAACGAAACAACAAAACAACTATTCACACTATCCACATCATCAACCAAACCGATTTCCAACCATCACTTTCCCCTCTCCGAGTCTTCCAGTCTCCAGTCTCTACTCTGCCCATCTATCTACACTACCAATCTTGTACCATGTCCATCTCATACCAAATTCCCATTCCCATCCCATCTTCTCACACCCATTACCCATTACCCCCTCTCCACCACCCCCTCTCCACCACCCCCTCTCCACCACCCCCTCTCCACTATCCCCACCACCCAATCCCAAACCCCCACAATCCAAATCCCTTCCTCTCCTCTCTCACATCAACCCCACTCCCCACCCCAAGTTGCCCCAACTCTCCCCAACTCTCCCCAACTCTCCTCAACTCTCCCCAACCTCCTCCCCTAAACCCCATTAAACCATACAAATTCCAAAGACCAACCAATGCCTTGCACCACTCCAAGCCTCAAGTTCTAGATTTACTGTTATATTGTAAAAATACTCAAGTACCCGCGTACACAATTATGTATACAAAACTCACAAAATACAAAGTAAACGAAATAGACAAAACATAACCATTCAAATACCAACCTACTACCAGCTCAAGAACATATTCACGACATTCACATGATTCAGAACCTTTTCACAAGCGAGTCCAACAAGTAACAGACGACACTTCTTATACACAGCTTATGGAATATATTCTTATAGATGCATACCCAATGATCCCCAACTATTCTTCCATACTATTCCTTCCTCTCCCCTCCCTTTCTCTACCCCTCCTTCTCCCAAAAACCTATAGAAAAAATGTCCAGATTCCATATCACCTACTTGCCCACCCACACATACATGCAAGTACGCAAGCATACAAGCAGACGCGCAGCCAGGCAGCCCGCCAGTTTCCAAGAAACCCAGAAACCAAGCAAGCAGCGCAAGAACAAGCAGGAGTAGAAGAATCCGCCCTACAACCATCTGCCTCCACACTTTTAAGCAAAGTAGGTTCCAGCAGATGATTGCTCTCTTTCTGTATCCAGAGGACAAAGAGACTTATTTTTTCGAGGGGTGCTTTGATATACCGCATGGATTACAGAGTTTCAAGGAATGGTCTCGCCTTGTACTCCACCTTGCCTTGCGGAGGGGGTGTCGGGGATGCATGAAATGGGTGGGATTTTGGCACGTTGGAATTGATGAGGAATGAGATGTGTGAGGAATGTGTGAGAGGTGACATCATATCAAAGTGCAGAATATTTCATCACTAGGCGCGGGCGAGAATCAAATGGCAGAAAAAGTGAATGAGAAGACAAAGAAAAAACAAAAAAGGGAAAGAAAAGGGGAGACTGGAAATACGACTATATTTCCAATCAGACATCACGGGGTATCTATCTTTCTCTTCATCGTCTCTCATATCTTGTCCTATCCGTCCCTCTTTCATCCATATACTACCATTTTCCCTTCCCACCAAACATTAAACCTCCACCCGATCTTTCCTTATTTTCCATCCTCGCCAATGCTCTATCGATATCATTAACATCCAATTCACCACTTCCTACCGCTATCATTTTATCATCCGTCATCTCCTCATCTTCATCTTCTCTTTGCACCAATTGTAATGCGTATGCGTTTTGATTTGGTTTCGGCGCTACAGATTTGCCTCCAATGAAAATGATAAACCTATGTTCACCAATTATGAAAATATCGGATGGTATCTCGGACCTGGTATGTGGTGAAATTGAGGACTTGGGAGCTTGTTCGATACCAATACAACGTTCGCCCAATAAGTCCACATTTTCCAACTTAATGGGACGGGAACCAGGAGATGTGTTGAAAATATTTGTTGAAGATTGACCTTTGCGAGGATTGGCTGACCAGTATTTTGAGAGAGAGGGAATAAGGGTGTAGGAATCACCTAACCAGAACAGAATAGATTCTTCAAATGCTAAATGAGATGCCACGGATGGTATCTCAAGTACTGATATTTTTCCGCGGACTGGACCAGTGGGCTGAATCTTATTGCTGAATAGATCGGTTGTTTTACGCGTTCCAGGAGTCATGGGAGCGAATTTTGATTGAGAGATTTGTGGAGGGCCAGTTGTTTTTGAGTTAGATTTGGCTGCACCTTCGACATAGCCTGTAAGGGAGAACTCTGATCGTGAACCTCCTTTTATCGATTGTTGACCAAGGACACCTCTTTTCGCTCCTGGTCCTACACCATTCATATCCCACACACCCCATTCTCCGTCACTCAGTAGTACGAGAACTGCTTTGCCACCATATACCCATTTTGCATCTACAATCGATTTTCGACCAAACCCAGAGTAAGTATTCTTGTGCGATGCCTGGGAATCGGCTTTGTTGCTCTTGAACCCGGGGTACAAGGAAATGAGCCAAGATCCTTGCTCGGCGATCGCGCTCTCAGGATCTTCCGAAGAATTAACCAGAAGCTTGTAATTGTAAATTCGGCAAGTGCCTAGATTATCGGCGACAAGCAAATGATTTGAGTGCTGTTCTAAGAATGATGGATTGAACGAAATGCTGACTGCTGGAGATGACATGTAAACCGATTGGAAGGGTGGCACCATGGTTGATGAAGGAGGTATTGGCAGTGGTATGCGCCATAGCTGTAACAATCCAGTGATTTCTCTTGAATGCGAAGCTACTATAATTTGAGTTCCTAATGCAGTGCTTGAATCGTCTTTCGTGGAAGCCTGTTTTCCTTCAAAATCAACCGTCATAGATGTTCCATCAGAAGTCTTCTGGTGACCAGTCAAGATAATCATAGTCTCTCCCCATTTTCCATTTCCGACATTCGCTATCGCGGGGGTAAGTCGAAATTCATCACGGTCCTTGCTAAGAGGAGACGGCGGTGTGAGAGGTAATGTGATTAGCCGAACAGTATTATCACCGCAAGCTGCAGTGAAAACAATTTTTTGTTTCAATGGATCAATTCCGCGCCAGGGAATGCCATCCGCTTTCAGTGTGGAGCTTGGCAAAAGGCTAATGTGAAGAACATCGGTTCCAAATTGTAAATCTAGAGTCTGCAAAATGCTCGGGTATGGCCTCCTTGGATCGATTTCCTCTTCCTCGTCTTCAAATTCTGGTTTATCTTCGAAAGGTGGTTTTGAAGGTTCATCTTCATCTGAGTCGAGAGAAATGACTTTGGTCGCACCATTGGTTTGTGTAGTCTTTGGGCTTATCTCTCTTTGTAATTTGAAAGGCCTACCACCTTTCCAGATTATTCTCACTCCATCTTCGTTGCCTTGTAAAATTATCGTTGATCCATTTGGTGAAGGTAACGGGTAGATCTTAGTGGTATGAATTCGATGCGGTAGTTCGTAACTATTGATGTTAGAAATGATATTTTCTGTAGATTGATTTGAAGCTACCTCAATTGCGTATTTTGCGAATTCTTTGAAACTCTTGGATGGGGGAACCCGGGCGCCATGGCTCGGAGATGAATGGCTGAGACTTGTTGAAAATTAATTAGATATTATGAGTGACTGATCAGAATGTGTTTGTTGCCAGCGATAGATTGTAAAAGATTTTGTTAGAATTTTGCTTGAAGTTTTGACATTTGCTTGCTTCTCCAGTCGCGACAACAAATTGCGCTTGATAGCAACACGGTCAATCGCGTACAGTTTCATCACACGTGATCCGAGCGGCCGCATGTTGGATTAGCCGTTGTTAATCCGGAGGAGCTTAGATAAGCTTTGGAATTTTGAAGCCCAGACAATTTTGGAGAATTGTTGAATGTGGATTGAAGTTCACCGGGGAAGATTTCCTTCTCAAGTCCCGAAAGTCTAGAATCCCCTGAAACTTCTCCATGTTCTCCATAAATAAAAATTGAAACGACGTTATATGATATGATAGGATATCTGCGGGTCTCGGCTTAAAACATCACCGTCTTCAATATGAAGCATTGAAGATCTTACATTCATTCACCTGAGGCATATCAGTTGCGACTTCAATTGAGGAAGACTGATTGAGATTCTATGAAGGAGACGTGAAAACTACTAGGTAGGGACAGAAAGCCACACCGATACGAATTTCGTCTTCAACTTGAACAAACACAAACACAGACACGTCAAGTCCTTTCCTTGCCACGTGCTTGCATTAGTATCGTCTTTTCTTCGGCTCGACATAGTGGCTATCGAGTTTCGATACAAAGTATTGAAGATCATCAGATCAAGCTCCTGCATTGGTGTCGTCTTCTCTTCGGCACACGGTTTCGCAACTTTTAAACTTTTGAGCGAAGCTTTATCGAATCGTGGATATCATCCTGACCTCAGCCTTTTGAGTCATTCGACAAAAGCCTTCTGTGAATCTGTGATTAATCATACTTAACATGGGCCACTGGTGGGCTAAAGCCCTTATCAAGTTATCATTGACAGAGCGGATGTGTTTTCTTTCCCCTTCCCCTTCGCATGCACCCAGCAACCCAGCAAGTACTGAAGCTACCTAGATTGGCGGTTCGAACGGATATCGGCACCAAGCTTGGCATATCGTCTCCCCTTCCAATCCCACTCACTCACTGTACAGTGGTGAACCTATCAATCATCACACCGTCTTCTACAATGAATCACACCACCGAGATCTTCTCAACAACGCCATTTGATATTTATCCGTATTATATTACATATTGCATGTTGCATATGTGCATCAGGACTTCCGATCCCCCTCCTCCCCAAAGTATCGAAAGATATTCAATGGCCCATGTACTTTTGATGGATGCTTCTAAGCACGATTCTCTCTCCCCGTAGAGAATCAGATTTTGATCAACCTCACGTAAAGTGTTTGAGTGCTTACACGAAGTTCGTATCAAAAGTGGAAACACGAAATGAAAATACATGACAGGTCTCGGACAGTCAGCATATGATAACTTAGCCACCAGTTTTTCCTCACTCGCGAGTCACCACCTCGACTATCTCGCGGAATCCTCGACCACTCACTCCGTACTAGGTAGGTACTTGTCCCAGGTACTGCTCTATCTTTTGAGCAAGATTTGCCTAGCGGACAAAAAAAAGCTTGAGCGGAATTAGTGGCCGCGATGGATCTGCACACTGGAACCGGGGTAGGTACCAGATTGCCTGATTGCGAAGTTTGTCATCTCGACCTTTAAAGATCCTCAATGCCCACAAATTTTCACATGATGGATGCATTCGCTTTTTCTCATTCATAAATGATTGCCTCTCCATCGAAAAGTGGCTTGCAGTTCTAATATCTTTACTTACTTACTTACTCACTACTGTTCGTAGTATTTCTTAATAAATCAAAGTTTCATGAGTAGAATATCAAAGCGCATTGTGCACCTCTTCCTAAGTACGTTTGGGTGACAAGAATAAGGAGAAGACTTATTTTCCCACAAGTCTTTGCACTATCACTTCGATATGACGGACGATACAGGCCTTGAGAAGGATGATCTCCATGATTTCAAATCCTCAAATACAGCTTCTGTAACTCTCGCATCTTCACTATCAGATCATGAAAACCACTACCCTCGGCTCTCGCATGCTCCTTCTATCACATCTTTATCATCCGATTCGATTCATAGTGATCCTCTTGCTCCTCTCGAACACGCTCTCACACCGAATCTTGAAACGGTTGCCGAACAACTTGCACATGCTCAATTGAGTTACACGAGGACCGGTACATCATACGCGACTACTGGATCACGAAACCCATCATTCGAAGTTGATTTTGAAGACAATGATCCTGATGATCCCAGAAATTGGCCTTTGTGGTATCGATCTTATACAATTTTTGCCGTGAGTTTTGCGACATGGTCTACGGTTTTGTATAGTTCGTCCTATACATCCAGTATGCCAGGAATGATGAAAGAATTCTCCGTCACCAGTGAACCATTGGCGACATTGGGTGTGACGACATATTTACTAGGGTTAGCGACTGGTAGTTTGGTTCTTGCACCATTGAGTGAGATTTGGGGTAGACGACCAGTTTATATTGGATCTTTGGCTTTCTTCTCTTTGATGGTTCTACCGTGTGCTTTAGCAACTTCTTTAGGGGAGGTCTTGGGTGTTAGGTTTGTTGGGTACGTTATAAAGCCGTTCGTCACGTTTCCTCGATACTAATATGGATACAGAGCGCTTGCAGGTGCTGCTATGATTTCAAACTCCCCTGGAACAGTTGCAGATATCACAACCGACCAATATCGTGCATTGGTTTTTAGTATCTGGAGTATCGGGCCAATGAATGGTCCAGTAACGGGACCTCTTATTGGTGGTTTTGCTGCAGAATACCTAGGGTGGAGATGGACAAATTGGATTGTGATGATACTTTCCGGATGCGCTTGGATAGCGTGCGGATTTGTCAAGGAGACTTATGCACCAGTCATTTTGATCAAGAAAGCAGCGAAAATGCGAAAAGAAACGGGCGATGAGCGATATTGGTGTCGATACGATCAAAAGAAAAGCTGTGAGTGAATGGTGACATTTTTATCTATTGACAGACACTGACTTTTGATTATAGTCTTTGAGATCCTAAAGATCAATCTTTCTCGACCATTTGTCCTAAGTTTCACCGAGCCAATTCTTTGGTTTTGGAATACGTATATTGCTGTAAGTTTTCTCATAACTTATTAGCTTCGTCAACTTTGGTACTGTAATATCAAGTTTCCAATAGTCCAGACTGCAGATTCATAGTTGGAGCTCTCGGTGTCTGAAAGCAATTCAAGATTCACAATGGATCACTCTCTCGAGCTGTCAAGACGACTTGCTTGAATCCAGACACTGAAAGTATCTTATTGTCGAAACTATCGTTCGGGTTATTGGGAACTCTACCTGATATACAAGAATAATTGAGCCATGATGCTTATATCACGGGAGCAATTTATACTAATCAGTACGCTTAGATCATCTATGGTATCCTTTATCTTTGTTTCGTCGCATACCCGATAATTTTCACAGACATGCGTGGATGGAGTCTTGGCCAGACTGGTCTTGCTTTCCTAGGAATCGGATTAGGAACCATGCTCGGAATTATCTCTGAACCACTCATTCGCAAAATGATCAACTCGCACAAGAAAGACCCTGAGACCGGAAAAGTCCCGCCTGAAGCTTCAGTCAGCATTATTTGTATAGCAGCTGTCTTATGTCCCATTGGTCAAATCTGGTTTTCTTGGACTTGCGTTCCCATCACGATTCATTGGATTTGGCCTATTCTTGCAGGAATACCTTTTGGGGCAGGGAATACTTTGGTATTCATCTACGGAACAAATTATCTGGCCGGCTCATATGGTATTTATTCGGCATCAGCATTGGCGGGAAATAGTGTGGTCAGGTCAATTGTTGGAGGTACACTACCATTGGCTGGGCCGGCGATGTACGGCGCGCTTAATCCGCAATGGGCTGGAACTCTCCTGGGATTAGTACAGGTCATACTCATTCCAATTCCTTTCATTTTCTATAAATGGGGATCCAAGATTAGAGCGAAGAGTCCGTTGATCAAACAAATGAGGGAGGAACAGGAGAGAAATGATAAGAGAGCTGCTAGGGCGAAGAGAAAGGAGGAAAAGAAAACGGCGATGGATACAGAAAATGGAGGAGTGATGAGAACAAGCGAGAAAGACATGGAGAAGGGGGATGAGGTTGTGACTGGGATGGAAGAAAAGGCGTGATGGCATGAGTGTGGATGATCTTCGAGATGTGTCGATAAGGGATGAGTTAATGATTGTAAAAGTGATATACATGTGCGGATGATACCCAACGATAGAAAATAATAGAATAATGTTTGAACTTATGGTATTTCGGAATTGCATTTCGAGTATCTTTGATTCATGTTGGGTCTGCAAAATGGGCAGAGACAACCGAATGGTCATCTGTAGGTCAATTGGGTATGGTATGAATGGTCAGCCACCAATAATCACATAAGTATCATTCAGCCCTATGAATCGAAATGAATGCGCGAGAAGAGTGGGATTGATCTGAAATAACGGGTTATCGAAATGATATTATTATTCCCCAAAATCCGAAATACAAAATTCAGAATTTAAAATGAACTATAGTCCAGACGTCTGAAGACACGGGAGGATGGTTCATCAGCCTTATGGAGTCTCTGAGACAGTCGGTAGGTATCAAGAGCGCTAGACTTCGGTAATTTAAAATGCTGGGATAGTACGATATAAGATTGTGGAGGCTGAGTGAAAAGTTTTCGAGAGAAAGATTATAATAATTCGAGTGATATTGGTAATGTGATGGAGCGAGAAGTATAAGGAGATAAAGATGTAAATGTGATGAGTTTCATCGTGTAATCAGTTTGGCGTGAATCAATATAAAGGGGTTGTGGTGAATAGGTAGCGGGAAAATACTATGAAGATCGGTTCTTGATAGTACCTATGTATAGGTATATACAAGGCTGAGGTGTATCAAACCTTATTCATATAGGATCAACCCGGTACTACTACTCACTTATAATATCATTCAAAACTAGATATTATAGATCAACCGTAAGTTTCTATTGAGTATCAACCAATGTACTATAATAGATGTAAAGGATTGTTGTTGTCCTCCCACCCATATCCACATCCACATCTAAATACATCCACATCAAACCTTCAGCCTTACTTATACTAACTAGCGCAAGCGACAAACTAAACAAAGAATACAAAACAACACCTTCTACCTTCCACCTTTTTCTTTCCTTCTCCCTTCTTCTCTACACACGCTCAATTTCAACGGTACTCTCCCGAAAATCCCTTCATCAGTGTCAAGACAATTATACACACAATTTAAAAGATCTTCTTCTTCATCGTACGGTCGACTTGACGAAAATCAAATCGAGAAATTACATAAAAAAAACATTTGTTGATCTATTTTGACATCATCTCAATAACCTAAACAAAATAGCCTTACCAATTTTTTCTCCACAAATTTCTCGCACAGTCACCGCCCACCCACAACGAACAACAACATCAATCTCGAGATTTTCGAAGAACTCATTCGATTCACTTCCATCAAGACAACTTCCCATTAAAAGGATTTCGTCTCGACATTCAAGCCATCTCGAATCCAACCCCTAAGGACATCCCGCACGACAAAGAAGACTTTACAATATCCACAATTTGTTACCGAAAAGAATTTTACTGTGACTTTCATTAGCCATGGCAGTTCCGACACAAATTGCATACAGAACACTGAAGGGGATTGGTATCTTGGATGCCGCACCCGTCTATCAACCTTTGCCTGGTTTCCAGAGACCCGAAGGTAACTCTCGCTGCTGTACCTATTCGCCATGCGGTCGGTACTTTGCTTGGGCTTCTACTGACGGAGTGTCTGTCATTGACACAAATGCTGGTCGCATCATCACTACCCTTCCTACACCGAATGTTTACGAATTGGGCTTCTCTCCCCTCGGTTCATACGTCATTACCTGGGAAAGACCCTCCAAGGACGAGAACGGTGATGCGGTCAAGAACTTGAAGATCTGGCGTACGGTGGAGGAAATCGCGGAGGGAGCTGAGAAGGAAGTTGTTGGGAGATTTGTGCAAAAATCGCAAACCGGCTGGAACCTTCAATATACTTTCGATGAGAAATATTGCGCCCGAAATGTTACGAATGAGGTTCAATTCTACGAAAGTGGAGATTTGCGTACAGTTTGGAACAAGCTTCGTGTTGAGGGTGTTGCGGATTTTGCAGTTTCTCCCGGAAACAACTATTCTGTAGCTGTCTTCGTTCCAGAGCGCAAGGTATATAATGTTGAATTTTTAAGTTGAGAGGTTTGCTAACAGATCACATCAGGGTCAACCATCTTCCGTTAAGGTTTTCAACGTTCCTCAATTCAATGCCCCGGTTTCACAAAAGACATTTTTCAAGGGCGACAAGGTTCAATTGAAGTGGAACCAATTGGGCACAACTTTGATTGTTCTCGCTCAAACAGATGTTGATAAGTCGAACAAGAGTTACTACGGAGAGACTACATTGTATGTGTTGAGCGCAAATGGTGGATTCGATTCTAGAATCACTCTTGACAAGGAGGGCCCAATTCACGATGTCTCATGGTCACCAAACTCGAAAGAATTTGGTGTTATTTACGGTTACATGCCAGCAAAGACAACCATCTTTAACCAACGGGCTGTTGCTATTCATACATTCCCCCTTGGTCCTAGAAACACGATCTTGTTCTCCCCTACTGGTCGATTTGTTTTGGTGGCCGGTTTCGGAAACTTGGCTGGTCAAATGGACATCTACGATGTCGAAAAGGATTACAGAAAGATTTGCACAATTGAAGGTGGAAATCCTAGTGTTTGCGAGTGGAGTCCTGATAGCAAGTATATCTTGACAGCTACAACCAGTCCTAGATTGAGAGTTGATAACGGTATTCGATTATGGCACGTCACTGGTGGAATTATGTACAACGAGGATATGGTCGAGTTATACCACGTTACATGGAGGCCACAGCGCCCCGAAAGTTTCCCAGCCGGAGACTTCTTGAGCCCAGTTCCTCAACCACATTCGTCGGCCGTCGCTTACTTGGGTACTGTGAAAACACCATCCAAGCCAGCAGGAGCTTATCGTCCCCCTGGAGCACGTGGTCAAGCTACCCCATCTCACTTCAAGCGTGAAGATGAAGGTGGATCTGCTCATTTCGTCAGCAATGGTACATCAATGGTCAACACAAATGGCTTTGGTCGATCTCGTAGACAAGTCCCTGGTGCTGATCTAAGCGAGAACGCTGTTCCAGGAGCCGCCCCTGCCGTTCCAGGTGCTGTTGAAGATGAAAATCTTTCCAAGGCCGCACTCAAGAACAAGAAGAAGCGTGAAGCAAAGAAAGCAAAGGATGCAGAGGCTAAAGCAGGTGGTCTTGGTGCTGGAACTCCAGATGCTCCAAGAGGTCCAGGTGGTGATCGTAGCCCAGATCGAAGAGATCGTCAACGTAGTCGCTCAAAGAGTAACAACAACATGCGATCTCCATCTCAGCTTCGAACTCATGGTAACGGTGGTCCTCACAACCTTCATCAACATCCTCACCCCCATCAAAACCAACGTCAAAATGGAGGCGTATCTCCAAATGGAGGCGCAGGTACACCAACCAGTGCAGGTGGAATGAAGAATCTTTCAATCAACTCGAATCAAAAACCAATTACTCCAACCCAACAATTTTCAACACCGGAATTGTCGGTCACAAGCCCAGGTGGTGATGGCAGCCCATCTGCTAAGAAGAAGAGAGGATTACAAAAGAAGATTAGAGCAATTGAGGATTTGGAAATGAGGAGAGCTGGTGGTGAGAAGTTGGAGGATACGCAAGTGAAAAAGATTGCTACTAAAGGGGCTGTTCAAGCGGAGTTGGATGCACTTGATAGAGAGTAGATCTTTGGGGGTGCAGTGATGTAGAATGGGAGGAGAGGCTTGATGTAGAGAATTGGCCAGTTAGAAAATCCTTTGGAAAAACTTTTTCATATCAACCTTTTTGTTTTATATCATAGTGGTGAAAATGGGTCTGTCAATCCAAGGCGCTGGATTTCATATGGTGCATGGACGGATGGGTGGGTATGCTGGGCGTGGCGTTGAGTCATGAGATATGAAAGCACTGATCCTGAAGGTCGAAAGGTGGTCAAGTGGGTTAAAAATCAATGATTTGTATGTACGATGGATGAACGGATGGACGGGATTCGTCAATTTGGTGCAGTGGATTGTTAAGTGCTGGTAGCGTGAATATCGTGGATGGCATAGTATGCAGATATACATTATGGAAATGAAAAATTAGAAATGATATGAGATATGAGATATGAGATATGAAAGATGAAAGATGAAAGATGAGACGATGTATGAATTGATAGGATTGAGGATTGAGGATAATGGATAATAGATAATGGATGAGGGGCGATGGATGGAGGATGAAGGATAAAGGGGGAAGAAAGTAAGGGAGTATTGAATAAATAATGTAATGTAATGTAATGTGATGTGATGAGTTGAGTTGAGTTGGGTTAAGTTTTGGGAGAGGAGAGGAAAGGAAAGGAAGGGAATGCGGAGGCGAGGGGTGAGGGGAATAAGGGGAGGGGTGAAGAAAAAGTAGAAGAGGGTTGAGGAATAGGAGGCGAGGAAAGAATGTAAGGTTCGAGATTTCTAGATTTCTAGATTTCTGACATAGGGGGAAAGGAGGAGGGAGAAATAAAGATTTGTGAGAAAGAGAAGTTGAATAGGGATGAGTGTTGTTTTGTGTGAAAGATTTTGGTTTAGGTAGAGAATATCTTGTATAGTATATTTTATATATTATATTTCACGTAGTTTATTTTTGGGAAGAATTGAAAATTGGAAGGCGGAAGATCGCTTCGAGTAGGCACAACAAGGAAGGAAGAGTTATGGGATGTTGCACTGCAGATGATTGGGGATAAGAACAGCTGGAGTTTATTGGTATTTTGGTGGGATTGAGTTTTGGGAGAAGGATTGGTGATGGTGATGGTGATGGTGATAGTGATGTTAATGTTTTTATATTTTTGTTTTTGTTTTTGTTTTTGTTTTTGTGATATCGCATTTGATATTATATGGAATGGGATGGAATGGGATGCAATGTGAATTCTAAAGGTAGTGATTTTATTCTTAAATACTACGTATACGGAATGTGTATGTAATCTTTTATAGTAAGTATTCGAGTATGTAGGTAGATAGATGGATGTTGTACGAGTAGTATATCGATATCGAAATTAATGATAATCATTGATAATCAAGATTTTTCTTTGGATTGTGTTGATATATTGTATTAGGCTTGAGTTGATTGTTATTTAGAGTAGTAGTGAGTGATATTTCTAATTAATGGCTGGCTTGCTTGTGGTTTGAAATGGTGGTTTTGGATGGAGATTATTTGATGTATAATATAGTATAGTATAGAATTTCTCGAGTGTTGGAATGGTATCTGGTGATCTCAATATTACATGATTCGTTTGATAGAATTTGTAAGATTACCTTCGTTTCAATATATCTACCATAGAGTAAGTATCCGTCTGAATGTTCGGGAGAAAAAGCAATCAAGTATTTAACTCGTTAGTGATGATACAAAAGAGACGCATATGAATGAGTTTATGTTAGGGTCAAAGTCAGTGGATATGAAATCAAGTATATTTACTCGTATAAACACCAATAAATACCCTATATATAAAAATATGTATGTATGTACAACGAATCTCCCATCAAACCATAAAAGTATATACAAGATCTTTTCCTCATCCCCTTCTTGAAGTCGTTCATCCAGCGATGAAAATTCAACTCTCAAGAAATATTTTGCTGGCCCCTCTTTTCAAAGTCCTCTGGCGAAATCTCTCTGATTCTCAATTTGGATATGAGGGTCAATCATATAGTATGAGAACGAGAGAAAACCAGAGATGATTTACACCGAAGGCCATCCGTTGGTGAAAGTGAGATAATTATATCCGAAGAGATAATTTGCATCTGCGATACCGATTGTTGGGTTTGCGTAGTGGTAGTAGAGGAGTGGGCCGGAGGATGAGAGATAGACACCCCTAGTTTATAATTAGTATGTGCATGTGTATATCAAGCCACCAAAATGTTTCACACATAGAAAACAGTCTTCGAGGTGATATTCCGACAAGAAGAAAAGAAACTTACTGTCCACCGGGTCCATAAACATTTCCATGACTAGCCAACAAAGTTGTTCCACCACCAGCCGACAAAGCCTTTCCACTCTGGTCCACGAAATTTCCGGTTGCAGTTTTGCTTCTTCCCATGATGATTTTATATTCTGCGCCTTGAGCAGGCTTGGTTTTATCGTAACCGCAGCAAATACCAGATGAGATGAGGAGGTAGTAGTATCCGGAATAGTAGAACATGTAGGAGCCTTCTTCTGAATGAGTTCCGGTGGAATTATAAGCGAGGTTGTAGGAAGCGGAACTGCCGGCTTTGGTGGGAGTTGAGGCCATGGCTACTTGGTAGATGTCGTCCCAGAAGGAACCGAAGTTGAGACTGTGGGTTGGGAGTTAGTTTGTGTGGGAGTGGGGGATTGGGAGTAAAAGATAGGAAGGAGAGACGAACTAATAGGTACTGCCGACCAAGATAAGATTAGGATCAATAGCATTGTAAAGTTTACCGGATGACGATGTAACACCAGTAGCACCATGATCGGTCCATGATCCTACTTCCATGGTGGCGGAGGTTGCAACTCCGATTGCTGAGTCTTGGGTACCGAAACTCGAAACTGCATAGTACATGTAATAAGTTGAGCCGACGAGATGAACATCAGGTGCCTATATTTTCATCAGTATGTCATTTTACATCTTTGATTTATTCTTCAATTGAACCACAAGTAGAGAGAATAACATGAATTGAAGGAGTCAAGGGAAGGAAGCATACCCAAAGATCACTGTTTCCAGTCAAATCAATGCTACTCTTACTCAAAGCATCACCAACATAGGTCCAGGGACCAGCCAATGCAGTAGCTTTCCAAATACCAATACCATTTCCGGTATTGAACTTGAACCAAGTGCCATCACTTGAACGCTGGATCAAAGCAGGGTCATGAGCGTAGCAATTGCCAGAACAAGCACCTGGATTTGCATATGCAGCAACGAGATTAAGAAGCCCCAAAATCGGGAGGAGAATCCGAGAAAACATGATGAGATAGGATGATGATGGTGAGGAGATGAGATGAAACAGTTTGTGAGGGAGATCTGAAGCTTATATGTAGTGCGGATATACTGAAGTACTTCTCATCCCGGGCCTTCTCTCTATTTTCCGTAGTTGCTTGCCTGTCTGTCAGATAGACTACTCTGCCGAGAGAATATTACTAGAGGTGCATCTCCATGTACTTAATATGGAACTAATCAATAGCCGTCCCATTCTCAGGCACCCTCAAACCTTAGTTTCCTTGTCATAATAGCCCAATCATACAAGAACTAAGATCTCTGATTACATACACTCACACAGCCGCCACATCTCTTCATTCCCTCGAATCAATATTATGTCAAATAAGTGACCGAACATCCGAGCATCCTAAGCTTTTGACTGGTGGATCCTACATGCATCTTGAAAATCGATTTGTATAGAGAATATCTCCCCCAGTGCTGATCCACCTGGCACGCGGTCCTAGTAATCATCTCCTTGCCCTGTGCCTGATAACTCTAAATAGAAACTGACCCCAGGTATCCAGAATGTGAAAAGCGCACCAATAAAGTTTACGGAAATAAGAACCGGAGAAACTTCTCTTGGCATGTTGAAAGCCGACATGTGTAGATGGAAATTCATCTCGGCATCGAGGTATTTATTTCTCTGCCGTACCTTTGGTGCGTTTCTAAGGCCTTGCCGTGAAAGTAGTCGCATCAATTTCATCACTCCTGCATCTTGCGGAGTTCACGTGGTAGATTATCCTTTAGCCGACCACTTGCGATTCAACATCATATTATCTAGCGCTTGCTATTATGTTATCACTCCCATTCCGTCTGATCCGTTCCGTTGTTTTGACTCAAGACAATTGGTGGATTCCATCTTCACAGTATCACGTTGTCCCATTATTTTGCCCCAAATAGAACATGGAGAAAAGAACCCTGTTGCTTGTAGCGAGTCTTCGACTAGGTACGCAGTGGTAAGGTCACTTTGTGAATTCCATTGGGCCCTGGAAATGCCGATGAGGTGGAACTTAAAAACCCCGGGACAAACGCTATGTACCCCACAACAAGGAACTTGCAATCTCTGATGCATGTAGAAATGTCCGAATGAGGGTGGACAAAAACGATAATACGTGAATTTCCTCTCCGATACTTCGAGATAGGAAAACAAATAGTGCGGAATCCATCTCCTTAGTTTCGTAAAGCTCGATGAGAGGTGCGGGAATATCGTTACGGGTATAGATTTGGATTGATAGCTCAGAAAATAGGAGATTTTTCATTGGTCCACTTACATTTATCTGCTTGTCTACTTCACTGTCTTCAAAACAAACATTTCCTCTTTTGGAATCGGACTATGGTGAACTCGGTAAGCTTACAGGAACAACAACGAGGAGAAATGCAAAAATGGGGGTACGATATAATTGGAGCGAAAGCTTGCTTCCGTAAGGTTAACTGTGACGTTCGAGTAAGTGGCGCATGGACTTTTGTTACGCTTCGACGTACGAATGATTGTTCATCTGATCTGGAATACACACTAACTAACATGGCGGCCCGGCCCTGAGTTAGAGTTGGATGTTGATTTTAAACTTTGCTTTTACTCTATGTGAAGTTGGGAATAAACTAGTAAACTAGAGTAGGATTAGTTCCAAACATTACAGAAGAAAGTTTGGAATTGGAAGCGCACGAATGAAAAGAGTGGTCTGGAATCAAAATTCTGATAAGCATTCTGAACTTTGATTGAAGTACACTGAATGATACTACTCTCCTATTCTGCATGATAGAATTCACATGCCTGGTCTGAAATTTGATGTTTATGTATATACTCGTAAGTCGAGTCAGCTATTTCACGTTATCTTCTCTCTTTTACGTCAAGATTTTGCTATGCCAGCTGTAGGCGTCGATTGTCTTTACTTTGCTGTCAATCTCCAAGCTGTGAAACCTTTCCAATCTTTCTATCTTTGTCAACTTCCACTATTATCTAAGTTCCCCGCGGCACCGTATCTGGATCTCTTGTGTAGTCCCGATAGCCATGGTCCATTATTCGTATATCCAGTGGTTATAGATATCGGCTCATATCATCAGGGATGTATATAAATATGATCAGAGCTTTCTTGTTCAATAAAAGGATGTTCATATTGCCCTGAATAGCATGCTACTAACGCTCCAGATTCTTCAAGTGTGTCCTGATAAAATATCATACTCCAACTCGACATCGAACAGAAGTGTCTATAGAGATCAAAAGATGCGTATTCGCTGGACTAAACTACAGAGATATCACAACGTTACCGGAAGTGCCAATTTAGATGGTCAATTGATCTTACATCTCGTAGTCGTTTACTTCTTCACTTTCCTCTTGATGTTCCTTCCCCTACAGCAATATTCCAACCAGCATTCAGCTCATTAAAGATAACATCCTTCTCGAATTCCACCATCTAATCTAACAAACCCTTTACTACAACATCTCTGTATCTCCTCCTTTTCCCATCTTTTTCGCGAAACCTCAACTGCCATCTCAAAGCTCTCATCTCCCGTCCAACATCAATCCATAACTAAATCAGAGCTTCCATCAGCATCCTTCCCGCTGCCCTTAATATTAGGGATAAGAGCAAATCAACCAATCATTGCTAAACAGCTATTTACTCACTGAGTTTACAATTGCGAAATGGAGCTTGAGTAAACATCAGGGTAAAAGTAGTTCATCATTGTAGAATTACGAACTTAGAAATGAGAGTCATAGGCGAGAGATAGGTAGGTCTTCTTTTTTCCGTTTTTTTCTTTTCCTCTTGTTCTAATATCCACATCTGCGTATCCTTTCTATTCTAAAAATTATGAAACATACCCCCATCTCTCATCTCCCATCTCCCCTCTCCCTCTTTTCCGCTCCTTAAACCCTCACCAACTTACCCTTTCCTACACAGTTTCTTCACTCTCCCCAAACGAGATTCAAATGCTCAATCCCAATCCCAATCCCAAGCCCGATGCCAGCACGAAGTGTATACGCGTACGACACAACTCCTTATATCACAGCTTTAGTGGTGAATTTAATGAATTATAGAACTCCCAGTCCTGAGACACTGTAGGCTCTAGAAGCTACGTTTGCTGTAGTTGGCGTTGGGTACTTGGAAGGAATAATTGAGGGAGTAAAAGAGGGATGGTGATGAGAGATGGAAAGTATAAGTTGACTGGGTGAGCCGACTGAAGTTGATAAAACAGAAGGGTGATAAGTCGTATAACGATGATGTAGAACCCAATTCCTCAGACTATTCTTACCAAGCTAACAAACTTCACAAAAGTGGTTATCGACAGGAAAGTTTCCCTAGGCCAGAGATAATCTTCAAAAAGAAGAAGAGAGAATGACCAGATAATCATGTGTGACATCCAATCTAATCTTGGTGTACGCAATGTATTTGAATAATGCAACATAGCAGGTACCCCTTCATTTTCTTGATATTTTCAATCTGTAACCGAGACGCCCAAGACGCGAACTTCCAGTCCATATTCATATCTCATTATGATATCGATTTCCATCTAACCTCCCGTTTTTTCTGGCTAGTTTCAGCTTCATCTCAGCTTTACTATTTACCATGACTCCGCTTGATAAATATCAAATTTGATCCCTCACAAATTTCAGTTCATGTTAATCAATGAGCCCCTCATCTCCCCTTGAAAACAGGCTTCCTCTTCTCTCTAAATGCAGCCAACGCCTCATCTCTATCTTCCGTCCCTACAACTCTTCCATACATATCATTCTCAACATCTTCCCTCGCCCAGCCAACAGCTTTCAATGCACTTCTTACTGCCACGGGGCCTCCCTCACAAATCGTCCCAGCCAAGTGAACCGCCTCTCTCAAAACCGCTTCTTTAGCCCTCTTCATCATATCCCCCTTCTCTTTTCCTTCTCCTTCGCCTTCCCCTTCGTTCTCCTTAACCTCAACCAAGCGGTCCGCAATACCTAGAAAATACGCTTCCGGACCACTCACTCTCCTCCCCGTCAATATCAAATCCCGCGCTCTTCCGATCCCTATCAAAGCTGGAAGTCGGTGCGTTCCGCCCGCGCCGGGTATTATACCAAGTCTCGTTTCTGGCAATCCAACGACGGCCGTAGAAGCAAGAACACGCATATGCGTACAAAGAGCCAATTCGAGACCGCCGCCAAGAGCAACCGAGGAAATTGCGGAGATGGTTGGAATCGGAAGTGCAGAAAGTTTTGTAAATGTGGAGCGTAGATTATTGAGGAATGTTTGTGTCCTATTGATGTTTAGTTATGATTAGTTTTTAATTTGTATTGCAATTGAATGACCAAGTGAACGAACAAAAACATACATTTCAGGTGTGAAAGTAGCCCTCTCTTTCAGATCCGCCCCCGCACAAAATACCCCGTCAACCTCACTAGTAATGATCAAAGCTCTCGTTGGTCCATCTTCTCCCTGCGGCCTAACCTTCCTTATCTCATTTCCCTCTGCGTCATATTCCGCCGCAATGTCATCTACGTGCGCGCGCAATTCTTGTAGCAATTGAATGCTAATAGCATTACGAGCTTCGGGGCGACATAATGATAGAACACGGATGGTACCGTTGGAATGCGGGGTCGGGATTTGGAACGAGGAAATGAATTGTGGTCGACCTGATTTGGCAGTGGAGTAAAATCGTGGGGTGACGAGTTTTGGGAGCGTAGATTTGAGGGAAAATTGGAGGAGTGGTCGCATTTTTAAGATTGTGGATTGAGAAGATTGAAGTGAGGATATTGATATCAATATAATGCGGAGAGAACCTCGGGAAGCTTTGTATGTTGCGGATATCAGCGGGTACTAGCGGATGGATTCTATGGAGTTATTGTACAAGGAAGACACACCTAAATATAACGATGTAATTATGTCATCACTCATGGAACGAATCGCTAATCAAATCCACAAGACCAATCCAGAACCAAGATTAATCATCTTCAGCCTCGAATCTTACTGTATCAAAACTATAGATAGATACATATAGTTATCTTACATATAAACTCGACGTCCAATACCAAATACTTGAAATATCATTGACCTTCCCTCCTCGAAGTAATAATTCTCAACTGTCGTCCAAAGATGTCCGATTCAACCCCTTCAAACGGCGCAACGGTCGCCTCACTTCCACCCGCAGCCATAGCTTTAGCAACCAGGATGTACGACTCAGCTCGGAATGGGGATATCGAGATTTTCGAACAAGCTTTACCTCGAGGACTACCGGCTAATATGACAAACGAGAAGGGCGATAGTCTTGTAAGTTTCAGATCTAATGAAGAATCATTGATTGTGTTGTCATCTACGACGTCCAACGAGTCTTGTTCACCTCTCATCACGTGCCATCCCTTCTTTCACATGATTTGAGTTTCGATGCTACAACTTTTGATTCATTCAATGAACGCTCTCTGACATGGAAAATAGATAATGTTAGCTGCCTACCACGGCCATGCACCACTCGTTCGACTTCTTCTTCAACATGGTGCGAATCCCAATTCATTAAATGATCGAGGTCAATCTCCTTTAGCAGGTGCTATCTTCAAGGGAGAATCTGAAGTCGTCGAGGTATGCAAATCTCTTCTATTCTCCTGTCAAACTCTCTCGAGGCTCTGGATTGGGGTATTGCTAGATTCTAATAATTGATAGGCATTGCTCGAAGGCAACGCAGATCCAGAACATGGTTCTCCAAGCGCAATGAGAGCGGTAGAATTATTCAAGCAAGAAGAGAAATGGCTGAAGAAGTTTGAGGAGGCGCCTGGTAGAGGAAAGACTATTTAGAGAATGTGAATAGGGTACGGTGTTTTGGTTCGGACGACAATCGGGTCGCGAGGGGTGTTGGGTCTTCTAGGATATGTACACTATTTGTCATTGAATCTGCAGTACGTTTCTGTATTGTCATAATAATCAATTGCTGCAACTCATTGGCGATTCTTTCTGGCTCTTATTCCTAAAGAAAAAAAGAGATAAGGCTCCTTCTACAGACAATCCGACGAAACAAAACGAACACCATGTAAGACCCAAACATCATCGTCGCTTGATCACCATTTTCCAATTTTCCCACCCTTCTCCGTCTCTTTCTCTTTCATCTCTGCACTAATTAGGCACAACATCCAACCCATACCCCTCCACCGGCAACGCTGTACTACACTGTCCCCAAACCTGCACACTAACCGGACTAACCGTCAACGGACCACACGTATTCTGCGTCTGTGTAAAACTTCCCGAATACCCCGTGATCGCACAATATCCCGTTCCTTCCGCGACTATCTTTGCGATTTTGAGGGGATTATCAATGACGTAGTTGTTTCCATCCACAGGGAAAGTTTGTTGGACTAGAGAAGAGGGTGTCAGTCGTGAGGTGAGAGGAATATAGGGAAGAGAAAACGGAAAATACATACAAGAATCACCATTCCTGGCATAGAAAGTAAGAACCACATCTCCCGCGCTGGGATAATCATTTCGTGCGACATGAGCATCACTAGCATTCAAACCACTTCGTTCAACATGCGAAGTAGTGGTATTCAAACCCTTCCTTGACTGAAAAGCGTCACCTTCGGTAAAGTGATCAATCGGTGCCGCAAAGCCACACGAAATCACCAATGCCACGAAAGTAATGAGGGTCAAGGTATTCATCTTTTCCACTCAGATTTTTGACTGCGCAAAGATAGGAAAATTTATTGAGGAAAAAAATCGATAGTTTGTCTGTTTAATATAGCTGAGAATGTAGTCAAGTTTGGATACCTCTTCAACACCAGGTACCAATTCAAGTTATATATCCCAACGATATTGCCCAAGACTTTCATAACCCGTATTGAGCCGGTCTCTTTTTGAATATACATCATGAATCAATAAAAGAAAAATTTGCACTCAACATATTGAAAAGGTCGCTTATGGTCATCAAGAGGCCTCGTTGCTGAAAGCAGAATGTTAAATCATTAAATAGCAAACATGATGTAAGCGGCGAAGAGAGGGGCTTTTGACAGACCTCGCGACGGGTTACTTTGTAGGTCATTGAAATTTTCCTCAATGTTGGCATCTTAGAATGAGTAACTGGATAAGAAATGACAACAATTGCAAGGGGAAAAATAGATAGTGAAAACAGACTTATATCTTGTCTTCATATCTGATATATTTAAAACCACAGAATAGTATTTGTACACCCTCTATCTATAGAACATACCTGCAATGCTGCAAAACTTTTGATTTCAGTTTTCAACGTCATGTTAAGCCATTCCCATTCATCATAACACATTAATTCATTCGATTATGCCCACTGCGAAATGAAATCATCTACTCCATCTCACCAACCCATACCCTTGCTCTTAACCTTTGCACCACCTCCTTTCTAATCCACCTCATCTCCCTTCCCTCCTCCATAGCTTTATCCGCCCACTCAAACAACAACCTTAACCCTAATAATCTGTCCTTATTCCCGCTATCTAGCGTCGCATGTTCAAGAATTAACCTAGAGTCCACAGATGTTTGTTCTGCGCCTGCATGAATATCCCTCGGTCCACCATGATCCGGTGGCAATACTAACGCCCTCTCCGCTTTAGTAAGTGTTGAGAAAGCAGGGAGTTTAAAAAGCCATTGAAGGGATTGATTTGCTGTTTGATCAGCTTCGTCTAAGGCTTGAAGAGTAGCTTTGAATGCGTTGGTACTAGCATCGTGAGCTGGGCGTTTACGAACGTATAGAATTTGAGTTGATTTGAATGCTTCCACATGGGCTTTATTGCTCTCAAGATCCAGAACAACATTCCAGTACTCAGAACTGCATGTTCGAACCGTTTTAATCTGGTTGATTTCCGGGATAAGACAAGGTGTGTGGCGTTCTTCTTCTTTCCCATCACGAAGTGTAATTTGAAGAGGTATTGGAACAGGTTGATCAGTGTCAATATCTCGTGTAATGAGGCACCTAGGTTCCGCAGCTAGGACCCAGAAGTGACGGAAAGCTTGTAAGTGAGATTTGTTATCCTGAACAGTTGATGGAAATATCGGATAGAATGCCACAAGTAATGCGGCAATTGCTTTATCTGAAGTTCCGAAAGTGAAAGTACCACCACCCAAGAATAATGCACCAATGGCAAGATGAGCTGCAAGATGACTACCATAGGGTGTTTCACTATCATCACGACCGTGCATTGAACGAAGTCTACGAAGAACAGCAATATCTCCAGTGCCCGCCATGACAGTAGCTACCCCAAGAGCCACCAAGTCTTGGCAATTGCGAACGGTATTTCTTGCTAACTTCTTATCAAAGGAATCCGCTTCAATTTGACATATTCGCCTAAATTCGTCTAAATAGTGCAATAGAATATCTCTCGCGGTCAGATTTGCCGAACCGGCGAATCTCAAAGCAATGCTGAAACAGAGCCCAGTTAGTATATCGTAGAATGGGAGGTCTGCGGATGTTAAGGTTCTGATCCATTGTAACGAACTTCGACTCTTGTAAGGAGTGGGTAGGCTCTTTTTAATCCATTTATGTGAAGGCTCTATCTTGCTCCACATTATTAGATGCCGTGCGAGTGTTCGAAGTAGAAAAGCGTCAGGTCGAACGTAATCGAATTGGAGAACAGAGTCTGGTACGTCTACCTTGCGAGCCAACACCTGGTTCTCCGATTTCATATATATAAGAGCGACAGAAATGATTGCCGCAGCCGTGGACTTGTCCAAGATGTGTACAAGGTCAACTTTCTTGCTTCCGGCAGCCAATGAAATGAGTCTCTCTGTGAGACGCATATCGTGAAGTCCTTTCAGATCAGAGCCCTTGCCGAGATTGATAAACCCAAGGGCAAACCCTGCCGCGAGTCGGTAGCCTTCGTTTCTCAAAGGCTCCTCATCAACCTCTTGATCAATATGCTCCATCTCAGATACCATAATTTCACTCATCCGACGATGTTGGGTGTTACAATATAGCAAGCCTATACCCATAATACCAGTAGTCTGTGTGAGTGGAGAAAGGTTCAACTCGGCCGCTCCAGGTGGGAGCATTCTTGTCACATGAACTGATAGTAGCCGTGTGATCAATGAATCCATAGTCCCTATATAGGATGCAGCCAATCCTAAAAGTAGTCCAATAGATGTCATTGTATGTTTTGGTGTCAGGTATCTGAAAGCAACCCATTTTGCTACCGATTTAAGATGGCCATTAAGACCAAGTGCTAGTAAGAACCCAGCATGACGGTTACTTAGATCTTGTTGTGGCTTGTTATACAGAATCCATGAAGTATCAATACCTTTTGCATCTCGAGAAATGCTAAGACCAGCAGATACGCCTGCGTGGAAGAATGCCCAACAGACCTTTTCTTCGGTAAATGCGTTCTTATCAACACCTATGGTATTATTATTTGGTTTCATGACACAGCTTAGATTGAAACCCCCAATAGCAAATCTTTGAGTTAAAAGGGGGATGCGAGCACTGTAATATAGTAATCCTTTGCCAGATGGTATGGCCAAAGTGCGATAAGCCAGCATTTGCGCGTGCTCTTTTTGAGCTTCTAACAATTCTGATTCTGTCCAGTCAGGTGAGGATTTGACACGAGCAACTGTAGATCGGAAAGTGTTTAGTATGTTAGATGCTTCATTTACTCTTCTGTCATCTTTGAAGATGGTCCGAGTAATAGCTTGACGATCTACTTCGGCGGATCCATCGAACGCTCCAGTTGTTTCAATCTCAGTTGTAGATGCGCAGATAGCATGAACGTCCAGACTTGATTCATGTGAGGGTGGCTATAGATGTTAGCTTTTGTTGATATAATGGAACTCTTAACTCACTAATAAAGAGGGCTGAAAGTTTCGAGCCGAACGGCCGGGCGTTAACAGCATAGTAACATCTTCACGACCAACCAGTGCAAGCAGTTCTCGACTCCATGTTGTTGGAGGTTCACTTTGACATTCGACGATCGCTTCTTGAAGAGGTGCGAGTATAGCCTCTGGTAAAGTCTCAAGAAAAAGGCTATCTACTCCAGAAGCAGACAGTGCTTCTACGAGTTGTACAGGAGACCATCCATCCTGCATGCATGAAAAGAATTGTGCAAGTTGCAATGTTCTTGGTGTTGAGCTACGCCATCGCTCAAGATCTCTGATGCCTCTAGTAGGAATGGCAGACCTTAGTGTCACTATATCTTGAAGCGTCAAAAAGGGCATCAACTTTCGACCAAGAAAACAATCCTGAATCCATGTGTAAATTGATGGACAATCAAACGGCTCAGCAACTTGATTTGCGAGAATGAGATCTACGGAGATAGTGAGCAGTTTCCAACTTGCACATAGAGTATAGAAGCTTACCGATGTCATAAGGTGCATCTACTAAAGAGGCTTCTTCAGTCTCATAAAAATCGATCCAGCTTTCCCACCTGAGCCATCGGACTATTTGAGTTAGTACCGGTGTTAGAGTAGATACGCCAGTACTAAACGAGTCGGCTGTCATTGTGTTAAGCTTTCTCTCCTCGCGCAATAAATGCAAGGCGGTGAGAATATCAATCAGAGCAGCTTGGCGAAGCTCAAGAGATTTGTTTGTCGCCGTCGGTAGATAGCCTGTAACCGCTTCTTGACCTAATTTTGAGTAGAAAAAGGTTTGTGCAAGAGTCACATGCCTTTTAGTAAAGGTTTCCTTGTCCTTAGTCGTCGATAGAAGGCTTTCCGTTTCAGAGGAAGAAAAAATTCCCGACTCCTCTTGTTCATCCAGAAGCCATTTCCATCCACCGCTGTTAAGCCAAGGCGGCATGGGATTTCCATACGGAGCCAATCGACTGAGCATAGTCTCATAGCAACTCACATCAACTTGCCCGCCACTGCTAGATCGTAATAATGCTGTGCGTGATTTTCTTGTGGCATGAGCCTTCTTCTGAGGCTGTTTGGCTGCACTAAAGCTGATAACCATGGAGAATAAAACAATGAGTAAAGACGTCCATTCTGCATCTGCAGTTTCAACAGATTCAAGTTCAAGCCACCTCATAGCATTCCACCATGTAACAAGCATTCCTTCGCCTCCACTTGCACCTGGTAAAACTTTAGTGCACACCTCAAGAATTTTGGCCACGTAAGGACTGCGTGGCTGCATGAGTATTTGCAGCTGATGCATTTTGCCTTCGTCATCTACCAAATCGACTAGCCCTCGAGGTTTTGGGTTACGCAGACCCTTCAAAGCACGAGGACCTTGACTAAGCACTCTCTTGAAGCTTCCTTCCCTCTTTTCACGTGGATATTGGTCATGACTCAAGTTTCGAATGTTGTATATAACGAAATTTGCCGGCAGAGTCACCTTCATGAGAATACTCCACGGGGCTTGTAGACTTAATTCTCCAAAACCATCATCTGTTTCAGTCAAAACTAGGATACGAGATATATCGCCGTCGTCGAATTTGCAAGCATCGATCACGCCTGGAGCTCTCATAACTTCTTTTAGATTGACTAATGTTATTTCCTTCTCTGAATTTGGAGAAACCTCATTGTCATTGTAATTGGCTCTTCTATGAACTTTGGTGTTAAGAGTCATAACAAGAAGCTTCTTCTCATCTGAATCCAAAATACATATGACAATTGAATTTCCCTGCTGATCATCTGCCGCAGACAGTGGTGCAGGCAATATAAAGATCTTACATTGACTCTTTGCTGGTATATGTTGACTCGAAAAGCGAAGATTACTATGTTCGGCGGAGACACTACAAACTTTGGTAAGGGTGATTTCCTGTCTAAGAGCGTCAAATTCGTCATCATCAAGGCCCATATCATTGAAGCCGCCAAAATCACCTCCAGCACGAAGTTGATCGAGAAGTTCGTCAACTGGTGCTTCAAGGAAACTATTGACGCTCTGGCTCAGTTGACTGGGCTGAGAGAAAGCTTGCCCATTTAGTCCAATACTCGTTCTGGTATGCTGGCTCCCCAAAGAATCGCGAAGTCGACCTGCATTGTGCTGATGACCAGTCGCCAATTCAGAGAAAGCATTTCGTTCATGTGAGGCCGATAAATCTGCTCTTGCTAGCATTGAGCTTACACGTCGGGAGCTTCTCCTAGGCATAATACCACCTTCATAATCAGGATCAAGCGTAGAGGCAAAATCGATCTTTTTGTCTTTTTTCGCATCTTCAGACCACGCAGGAGTTTTCTTAAATCCAGGGGTAGCCCCACCAAAGCTTTCTCGCATGGTCTGCTGGCTATTTCCTATGGGTGTTGTAGCACCTGTTCCACCCGGCATGAATGAGCTTCGTCGGCGCGACGCTGCACCACTCGGAGCTCGAGATTTGCCGTTTGGTATTGGTTCTTGCCCAACATAAGTCAGCTTCCACACAGTATACATACTAGTCTCGCGATTCAGAGTGATGGCTAGTATAAGAGGATTTTCTGAGTCCTTGGCAGAAAATTCGTTTGGTCGAGATACATGAAGAATCTCTTCCGAAGGGTCCAATGTTGATATCTTGCCGGAACTCCTACGCTTTACTCGGCCATCAGACAAGCCTGGCTGAGCAACGACTAAACCCATTTCTGACAATGGATCGGATAAGGAAAATAATCGTGGCCAATTTGCATCACTTTGAATAGAAGGAGGTTCCCACAAATCTCCTAGGGTAGACATTTGAGTTGGCATCTGCATAGGGGCACCTAAGTCCGCAGTGGAAAAGGTGGACTGGATTGAACTTGTCGCAGACCATGGTTGAGGTTGAGACGAGACAAAGGAGTTGGGTGGTACTCGTGGAAACTTTATAGATGCTGCGACATTAGTTTCTGAACGTAACTTTCGCTGTATAATGAGACCGATAGGTGCTGCAGTGGCAGACTCGACCTCAAATGGCAAATGTATAACATGACTAGTTCCAGAGAGAAAGTAAACATGCGCCTGCGTCTTCAAGAACACTACAATTGCCTTTTCCTTTGTATTCGAGCCCTTCTGATGTGTCTTTGGTGTTCCGTTCTTGGATGGTAGCGGTCCCACGCTGGGAAACGAGGTCAACAATGCCTGTGTAATTGGTTCTTTCTCGAGATCAAAATTGTAGCTTTTTCGAAAGACCCCTCCCCGAGACCAAATTACACATCTTGGTGTAACTAATAGTTCGTCGTCGACTTCTGAGCCTGTATCATCGTCGCAAACATTATACCAGTCGTAAGAACTACTAGATGCATCTGCAGTCAGGTATCCTTCTTTAATAGCATATTGAAGTCCTGTAGGTTGATGTAGACCTAGAGAATTGACCAAGGCCATATTTTGGAAATATTGTGAATAATCATGAACGCATACAATTTGCCATAATTTTCCCAATTTTGTTTGTCGCACTCTACCTTTATATATCTCAGGGATTTACGATAATTGCCTCTCCTTCATCCTTTGAGCACTTTCTAGGAAACGCGTCGTGAATGTAGAAGGCGCGAATAAGAACAAGGCTGGAATATATAGAAGGTTAAGTAAGTGTGGTCCTTCAGTGCACGGGCCATACGAGGCTACAGCATCAACTCCCACAATCAATCTTAAGATTGGTTCACCAGGTTGTCTGATTACAGTATGGAAAAAGTTCAAGACGGCAATTTACATCGTCGCTAACCACTGGCTCAAAGTCACATATCATGGTGAGACAGGACTCAACAACATTTTACCACTTCGAATAATACTGTTACCTTTTGAATCAACTAGATTTCGATTGATTAGTCACTTGTCTCCCTGCGAGTGAGATCGTCGGTCTTGTCGTACAGATCGCATCGTAGCTCTCGTGAATATCACTGTATTGGGAGGTAATCGTGACAGCTTGATCACAATACCTGATGTCGGAAACCATCCTGAGAAGCTGCTTTGCCTTGAGTTTCCTTGTCTGCCTCGTCTGATTACTGGTCAAGCACACACGACGGGAAAGTTCCTGTATCCACTATGTCACACCATCTATAAGCTAGGTTATTACTTGTGATACATCTCATATTGCTGTCGAGTTCATTAGCATTGCTCAACCCAGTAAACATTCATGTTTTGGGAGTGGAATCTTTCGTATTCTTAGTCTTTGCTCTTTCAGTAATAGGTACTTCAAGGAGCCCATAAGCGATGTGATTTTTGGAATTCAGAATGCTTCTTACGGTATCCATGGCCGGGGATATTTAGACAATGTGAACCTATACGAGATAAAAGGCAACCCGGCCATATCTCATCATGTTCTCACGAAGATCTTTTCACTTTCCCATGTTTTTTCTACTGCACCCGGAAGCTTGCAGTAAATCACCACACTTAACCTTCCAACCCATTAAAGTATCGCCATGCATTCTTCGTCTTTGCGTCTCTGCTGGAAGTCGTATCACTTACGATGGCCCTGAATCTTCAAATTCAATTATCGTTGCCGCGATGAACGAGGTCCTTCCATTAAACCAACAGGTATCCACCTCCCCCTCTATGATAATTAGTTCTTGCGCTTTTTCACAATACCCTCAAATCAGCTAGTAGAAACACAATCACAAGAATTTTTGCTGAACTTTTTGCCTCGCTTCTTTATCGAACTTTCCAGCGGAATCACTTTACCTTCTCTTACTACGCCGCTCCTTCCTTCTTGTACGATCAATGATACTAACCTGCCCAGGCACACTAGTAAGTGAAGCTGGATGGATCGATTTTACCGTAGACTCATGAGTTAAGAATTACACACCTGATATCAAAATCTTTAACTGTAGTCGAGTAAGCTGGAGATCAGCCGTTGGTGGTGCGAGTTAGGAGATGGGAAATTAGAAAATTTTACAGGGTTGGGGAAAGTTTGAACTGTGCGCGGGGAGTAAATACAACCAATGGAAAAGAAAACCTAAGGAAACATAGTTGGATGAGTGGGAAGCATTCATAATTCAAATTTGAAATTTGGGTCTTTGACTTCGTTCATTACTATGAGCTCTCAACAGAAGAGAACATTTCATTCGAGATTCTGCTTCAAACGCGATGATTCTCACTTGATGTAGACATGCTATGTTCACCTACTGATCAATCGATCATATCTCCTCAGTACTGGACTTCGTAAACACATGGTTGTGAAGACAATGTCAGAAATCAAATGGAAGCTAATACCTAATTCTTAAATCTACCCTCTCGATCTGAACCCGATTCCAAGTCCCCATTGTATACCGGTGAGTCACCTCCAGTCACTAGATTGCGACGCATCTTTTTCCCTTCTTCAATTTCCGGATGTTGAAGTTCAACGGCTTCTAATCGACTTCGCCAATTCCTCAAACAACTCTCTTTTCTTTTTGCCAAGTTCCAAGATGCTACCAACGTAGGCTCCATCGCCGATGAAAATGGTGTCTTCACCACTGCATAGACCGGTATATGCTTTGGCTGTAAATTCGCCGATAGGCATACCCATGTTACGACCGTGGGGTCCCATATAGTCATGGATTTCGGCTGGCATGAGTTTTAGTTTGGATGGGATGGGCGACAAGCAGCTAACGGGCGGGAATGAGATGAGAAGATTGAAGTAAGTGATGGAACAATGGAGGCAAGATAGCAGAGAAAAAATAGGAAGGTAAGCATAAAACTTACTTTGAACCAAGGGAGGGGATAACTCGATGACCTTTACTGACGTGTCCCGAAGGTCGTCCCTTAAGCAAAGAATGAACGCGCTGAGAGCTGCCTTGGAAGAAGAGTAACCCGATACTCTTATGGCTGGCACCATGCTCAGGTTTGTAGTTGTACTTTTATCTCGTTAGTTGATATTCGTTTCCCAAATTAGAAGTGACATATAAGTTATGACGGGATAACGAACTAGATGAAGCTGGTCTCTTGCTTTTTCTTTAAAAGATACGGAAGAAAATCATGAGTTAATACCACAAAGCTGGTAAAATTAACGTGCGTCTCATAAATGAAGCCCTTGATATCAACACTTTCAGGCTTAGAAAAATCATGTTTGCGTTGATATCCTGCGTTGAGGAAGACGCAATCGATATCGGGAGAGCTCTCAATCACGTCAGCTGCAAATTGGGAGGCTTTCTCAGTATCACCGATATCGAAAGAGATGGATTTCGCTTTATCGCCATGCTTGGCTACAAACTCATCGAATCGATCCTTGCGACGACCGACGACGGTGACTTTACATTCTTGAACAAGACGTTCAGCCATTGCAAGACCGATTCCAGATGTAGCTCCGATGAGGAGAACATGCTTATAAGGGAATGACATTTCGAGAGATTGATAGCTTTGATGATACGAAATTAATAAGTAGAATGTTGTGATGATTTGAGATATTGGGAAGTGACACTGGCTTTCACAAAAACTTTATAGAATTTACACCAAGGAGTTAATAATCTTAAGTCCCCCGAATGTCATGGATCGGACTTTGAGATAGATCAAACATCAGCGCCATCAGAGCTCTCCTTGAATCCAAAGGCATGATGTCTGTACCGCTCTCGTCTCTAGCTAATATGGTGGATTGAAGCCGAAGTTCACAGTTAATGTTTTTAATGATCTTCATTGGTCAAAGGTTTAGCGTCGAAATGTATCCCAGAATAGGTAAGGCTTGAAGTGTTTGTGGATTAGTCTCACGAGTGGAACTAGTAACTCTTCTTCCAAAATTCTCCATCCGTTGGCTTGTTGAAGTCGAAGAAAATCGAACAGTCTTTTTGCAAAGAGAGAGAAATCCCCAAATTCAACCAAGTCTAACCAGCCAGCATACCAGTCAACTTGTCTAGGTTTGAGCAATTATCTACGAATTATTCGCTTAAGTTGATAGAATCACACCTGCCAAATTATCCATCGCGGTGATATCAAATTCCGTTTGGTTCTCGGGTGTGGGATCATCATCATGTCCTTTCGCGGAAAACCATCTAAGGCTTGTGAAAGATGTAGAGCTCGGAGACTTAAGGTATGACGGAGCGCGATCTTTCTCCAAGCATCACGATTGACATTCGTTGCAGTGTGACCTTACACCCGTGACGTGTGGCTCATGTATCAGGGCCAGGGTGATTTGCACTGGATATCGGGATATAGAAAAGCTGCGCATTAGAGATGAAACCGGCAGCCTGTATCGAAAGGCAACGACTCTGCGTCGACGTACCAATGAAACCAGTGATGGTCGAAATTCGCTGCTGCTGAAATTAGAAGCTGCCAATACCGAACCACGTTATCTACCGGTAGCACTTGAAGTCCAAGCGAAAGATTTATTTTTCGACCATTACATTCTTGCAGGTCAAACTAACGGATCAAGGGCTTGGGACTTCCTGAAGCCATATTATCAATTGGAGAAAGCACCTGTATGTTTGCAACTAACAATAGATGCTGCCAGTCTAGCATACCTTTCACACCAGTTCGGCTCGCAAAAAGCGCGTGTAATTGCATTGGAAAGATATATAGGTGCTCTTGGAGTCATGAGTAAAGTGCTAGAATCGCCTGAAACATCAAAGAAAATGACGACACTCTTCACAACTTTGCTTTTGGATTTGTTCGAGAAGCTCTCAACTACTCAACCTTTCGGAAATCGAGGGTGGAGCAGCCACTTACGAGGAGCTCTAGCTATATCCGAAATATGTGGAGACCAATTTACTACTTCAAGCACTGCAATGCGTGCTTTCACACGATTGAGCACAAATTTGCTCATTACCTCTCACGCAGGGGGTACTACCCTTCCGAGTGGCTTCTTTCGTCTCCGAGAATGTTTAGAAAACAGCCCGTCCATCGATGTTTCCAGAAATCCCAAATGGCAATTGGTGAACATAATGGCACAATATGTCAATTTGCAAAGCAATATTCAGAATGGAAAACGCGCTAGGGAAAGCTCTCTTCGAGAAGCAAGGGAATTGGATTCCATTCTCACGAATTTCTCTGAACGTGATGCAAAAATCAAACAAATATTCAAAGCTGTACCCTCCAGGATGGCCTATGGAAACTTCTACTATTCATACCCCGATAGACATTCCACCCAAACGTGGAACGTTGTGTGACTGGCTCACGTTAAAGTGGTGAACTTCCTTATGTTAAACGCAACCACTGAGACGAACCGTTCGCAGTATCTTACCAAAGTAAATGAGATTTCGTCTAAGATTTGTGCTTCTGTTCCACAATATCTCGACTGTATGGGTGCTGTGAAGTCGCTAGGACAAATAGAACTACTGCACCCAGTTGCTACATCGCGTAATTCTAGCACGTCGCATACACCTTCGCACAAATTGGCCTGCTATACACTTATATTCCCACTTTACGTAGCTGGATTTGTCAATGACTCTGACTCCAATATATGGAAATGGGCTATCGAAAAATTGCATTATATCGGCAGTCATTTTGGTATTCGAAATGCCGAACTTGTTGCTCAAATTCTCGAGAAAAGAAGCGAGAACGATCCGTGGAAAGTGTATACCATGCCTGGCAGCTATGCGTTCGGTGCTTGAAAGGAAGTTGATATTACTAGTCTTCTGGGTTCCTCTTTCAAAGCCCCTCTTTTATTAAAAGCGGCGGCTCGGTACTCAATTTGGCTCTTCAACGCGATTCCTACCCCAGACGGATACATTTCTTCAAAAAGACATAAATCCGATGCATTTATCCGCTGAAGATTTAATCCTTGCGATTGAACACGTCTTTCACGTTACCACAATCCTGCCCTCAATCGTAGCCATACGTATCTCGCAAAAGCGAGGGTTTGCAGATGTTAAAGCATATCGCCATTCTGGAGTGCCACGCTCCAAATCTACGTCAGAAGAAACATGAGATGAATTTTTAATCCATCCCTTCTATGCGTCGGAGGAACTAAAGCTAGGCTCCATTTCTTCACCTTTTGATATGTTCATTTGATCATCTATTTTGACTCCACTTGATCAATAAACTTGGCATTTTTGAACACCTCGGTATTTTTCACACATTCGATGAGAAGTCTAATGAAAACTCTACCACCATCAAGAATTTCTAGAAAACGGTTGAATATGGTAAAATTGAATTGAGAGACAGATATTATCCCGGTTCTACGCTATTGTCATGATTACTTTTCATTTAAAATAGTCAATGCCGCCACTTAACATTATACCTCGGAGTTCAACTTGATGGAAGAGTTGCGATTGGTGACTCTCCCAACGTTACCTCGATATTCTCGATTTGGAGAATGTCCCGAGGGATTGCAGATATCTGCAAATGATGCGATTGTAATATCAGAGATCGCGAAATGGTGCTAACTAACGCGCCGTGAATGCTACTGTCGACATGGAAACAGAAGTATAAAGTCACAATGTTCGATTCCAAGATTATTAGATTATTGAGATCTTCATCTTCTCGACTCATTCTTTCAAGGCGACCCAAAGATTTTATGCAAAGTTTTTAACCATGATTACGACTGGTTCTCTTCTGGCTCTAGTCGGCTTTGTTGGGGCTCTCAATCCAATCGCCATCGTTCCTCAAGGCGTCGTCAATGGCATTCTTTCCCCCGTCCCAGGAGTCACTTTGCCTGTTGTCAAATTTCTCGGTATACCCTATGCAAGACCACCTCAACGCTTTAGCCCACCTGTTATACCAAGCTCATTTGCAGGCAATTCATACAACGCAACACAGCTTCAACCAGCGTGTATTCAGCAATTCAACTGTATGTGATAACATCGCATCTTGTATGGGGACTTTCCTGACCATCTACAGATCCAGATGCTGCTCGTGACTTCACTCTGGCTCTCTTCAATAACCCCCCACCTGCATCAGAAAGTGAAGATTGCCTATATCTCAATGTATATGCTCCATCTGCAGCTACTCCCGCTTCGTTACTTCCCGTTATGGTGTGGATCTATGGTGGAGATTTGCAATTTGGCTCAGCGTCATCTCCATATTATGATGGTAGTAATATAGCTGGAAAGCAAAATGTGATTGTGGTAACTTTCAACTACCGAACTAATAGTAAATATGCTCTAGAACTCTTGCAAATTGACGTTATAATCTAGCAATGGCTAATCAGACCAAGTATTTGGCTTTCCTAATTCTCCAGAATTGCCCAACATAGGGCAGAACTTAGGACTTCTTGATCAACGACTAGCACTAGCTTGGATCAGAGTCAATATCTTAGCATTTGGTGGCGATCCTCTAAAAGTAACAATATTCGGCGAATCCGCAGGCGCACTATCTGTGGATGCTCTCGTCACCAGTCATCCAATTCTTCCAACATTCCGCGCAGCAATTATGCAATCTGGACAGGACAGCATTCGGACCCTAACAGCCAAACCAGGACTTGGCTCCATTTCTGGTACCTCATCTTGGAATGCCCTCGCTGCTGGTCTTGGCTGTTCAACCGGCAGCGCGCTTGCTTGCTTACGAGCTGCCGATGCACTCACCATTAAATCTTACATTGAGCATGCGGAACTATCGTTTCAGCCAGTTGTGGACAACGTAACTCGCGTTTCGAACCCGCAACTTAAGAGATCAAATCGCCAAATTGCAAATGTACCGGTACTTATCGGCTCAAATGCTCAGGAAGGTTCTGCTTTTGTTTATGGACAAAGCAACATTACAGCAGCTTTACAAGCATTGTTTCCGGGCAATGCCACACTACAGGCTAAAGTTTTTGCTACGTATTCTGTCGGCAAAGAAGGATTGAATACACCCGCTGCTGTCGTCGAACAAATTTATACCGATATAGTATTCCAATGTGTACGTTTAGCTCAATTCCATCTTTCCATTCCACAAACTTCTAACTAACTCTCCACTCCATAGCCTAGTGCTATTGTCGCAAACTCAAGCTCCGCCGCCGGTTACCCTACCTTCCGTTATTACTACAATGCAACCTTTGCCAACATCCAACCAGTCCCAGGCCTCGGCGCTTATCACTCCTCAGAAATCCCCCTCGTCTTCGGTAACTTACCGGCAAACTCTACAGTAGCCGAAAAAAGCCTAAGTGCCTTGATCCAAAAGTCATGGGCCAATTTCGCCAAAAATCCTCAAGTGGGCCCAGGGTGGAATAGACTGAATGTCAATGCAGGCGTCAATCAGGTTGCTGTGCTCAACTTTGATGGGTTAGGAAGTGTGAATGGAGGAGCACTGGATAAGCGGTGTGCTGTTTTCAAATATGATTTGGGAGGGTTCTAGGGAGATATATGCATACATAATTCTATCAGTTTTCTGGACCTGGAATTTATTGCTATCATGTATTGTCGTGTGTTCTCACGATGTGCATTACATTCTACCAGTGGCTTGGTTCGCAATTAGCTCCGAGAAGATTGCGTACACCTTGCACATACATGCATATATATATACAGCACATGTAAGACCAAAAAAATATTGATACACCGTAAGCCAAGTATCCTAAATAGGAGATTTTTGACCTCTAGTGTCTTCTCCAGTATTGGGGGTTTGCGGGCAGAATAGCTTATCTACTGGCCCATTAATATTGGGTCCAAATTTGACTTCAGGAAAAACATCAATTGTCTAGACTTTGGAGTGAGATTGGTGGCACATCAGTTTGCTGACTGTAAAAGATATACTTTCAGTTTTCGTCGAGTTATATACTTGCACGAAACAATTGTACATAATCACATACAAATACAGCTTCCGTTGCGCAAAACTTCGATGAAATGTCTCTCGCGTGTAACTGTTGTTTCGCAGGTATGTAAACAGCCGTTAGTAGAACACGAGAGGTACTCGAACGACTGGGGAAATCCGAACCCTGACTTTGATCTATTTCGTATCGCATTATGCGGTCTCACAATACTTTTTGTCTCACAATCGGTAAGTGGGATAATGATATTCCGATGCTGATGCTGATGCTGATGCGATATTCATATACATCGTGACACGTGTAGTCTTAAGGTTTTTTCTCACGGTAATCAATGCAAGCTTATCTCCGTAACTTTATTCGATTTCTTCCATGTACTCAGAATGTACTCTTACTGTCTCCATAGAATATCAGCCTTGCTGACTTCGTGTAAGACTACCCAGCACTATCTACCTACCTATCGACCGAGCAATTACGCAAGGAAACTTAGACAGACAGACAATGCTCACAAGGTTCTACGAGAGGCGTATATTGGCTTTACACAGCCATATCATCTCAGCAGCTTACCGTAGATTTATTGACATCAATATCGTTCCGAATATTGTTCCTGATATAACGGAAGATTAATCACGAGCTGGCGGTGGAGTGAGTCAAAATGAAACATGTAGTCGCGGGATATATCGCATGAATATCAGCTCAGGTACAAGGCATAAATTCTTGATATTCAAGGTTTGGAGACTCCGATCTTATTTTTTGTGCGACGTGCGATGTTTATCTGAAGAATGTTTAGATGAAGAGCGCTTGGTAGTGACATGTTTCATGCCTTTACTGATATCTTATTTGGCAGCTGAATAGAAACTCTGAATCAGCGAGAGCTAAAGGAAGAGTCAGACGAAATGCATTAACAGACAAATTGGGTAATGGATTGAAATTTTGGTTCCCGTCAGCAAGAGTAGCGAAAGCCCGAAAGCCTCAGCGGGAGGAGGAAGGCTTGCAGATGCGCCAAGCTGGAACCAAAGGCGTGGATCTTAGGCTTGCAGATTTCACGATTGGCACGATGGAGCGAATGATTAGTGGAGGTGGAGGTTTCTATTTGGGGACTCGATGGCTGGCTATTCCTGAAACTGAATCGCTACATGTTGATATGCTATATGAGATGACACGAGACGTCGTCTTGCTGTACTTGTTGGTTTTTTTCGAAGGTATTTGCTCCTTTTAGTAGAATGTCTCGAATGAAAAATCCATGATTGTCAGTAAGCAAAGGAGCTCTAGTTAAAGTGTCTTTGTAAAATGTCGCTGCTGTCTACAGTATTATTGTCCGTTAAAGACAATGCAACGTGCTGTTCTTGAACCAGAATTTGACAAACAAGACAGTAATATGATATGATATGAGAATGACTCACGCTTTCATCGTGCTAGCATGGCTCTAGCAAGAAAAACTACGTTTGCTCAAAGATAGAAAGGATTTAGCGAAATAATTATCGATCGACAATCAAGTCGGTGATCGTTCTAGAATCAAGTTCTCAGCTTTTACTAACCACAAAGAAAAGAATTACCATCCGCAAGAGGCCTCTGAATGTTAGAAACCCGATGCATGTGTGTCCACAGTTGATATTACCCAGACGAGCGATCAAATATGACACCATTTCTCTTAAGCCGAAATTTCATAAAAGAAAATACGTAATGTAGAAATATTTGGGAGACCAGGAATTCACTGCCAGCGTATATTTCATTTGGGGGTTTCACCACAATCTGGGGGTAAATGCTGTGCATAATTGCATGCAGATTTTATCAAGCATACACGGGTCAAATAGCCGAATGCTACATTACAGACGGCGAACACGAGAATATTTCAATACTTGATTTAATTGCACAAATATATAAAAATAACTCCAGGTAAACAGAGGGAAGAATGTAACATCGCCCAGCTCGTATTGTGGTTTGACTTAACACAATTCCATCTTTGAATAGAAAATAGGTCTCGTAGCAAATCGCGCCGCACCCCAATTACTTCGGATTTAAAGCACCAGAAGAAAAGTTCAGAAGATAGCAAGAAAAGAAATGTGAGGTAAAAAATGTGGAAAATTTCTAAGATGATCAAACAATTGAACCGCCCTTGGAAGTACAGGTTGCGATGACCGAAGCCGGCGTCGTCGTCTTTGTGATTGTGATCCTAGAGAAAGTAAGATGTTAGCAAGATTGTATCAGAGTATGAGACTCCTCAAATAGATTGGATTCCACGCAATGAAACATATGCATACTTGTATGTGATTGTCGATGTAACTGTGGTGATGGTGAAAGTCTGAGTAGTCTTTGTTGTTGTAGGTGTTGGTGCCGTTACGGTTGCAGTAGTTATTCCGCTGCGAATAGTAACTGGTACAGGGGTACTATGGTCTTGTTAGAAATTAGAAGATTTAGAAGGGGGATTGATTCTTACATAGTGGTCAATGTAGTTGTAGTAGCTAAGTGAGTGAGGTGTATTAGTAAATACTAGCATTCATCATGCAAAGTTCAGAAAGTAGTATCTCACCTGTGCTGAAGAAAGTTGTAGTAGCAGCAGTACTGGTAACAGTGGATGTGATCCAATCAGATGTGATTGTGTCAGTAACTGTCACAGTTGGAACATCTGGAGCACGCTTCTTGAGCTTCTTTGCCATGACGCGACCAACAGCGCGACGTCCAAGAACATTAGCAATGTCAACAATAGCATCTCGGTTTTCAAGATTAGCCCTTGGAGCTGGGGTAATGACTGCAGCTGCGGGTGCTGGCATGGCAGTACGCTTGACGGAAGAATTGGATGTGACACTTTGAGCCAAGAGAAGGAAATGTTGATTGGGGTATACGTCCTGCATGGGAGGCTTGGTTGGAAGTCTGCATGAGGCCGTTTTTGTAACTGTAACGATTGGGAAAGTGTATTTTCTTGAAGTAATAGTCCGTGTGGAGGTGGAAGTTTTCGTAGTTGTAACCTTCTTGGGTGTAACTGTGACGGTATTCTTGGCAGTGGCGGAAGCTGCAGTGATGGTGACAGCAGGAAGCGTGGTTGAATCGGTATCAGTAATGGTAGTTGGTAGAGTTGTTGATGGTGTCACGACATTCGTGATATTCACTAACGAACGTCAAACTCCCAGAACTCTCATCAAATCACTTTGAGCAACTTACCGGTCGGAATGTACGTTACTGTGGCTTGAGTTCCAACGGTGAGTTGAAATGTTCTCTGAGCGGCGAAAGAAGCTCCAGCTCCATTGTTTGCCAAAATAACAATGGTCCAAGTTCCGCTGTACATCTGATTTTTGGAGATGGGACTGACAAACGTTAGTTAAAGTGTCACTTTAAGTCCTTGAAAAGTATAAATACCATGTTGAAAGCATGTTGGTACCGTCAGGTTGAGTCTCAATGTCACTGCACTCCCATGAATCGTCATTAGGGGCAACGAGAATCACCTCAGCCTCGCCTGAGCATCCGGTAAATTGAGTGACGGCGGTGAAGCTGGAATTATCTGCGCTGTTGATGAAGTAGTTTCCTCCATTCTGGAAATCGATACCATATGATGCACAGTCTGCCTTGACATAAGTAAAAATGGATGTTAATACAACGAACGTGTAAGAGAGATAAACGATTGAAGAAAACATGATGAAAAGTCAAACGACGATGATTGATGAATTTGATGAACGTGAGTACGATTGGGTTCGCGGGGTCATATAGCAACTTTGATATCTGAGGATACTTTATGAGCTGGATCGACTGTATCTGAGTCGTTCCGCTCCTCGCCGAGCCCATCCAAAAAAAGAAACATACCGCAGCTACAGAATCGTAGGCACGCGCAACACTACACAGGATTGTCCAAAACTACCCAGAATATTGATGGATTTCATCTGACAGAATGAAAAATATCCATAAAGCAATAGAAACGGAACGTCTCCAGCTTCTGCGTTACACTAGATACCAAGATACAAGCCTTGCTGTGCCGCACAACAAACTCAAAAAGTCGATCTCGAAGAATGATCCTTATTGGCTTCATTGCTTGATCTCATCTTGTCAGATGCAATGAAGTGGAGTGATAAATGTGGAGAGAGCCTGGAGAGTGCAATGAGAGGAAGGATCAATACGAAGGATGATGTGTGTGCTGACAGTGACTTGAGCGATACTTCAAAGCTACTATACAATAATGTGAGATGACTAGGTATCTCCAACTATCTCTGACTCTTTCTGACCTGGACGCAGATGAACGCCACAATCTTCATCTTTGCAGCTGTCCTACTCTCGGTATCGGTACTGGGGTAAGTATACCGTGTATCTTGGTCATTTTCATATAAACAAGGCTTTAAATCGCATTTCCAACTCCGATACGACCGTGTCATAGTTCAGCAGTCCTTGCGATCATCAGCATGCTACAAGAATATATGCCGCTCAGTGAAGAGTGTGTTGGATACCAAGCCGCAAGGCTTTGTTTCTTTTAGAATATCGCGGATGTCATGGTACAAACAAGATCGGGGCAAGAAAACCCCAAGGTTCGGGCAAACCCTGTAAAAAAAGAAGCCCTGATGCAGGGTAAACGCAGGGTAAACACGTGCGCCAGAAGCCTGAAGACTAAGCCAATAAATAAACGAGCCGCTGCTGTGGCTCACTAATTTTAAGCCAAGGATAGGCTGCAGATTATCAAAAACAGCTGCATAATATTGTTTTGTCAATTTTTATTACCAAATCAAAGATTCATTCGACTCTTTTGACTCTTTTTGGTGATTCTTGTGATTTGGTATCGTTTCGTATATTTATTTCCCGTCGGATGCTTCCGGAGGATGGATTAAATGTGATTTAGCGTCAAAAGTTCGTGAATAACGGACGACTTAGGCCCAATTGAAGCCCAGTTCCAGGTGCCCAGACGCTAAGTACACACTAATATACTTGTCAACTAGACTAATTATTCAGTCTTTCCAGGGGGTTTCTGCAAGTCTGAGTAAGCAAAATTGGTGAGTTCACTGAATTTGCACTCACGACATCTTCCATAAACCATCGATCTTAAATTCTACGGCACAAAAGAAATCCTAGGTCCATCAACCCGTCAAAGATCAACACAGTCAAAGCCAAGCGAGCTAGTCATCTATTCCATGAAGAAGGATCACACCTGATCATTTCAGCCTCGCAAACATGAAGAAATTCGGCCTCGGCATAAGATCGTGATATTGATAATCTTCCTGTGGATATCTTCGGAAACGGGAAGCATACGTATGCCAATAATCGTGTGAGATGCAACTGTTGCTATTGTTATCATCTTTTCCCGTAGAATCTCGGATGTGGAAGTTTGAACGAATCTTGGCGTGCCACCAAAGCAACTACAGTATTGTCCGAGGGCTGACAGCATATGTACTATGCTGCCGTGCCTGATTTTTTCTACTAATATCACAAGCCATGCACTAAGGCTTATCATTCTAGTTCTTGAGGATTAGCATCATGTAGAGTGGTGTACACTTTTGAAGTGATCCTGATCCGGAATCTTGATTTCAATCAACAAATCAGATGATTGGACATGGAATGTTTTCAGCTGAAGTCACAGCAATTTTTGGTCATTGGATGTTCCATCCCGGGATGCAAATAAGCCACGAAGTTTTTGATAAACAGTGCCATTTGATAGCGCGTATGGTAACACTGTGATGGCTGCTTCTCCTGCTTGTCAGTCGAGCCTCACCTCGTGTCAGAGACGGCACCGCGATCTCGTGTGCATCGACATGGGAATCCAGAAAAAGCATCTCCATGCTAGTCACAACTGTCAGAGTGTTGATCTGACAAGATAAATACATCAAGTCTCACTTGAATGCGCAAATATTACTCTCTTCAGATCAATTCCCTCAAGTTTCTTTCTCTAACTTGCTCAAAATGAAGTTGTTGAATATTCTACTTTTGTCTTCCGCTGCCATTGGAGCAATCCTCCCAGCTCAAATCAATGAACGTGATGGTCTAGTGAAACGACAGACGGTCTCCAGTAGCAAGACAAGCACTTCATCGAAAGCTTCCAGTACTTCATCCAAAGCTTCCAGCACTTCATCAAAGACATCATCTGGTACCTCCAAGTCCTCAAGTTCGTCAACCTTGAAGTCGTCATCAGCTGGCTCATCATCTTCGAAGGTTTCAACAACTACTTCAGGCACGTCAACTTCTGTTGGTACCACGACAACTTTGAGCTCAAGCTCCACCTCTGCTCTTTCTAGTCTGGTCGCTGATCCTGCTTGCACCAATTCGCCATTCACCAGAGCCTGTTGGGGCAATGGCTTCAGTATTGCAACTGATTTCGATACTAAGAACCCCAACACTGGTGTCACCAGGAAATATAATTGGGAAGTGACCAACACGACTTGTGCCCCCGATGGAGTTACCCGGCAAAATTGCATGTTGGTTAATGGCCAATATCCTGGACCAACCCTATATGCTGACGTAAGACTTTTATCGCTGCTCTCGTAACATGTGCAAATTGCTAACATACTTTTAGTGGGGTGATATGATCCAAGTTACCTTGAAGAATTCCATGCCAGATAACGGTACTGGTATTCATTGGCACGGACTTCGACAATACCACACCTGTACAGAGGATGGTGTACCAGGAATCACAGAATGTCCCCTTGCTCCTGGTGATACCAAGACATACACTTTCCAAGCGACCCAGTTCGGCACGAGCTGGTATCACAGTCATTACTCCGCTCAATATGGCGAAGGAATGCTCGGTGGAATCGTAATCAATGGGCCCGCAACTTCTAACTATGATGTTGATCTTGGAGTATACACCATCTCAGATTGGTATTATACTCCAGTGTTTGTACTCGGTGAAAGAATAGCTCATTCTCAGGCTGGGCCGCCATCGGGTGACAATGGACTTATCAACGGTAGTATGGTCGCTCCTGCCGGTCGAACTGGTGGAAAATATACCACGAACACCATAACCGCAGGCAAAAAGTACCGTCTCCGTCTCATCAACACTTCAGTCGACAATCATTTCATGGTGTCATTAGATAATCATGCTTTTACCGTGATCACAAGTGATTTTGTTCCCATTGTCCCATACACCACAAACTGGATTTTCATCGGTATCGGCCAAAGATATGACGTTATCATCACTGCCAACCAAACTGTTGGAAGCTATTGGTTTCGAGCTGAAGTTCAGAACGGGTGCGGTACTAACAACAATAATGGAAACATCAAGAGCATCTTCACCTATTCAGGAGCAGCTAGTACCACTCCATCATCTTCAGCTACTCCATACACTGGAAGATGTACCGATGAAACTGGACTAATTCCTTTCTGGGATAGCTTTGTGCCCAGTGGTCCACTTAGTGGAAATGTTGATCAACTCAACGTCGCCATCAATATTGGTGTCGATGCCAGCGGACCAATCGTAACATGGGGAATCAACCTCAGTGCCATTGATGTCGACTGGAAGAAACCTATCCTGCAATACGTACTCGATGGCAACAATTCCTGGCCTGCTTCAGAGAATTTGATTGAATTGCCCAATGCCGCTCAATGGTATTATTGGATCATTCAAGAAGTACCTGGAAATGTGAACGGAAACCCAGTCTCTATCAACGTCCCACATCCAATGCATTTACACGGTCATGATTTTTTCCTTCTGGGTACAGGAGTTGGAACTTACAACAACACAATCAATGCACCAAACCTTGATTACGACAACCCAACTAGAAGAGATGTTGCCATGTTGCCCGCTGGAGGATGGATGGTTCTAGCATTTCAAACTGACAACCCTGGTGCTTGGTTAATGCATTGTCATATTGTAAGTATTTTCTTTCCACGAACCACTTCCCAGAACACTCATACTAACACACAATCAGGCATGGCATGTAAGCGAAGGTCTCGCGGTACAATTCCTGGAAACCAAAAATCAGATCAACGCTGTAAATCCAATCTCGCCAGCATTGACGAATACCTGCAATAAGTGGAATGCATGGTATCCATCTCAAGCTCCCTATCTCAAGACCGACTCTGGCCTTTAGAACTGTGTTGATGCGGGGGTTTTGGGCACAATTTTGTTATTTTTGATTGCGTGTTTGATTCTTTGAGGATGGCTGAAACCTTTCCGGGGCTCGGTTCTCTTGTATTCGATTGTATCAGTATATAAGTAACAACTTAGGGAGAGGGTGTTGTACTTTGTTTTTCGGAAAGGCAACAATTCTTGTTTTGGGTGGGTGTTTTGTATTGTTTGTTATAAATTTGGAATATAAATGCGAGATTTCTCCGCGTCTATTGTATTATTGAATATGATTTATCTATCATCGATAAATGTGTTTAGTGCTTAATATGATTTGAGTAACAAATAAGGCGATGTAATCGTCAAATACTGTACCTTACTTACAGAATTTTTTCATGGCGCAGAAGTGCTTGTCCGATCATGCATTCGGCAAGCCTAGGTGTCATAAATTACACTCCACCAGAGGATTCTAGAAGTCATAAAGAATGATAGAGTTGAACATCCAGCGTGAATATGCATCATTGCGCTGAAGAATTCTAGAGCCAATGAGAGATATGCAACAAATTCTCTGAAAAATGATACGCGATCAATAAAGGGGCATTGAGCTACTGACCAGGGTTGGACTAAAAACAAAACTAATAAAGCTTGTTATCTAAAACTAGTCAACTTCAACTGCACGGACTTGAAACAAGGCTCACAATGACATCTCCCCATTTCCAACCCACTAGGCGCCGAGACACAGAATCCCCGGATATAACCGATGTCCCTACATCTTACACAACCCCACATCTTGCACAACTTCAAATTCACTATTACTACAACTTCAATATTTAATAATAATTATAATTTATAAGATATCAAATTGAAACTTTTGAATATTTATAATATAATATAATATTATTATATAGAGTTATTAAATAATTAAATTTTAAATCTTATTGATATTTAATCACTTGTCTTTTTCTAATTCTAGTTTCTATTCCTTTCGCCTTATTTTTTAAATTATTAACTTTCTTATTATTCAAAAGCTTTATAGTTTTTTAAGATATTAAATCTATTATAAAAAAAACTTTTGAAATATCTTTAATCTCTTTAATAAATAATTTGGGTATTTTATAAACTTTTCTATTATATTTTTTAAAACCCTATAGAATCTAATAATTAATCTTTTTTTGCTTAACTCTCTTTTGTATTTCTAAATACTTTTTTTGCTTTTCGATTTGCTTTTTAGTTTTCTTTAGTTTTTTAATTTTCTTATTCTATTGAATAGCAAGCTTTTTAATGAATTAATATATTTTAACTCTCAAAATAATATTAGGGGAATATAAACATATTTTATTTATTTCCTCTCCTATTAGATTTAATTTTTTAAATCAAGTTCTTTTCTTTTTTTCCATTTTAATAACTTTTTTTAATCCTTTTGTTTTATATAATTGAATATTAACTTATATAATATTAGTAAAAGTAGTTTTGAAAAACTTTAAAATAATATTAAAATTATTTTGAAGCCAAAATTCTAATTTGAGCTTACAAAAAGCTTTTGTAGTATATAATATTTTAAATTTACTTTCAAATAGTTATATTGATATAGGTAATATAAAGAAAGATTTAGATATAATATTAGTAATAATAGCTTTTTTATATATAAAATAAATATTTATTTTTTTAAAGAAAAAAAGTATATTATATATTATATAGATTTGAATCTAAGCTTTTTTAAATATAATCTAAAAATTCTTTTTAATAATTTCAGATAATCCCTTGTTTTTGTACAATAAATCATTCAATATTATATTATAATTTATTAAAAATAAAAGGAAAAAGCTGTAATTGAAAAATTGAAATCGATATATAGAATATAATAGCAAAATTAGTAATATAATTTTCAATTTATTATATTTTGATATAAATTCTATATTAATATAATTAGAATAATTATCTATAATGAGTAGATAATATTCTTTATCTATTTTTTAGTATATATAGTATTAAAAAATGTTTTTAAGCTATATAAAACCAAAAGTATTAAATGATTATCTATTACTTGGAAACTTTGCTAAAACGTTGTATTCCTTTCTTTCTATTATTATTATATATCCTAAAGGTCCCTGATTCCTTTTTATTAAAATAAAAATAAAATGGTATACAACTATATTATTTAATTAAAGATATATATTAAAAATGTAGATAAATTTTCGAAATTCATTATAGAGTTTTTATTAAATTCTATTTGCTTAACGTATTAATAATTTTAGTATCTTTAGTAAAATGAAATCAAATTAATACAATCCTTTTTATTTCAATTCTATATATTCTTGAGTGATATAATATATTTTTCGATGTTTTTATTAATTAAATTAATAAAAAAAAATGGATTCATAAAGCTTTTATATAATAAAGTTAATAATAAAATGAAAACTCTTAATTAAATTATAAAAATATTGAAATATTAATATTAATTAGTTTTCAATATAAATTATTAATATACCAAAAATACTGATTTTTAAAAAATATTTTATATCTTTTAATAAAATAAACTATCTAATTCTTCCTTATAGACTAATTTATAATCTTTTTTATTAGATTTTTAATTATATAATTTATAGAAGATATAAATTTTTATATCAATTTATTAATCTAATTAATTAAATCTTTTTCTTGCTTTTTATTAAAATATTAATAAATATCTTTATAAATAGAAATATAAAAAGCTGATTATTCTTTATATTACCAATATAATATAAAACAATTAATATTATGGATTTTTGTAATAATAATTATATTGGGATTTTTTATAGCTTTATTTTGAATTATAGTTTGCTTTATATAGCCTTTTATAACTAATTTGAGATTTGATATAAATACTATAATTTATAAATTTTGAGGTTAAAAAAAATTGTGTAAAATGTGGGGTTGTGCAAGATGTAGGGACATCGGTTAGAGAAGCCCGAATAGAAATTCCTAAAGTCTAGAGCTATTATTAAGTTCATAAAGCAACACAATAATTGTGTAACAGTGCTACATATTAGGAGACTACTAGAGCGCTTATCGCAGCGCTTTATGCGCTTTTACAAAGCGGTGTTGGGGCCAAAGATTGGAGTACATTGATACGCGGTCGAGAAGCGAGCTGGTGGGATTCTTTAGCGCCGAGGCTCTGCACTCATTGTATCTGATAAGATATTGAAAGTTGTTTCTGCCCAAAACATGGACAATTGATAGATCACATCAGATGTAATCGTGAATTGCCATATTATATGAATCTCGAGGCTTTTTGGCATTTCATTCACAAAAGCGCAGATATCTCGACATTAATATGCATTCATCAAAAGGTACGCATTCATATATGAAATCGGAGAGAGAATACACCGACAGTACTGTGAAAGCAGGGAAAGGATTGGGTCAAAAATCAGTGCGACATGTGTGTATACATTGGGCCAAACAATGCTTGGCAAATCCGTCCCACCATCTTGGATCGTACTGGCTGGTGCAAGTCCAACTACTAACGTCCCGTCGAAACTTATAAATGTTTGCAACATTACTTGAGGAATACAATGACGAACATCAAATGATAATTAAATTTCCTCTGGTCATCACCTCTAGTTCTAATCCTGTACATAGTTTCTTTTCTTCTTCTACGCAGTCATAAATTCAACGAAAATGTCGCGAACACATAAGTCTAGTATCGCTCTAGCCGAAAAAAATTCAATAGAAGACTACGATTCATTTCCACTTCCCATTTACACTTATTTCGCAGAATATGAAGATCATCGGAAGCGACTTCGCATGAGACAGATTTATTGGATTCCAACCAGTCACGATGAATCGCAAGGCCATGGAGTAGTTTTTCTAAGCGAAGTGTACAAAGTATTGGCGGATGGAAAGACATTTCCCAAGCCAAAGGAAGGGTTGAGGTCAATGTTTCATATCAAACCAAGAAATCGAGATCGGCTTTTCGAGTTGATAGAGATATTGTATAAGGGTAAGTCTATCTGGAGCACAATGAGCGGACGTCATCAGGTGAGTACTTTGCGTTTCCGTGAGACGATGAGAGAGTGACGTAGCTAACATGGTTCAGGTCAGAAAAACTCATTTGGCCTTTCTTGACCTTTTGAAGGAAGAAAAAGTCATTGAGGATAGTTATGAAACCTCAAAAGCATACTTTCAAAAAGACTTTGAAAAGGAATGTGAAAAGATGCGCGTGAAGGTAAACAAGAACAAGATCGCACAACCAAAAGATCTCAGTCCGAGTCAAAAAGAAGCGAAGAAACCACACCCTGTACCCCATGTCAAAGTTTAGCAGAGATATAATCGCGTGTGAGGAAATCAAAACCCCTTTCTGGAGAATGTTGTCTGAAAGAACGAGCTGGGTAGGAAACAAAATGCTGAAACACGAGGTTCCTATTGCAGACCATTCAATTATTTCCCTACGAGATACAGGAATGAAGAAGACAAAAATAGTGTTCTTCCAAACCATCTGGAACCCTCTGGCTTTGGGAATTGACTATTTGAGATCAGTCGCCTCTGAACGATTTGATTGTATTGAGATACGATATCATTTATTTTGGAATGCTCCATTTGGAGTTAACACTCGAAGTGCTTGCTTTTTTTTTTTTTTTTTTTTTTTGAGAGGCAAAGAGTTATTATGGGATATCGGGGAGGTGAGATGAGAGCGAGGTAGCTGAAAGTTATTAGGCGTCTACAAGAGCCATCTACTAATCAAATAGGTGCTAATGTTCAATCTTATGGTGTAATGATGTATATACCTTCTAAGGCTTGAGATTTTGAGTTGGCAGTCTGCATATAACTCATTCATTAAATTGAATCGAGTAGATAGTAATATTAACTGATGTCTGCTCTATATCATTCAGAGGATAATTCCTAAAGATTGTTTTTAATCATACATCGATGAAGGAAAGCGAAAAAAGTTGAAATAGTCCTCTCCACTTAGATTTCTCCAAAGTATATAATATCTTTAAAAAACACACAAATATCATTCCGAATTGACTGATTAATCTAGAATTTTGAATTGACAGACGTAAACTAACGTTACAACTCGAATCGACGCTCAATATCCAGCTCTAATATCCTCAAGGAAAGGGTGTAATGATGAAATGCCTAATGCGTATTGATCAAAACGTGAGCTAGAAGACAAAATGGAATTCTTTGATCAAGTACTATATGAATATGAAACGCCATGCAGTCAATATTTCTACACCAACCAACCCCACTCCGTTTCCAACAAAAGCAAAGACCCTATGAGCACCTCGAAAAAAATTCCCAGCAACCCATGGCCAGCCACCCAGCCTACAGACCTTCCAAAATCTCCTCGACAACCGCCCCCAGCATTCTTAACCCATAAGACCTTGCCACCCTCCCCCACCCTTCAATCTTCATTTTCATATCTCCTCTATCTACACTTTCCCCCCACTCTCCTCCACACCCACACCCCTGTCTCAAATCATTAACCTTCAATCCTTTACATCTGACACATTTCAAATCTTGGCCCACCCACTCTCCCACACATCCCATCACTTCCCCAATAATTCTCTCTTCAATGCCTAGATGTTCAAACTCTCCATTACAGAATAGACATTTCCAGCTCCAACTTCCTTCACTGTTAGGAAGTAAATCTTCATCACGACAGAAATCCATATCTCTTGACGTCGTACAAGAATCGCAGACCACGCTGAAGAGTTTGGCAGAAGTAGAAGGATTCTGAAATTTAGCAGCGTTCGAAAATTCGCGGATTTCAAACATTTCTAAAAGTTCTTTTCGTAGGAGACGAGCTTCGAGTGTGATATTTTTGTCAAGAGAAAGAACTTGCATAAGACTCTTTACGAGTTCTAGTGCTGGGTTTGTGGGTTTGAGATGCGAACCAGGGAGAACGGGAAATTTGTAATCTTCCGCAAGTTCGGGATGGAGCATTTCATCTTTTTGTCTGCGAATAATACCGGCGATTTGTTTCTTGAGTGGTTTCTCAAAACTTTTTCCAAGAATGATTTTATCTTCTTTGTCATCTCCTAGATTTCGGACTGGAATTTGAGTGGCGCGAGGGGTAGAATCAATGCCAAGACGCGGCTTCTTGAGATTATGCATTATATCAATAAATTCTAAAACCCAGTCGTTGAAGATTTGTTGGAGTTTGTCGGGGAGGAAGTTGCTCAATTGCCAATGCATGATGTTATCCAGCGATTGATTTTCAGCTTCGACGACTTCCGAGCAGCCTTTACCGCCGTAGTTAAATTCATCATACCAAACTAGATAATCCCAATACTCTTTGATTTCGAGGTCTAGAAAATGGAAAAGAGGTTTTGCCTTGATCGATTTGAGGATATATTGACTGTATGCATAGGCATTTCCGACTTCAGCTTTAGTGGTTTGTAGTAGAAGTCGATTTGAGTTTGCGAATACGACATGAGATCCGACACGCCTGAAATCGGTCATGAGTTGTTGGAAAGCCTTTCGAGACATCATTTGTACGTAGTAATGTAGTGAACGATCGTAGAGAAACGAGTCTGGATTTTCAACCCAGCGGACAAGGTGCTGCACCATGATATCAGCCATGCTACTACCTCTGCAAGCTTCAGTCCACCAAGCTTTGACCATCTCTCTGAGAACTGTAACACCGGCAGTAGCAAAAGCATTCTCGGCATAGAGAACATTGGTACCATCGCTAGGAGCATCGTCTGATGGCGCGGCAGGATTGAAAGATATCGAGTCACTTCCTTCAAGCTCATTGATCAGAGATGACGTCAAGATGGTATTGATAGCCAAATTTCTGACATCAAGCTCAATACAAACTGATGGATAGGTACCAGGATTGTTTACTGAAGGCATTTGCACAGTGTCAAGACCGCCAAGAACATCATCGAGTTCATATCCAGCATGATCTGGCTTTGGACCACCAGACCACCACAAAACAACGTTGCTCCTTTGGAGTCTTCTCGCATAAGCCACATCGATCAAGAAACGAGGATCGTCTCTTTCCAGGTTGCAGAGTGGAACATCTCCATATCTCGCGAGCTCAGTCAAATGAATGACCCATTCCCCGAGGTTTAAGTAATGACTGACCAAGCGCTTTGCTATGACAGATTGCCAGTTTAGTGGAGGGAGTTTACTATCTTGAACGTCTGATTTCAGGGGAAGTATTGGCAAGTCTCCTAAAATAGGCACGTCATGTACCAGTAATCTCCTTTGTGGAGACTGGACAACGAGCATGAGTGGTTTGGACTCATCATTCTTCATTTTCTTGAAAAGGTCACCAACTTCAAGCAATGCTTTTCTTCTTGTTGTGACTTGGCTGATTTTGAACTGAATCTTTTCTTGATACTCGAAACAATTTTGCCAAACTTCTCCCTTTGCATCTTGATGGCGTTTGGCAATGGCATCTGCGTAAGTTTTAGCGATGTTAGGAAGATCTTGTTCGGCAACCTTCGTCTTCTGGAGAATGACAACATATGCCTGCTCTTTTGAAGTTGAGAAGAGTGCAAAGATTTGTCTATCACCAGCAATAACATGGTAAAGGAAGAGGTATTCCATCGACGAATTTGAAAGATATGGATTTTTCGACGAGGCGCGACGGAGTCCAGATAAATCGAAGCCTTGCTCGAGACCTCTTCCTAGGACACCAGGTTGCGTCTCATCAAATGTGCACAAACTTCCCAATTGAAGAACAGCACGAATATTTAGTGGAACTTGCTTCTCATAAACACCTTCCACACTCGGATGATTGAAAAGTAAAGATATCTTTTGCGCTTCGTTTACATAGACATCTTCGGACATTGTAAGTTTGAACAAATGGACGGATGGATGTCCGTTCGGTAGTGTATGAGTGACCTTCTCCGCTTCACAGCCATCAATTTCAATATCTGGTAGTTCCTTGCCTTTCAAATTAAGCAAAACTGTTCTCGGAACCTTGACTTTCAATGTATGTACCTTCGAGTCGATAAGAACGAACGCAAGAACAATACCTGGACTTTCAGTACCTCTCAATTGCAATACCTGCCACGTACTCTTGAATAGTTGTTCGGCTTGATTTTGGAAAGTAGTCGCAATGTTGCTTTGGGCGCCACGATTTTCACCAAAAAGATGTCGACGTCGTATTCTTGCCTGTTTCTGAATCTTCCATTTTTGTTTTTGATACTCCAAAAATCCTTCGTAGTCTTCGCTTGGTGATGGCATCTTATCAGGAAGTGCTGCAAATGGATTTATGGAGACTGCTACAGCAGGTTCTGGAGACTTTCTTTTCATAAGTTTCTGCGTCGCTGAATTTAGCTGAGAGCCCAGAGTCTTAGGTTTCAGAAGTTGCGTTCCGAAGTCTTCCATATCGGCCATTCTTGGATCCTGTAGATTTGATATGTCTTCAAGGGGAGTTTTGGTAAACATATCAGTCATCTTCTTTTGCTTCATTTTGTCATCTTTGATTCGAATTCTTCTCTGTAACCAATCTGGATGTGCTACTCTGGGCACTGGATTTGAACATTTTTGAAGAGCTGCAGGAATAGTTATGAGTTTCTGGATGACAGACCCAAGACGCTCAGAGTAATAACCCCAATCTAAGAGCGCTCTTGGATCCATGTCTGTAGGATCCTCCTTCAGCCATTTGCGCAGAAAGTGTCGCTTTACTGAAATATCCGATGAGAAGATAGCAACCGGAACAGCTCGTTCAGTCACTGGTGCATGCTTTGGTTTAGCGCAAATGATGTACTTGCAATTCAAACCTTTGTCTTTCACCATTTGTTCACCCAAGAATTCCGCCAAGCGCTTTGCAGTAGTGATTGAAGTTGATTTTTGTGTGCCATATTCCTCCAAACTCTTTGACATACTCCTGTTCTCGCAAATGAGGTCGATAAGTTCTGCGTCGGCAAGAGTTCTTCCTTTCGAATCTAAAACATCCAGCCACTGATTCGCAACTTTTGCCACTGCTTGATAAGTCTCTTCAAGAGTTGTACCCTCCAAAAAGAATTTGAAGATTTGCTGTTGGAAAATTTTGATAAGCTTCAGTTCTCCTCTTCGCTTCACCTCGAATCCCTTGAGTTCCGCTAGACTTCCGTCATCGTTGAAAACAGCGTAACGTTTCTTTAAATTCTTGTCCTCTTCCTTTGAAGTAGGGAGAATCATAGCACGATAAGGACCATCGACTTCGAAGAAGATGGAATTGTCGCTATGCGTCTCGTACCTGAAGGTTTTTGGATCAGTAAGAGTTTGGTATTGGTGATTTGTGAATTTGTCATGGACTAGATGATTCAACATCACGCAAGGGTACGAGATAGCCAGTTTCTTTCCGTTCTTCATCTTGAAAGCATAATTCTCCGGAAATGTTGCCGGAAGCATACACCAAATACCATCAGTGTCCAGCTCTAGAGGCCGTCCAATACGTTCAACTAATTGTCGAGCCATTTGAATGATGTGAGCTCCAGTCAAACAAGTCACACCAGCCATCTCCATGGAATACCATCGCGATCCTTTTCTCATGACATAACCATAAAAGGAGTTCAAAATAACCTTGTGAGCCAGCTGTAAGGAGTCGAACAACACAATCATCTTCTTCGCATCTTCGACTTCAGCAGCTGGAGCACCTGCTGACTTAAGAGCATCAGTTTTGCCTTTCCAGACTTTTTGCTTACCCTTGTAATCATATCGACGATCTCTGAAGTCCTTTACAGTATCAATATAAAATGGGTTCTCTCGCTGACATATGATTGCTTCTCGCTCGATAGTGGTCTGGTCGTGAATCTTGTGGTAGATTTTCTGACTATATGTTTGCAAGCGCTTTCGAATCAGCCCAGCCTGCTCTTCGTAAGATAAGTCCTGAAATGATCTCATTGGTTGCTTCGGATATTTTCCTGGAAATCGTTCATTTTCAAGTGAATGCCTGATCATATTATATTCGTCCCTCTTCGCTGGAAGATATTCGCCTCTCCATGCCCAAGGCATTCTCCTATCGCAAGTTTTACCAGGCCGATTGAAGTCGCACGCCGCACAATCTGATTCTTGAATCATAGAGTCGGGTTGAAGTCGATTTGTCGTCATAATGTTTGGGTACATAGAAGCGACATCCAGATGGTAAATCAGGGGGTTTTCGCTTCGATTCGCGGTTTTTTTGAGACTATTCAGGCGATCTGCAATTTGTTGTTTAATTTCCTCATAATTCTCGATATCATCCAGTGACTTCTTTTCTTCAACCGTGATACTGAATTTCAGCGCAGAATCCAGATCCTCGAGAAGTTCATCAATAGCAGTTGTGTCGACAGCAAAGTTGACGGGTATATCAGCTCGGAAAACTCCTGCTTCAATACTCTCCACATGTCCACCAACATAAGTTTCCGACTCCAGCAAATGACCTTCCCAAAATGATTCTTTCGGCGTTACATGTTTATTTGGAAGTACGATCTCTTTCTGGTAAGCCTGTACCATGAGTAACATCTCGCAAAGGGTTCCTGTCCCTTTTCGTAGAACCGCATCTGGTCCTAGAGGAATAATAGTACATAGAGAGAAAATGAAAGGATGTACATATTTCATGTATAAATAGTAAGTTGCTACAGCATCAGAGACGGAATACTCTGCAAGAGTTTGAGGTTTCTCGCTGGCATATCTCAACATCAATTCTGGGTCGATTTCGTCTGGATCATAACCTAGCTTTGCTGTTGTTACAGCTTTTAGACCTCTACTTCCTTGAGGCAGATAACTATCACGATTAACCCAGTGGAAACAGTCCATGTGCGCACTGTAATCACAAATGTACTGATCCTCGCTTTGGCTCCTGCGCCATCCAATTTCCCGGTACATATCGATACCATTAACACTAGCTCGTGCGTCAACGAACGGCCAATCGAAAAAGTCTCCGTTGTATGTCGCTATAACTGTAGGTCGTGCTTCTTTGATATGTAGAAAGAAACGCTCGATAACAGCCTTCTCGTCTGGCTCATTAAAAATCATAAATGGTCCATCGTATTCAGGTTTCGGCGTATATTCGAAGTCCTCAATATCCTCAGAAACAATCTCTCGGTTCGTAATCAAGAATCCTTGCCCATCTATCATGTAGGATATCATCATAATTTGATCGATCGTAGCATCTGGGAATTTCAAAGGTAGTTTGGTCGTTTCGATATCGTATGCCATAACTACTGGATCGGCTCTGGCCAAACGATCTTCCAGGCATTTCAACGTCGTTGTACCGTGTTTTGCCTCTACCGAGTACCATTTTCCCGTTCGTATATCTACAGTTTGTCAGTTGATTTGTCCGCACTTTTATTGCAATTCCCTTCATTACCTTGATCTATCATTACTCGTACATGGTATGGTACATCCCATTCCCTAATATCTACAATAAAATCGCTACCCTCCGCAATAGAAACATTAAGTCGTTTATCATCATCTCGTGAGTCGTCAAACAGATCGAATCCAGCATTTGCACTAATTACCAATTAGTCTTCCGCAAAAAGTCTTCAGAGCAGAAAACTCACCTAGCAACCTCCGCATACGTATCCATTGCATTCATGTTCTTTTTGTTTTTCTCCGCCACCGGCATAATGTCTTTCCTAGCTGCCAGCAGATCCGACACATTCCTAAACCTACACTCAAAAAAACTCCTCCTGTAACCCAATAAATGATTTGGCATTGACAAATCCTCTTTTTCCACTCTTTTTATGCTCTTCAAAACACCCCCTCCTGGCGCTCTCTTAAGCCATTCCTCTGCTTCTGGTTCATATCCTCTTTTGACCGCGACCAGGAAATAGGGTTCGTATTCTACTGTCGCTTTGAAAGTTCCTCCATCGTCCTCGATAAAGTAGCAGTCTACACCGGCTCGACCTTCTAAATGTTTTTCGTCTTCGATAGTCGTAGCCTTTATATTAACCAACCATCCAACTTTCTTCTTGCCAGACTCATGCCGAGGAAATCCCATGGCTTCATCTATCGAATGGCCTAATTTGACAGCTTCCACCTTTTCTTCCAATGATGTACCTTCATTTCTCCCAGACGATTTTTCAAAAGTTTTCGATTTTCGAGGTCCATGATATGCTTGCTTTCCTCCACGGCGGAAGCCATGTTGTGGTTTTCGTGGTGGCATTGTGAGCGAATGTGTGGTGCCAAAATGGCGGGGCGAAAGGGGTGAAGTTGTTTACTCCTGCAAGGAATTGAACAATTCTATTGAAAGAATTATGGTGTTCGAGAAGCAGTCTTTCACTGAATCAAATTACCATGAATATTAAACGTGAATTGGTTGTGAGGTATGGAATTTGGGTGTTTACAAATCGTGAAATTATGATTGAAGATAGTAACTTTTGGCTGCGGAACACAAATTGGGGAACGCGTCGAGTCGCGAAAATATCCATAGTGCGTGGAAATCGTGTAAAGTACAATTCAGCCTTATTAGCAGGGCTAAGTGAGGTGCAACGCAGCCTTCTACGGCGGCCCACATATTTACGTCCCGTCGGTATCAATTCACAAAGCTCCCCTCAATTGTACGACAAAGAAGTAATTCACAAACAACTTTTTACAGCAATGGCAGACGATACTAGAAATTCCAATTCTACTCTACGGGGTCCACCTCCTGGAGCAACCTCACCGCCCGATCACGTCAAAACTCCTAACAAAGTATATGAAGTATTCCACACGCCACCTGGAAATGCAAATGCCTTACCAGACGGCTCGGGGCAGAATACTGCAGGTGCACATAAAGAGACACCTACTTTAGGAGCAGCAGTCAAGACTGTACGATGGCAAGATTTCTCACAAGTTCATATGTATCCATGTGCTAGGGAAAGTTTTCTTACTGGAATTGGTGGGGGCTTCGCAATGGGTGGAATCAGGGCTATATTTGGCGGTATGCTATTGCGATTGTGTGTCTTGGGCTTGAACGACCGAATGCTAACGCCTTACTCAAGCGCCGATACCTAAAGCCGCGAACTGGGCAGTTGGGACATTTGTGTTCTCTGCTTTTGGAGCCTATGAATTTTGTTTGTACAGACGGCGATTAGAACGAGCACATATGAAGCGTGCTGTAGAAATTATTGATAGGAAGAAAGCAGAAAAGGAGGCACAGGCAGAAGAAAGGAGGAAAGAAAGGAGGAGGCTGAAGGAAGAAGCGGACAAAAAGGCTGAAGAAGCAGCTAAGAAACCAAATTGGAAGTTTTGGTAAAGAAGTAAAAATCCCGAAAACAATGTATTAGCAGCCCCATACTGCGCTATAATGACCATCTATCCCGCTTGCATAATTTCGTATACTCAGAACTTGAGATCCTGTCCTTTTCATAAATACCCCGAACGCCTTTCGGTACCTATACCGATGATAATTCCTAAGCCATGTCTCGAGACTATGCTCATAACCAAACGCTGTAACCATAATTTCCATCAAACTCCTGAAACAATCCAATACTAAAAGCTCAAGACGGTGAAATGATTACCGGGTTATCAGAATCAATAAACCTTACTCTCCTGGCTACCTTCTCAGCTTCTTTTCTGGCGGATTCCTCTGTTCCTCGTCTTCTTTCACTCCTTCGAGCTCGAGCTTCCCTTGCTTCCCGGCTCCTGTAATCTGCCATTTGTTGCTTCCGTCTTTCCGTTCTAGCATAAGCAAGAGCAGGCGTTGGCCGGAATCCAATTCCATTTATTCCCTCTCCGTCATCATCTGGATCGTCTGGTTTGTGTCCAGTGATTTCATTATTATGCCATGTCAAAGCAGCTCGGTCCGGATCCACAAGCTCCCTTTCTTCTTCCATGGCATCTCCAGATTTGGACAATGGCGGTGTACCCATCCTCTTCTTTCCCCGAGACGTAGAATCAGCCAATCGATTGATGGATGGATATGCCCTGGTCAAGCCATCCTTTTCTTTTGCATCACTTAATCCGGCTCGGAATATTATGGGATCAACCTCGTTATGAAGCCGAATATTATTTCCCAACTCCCGAATTATTAGATCGACTTTCCTTTCTTCCCCAATGACAGCCCTGAAGGCTTTCGGTTGTGGTGTCTCAGGAATTTCAGCTACTGTACTCCCAGTCATATCCACATCATTAGAAGCAAACATTTTAACCCTTTTGCGCATATCAGATTCAGCATTTTTGGCTTCTTGAACCTTCTTCTTGAGATTCAGTTTGTTGACATCTGTGGGTCCATCAAGCGCAAGACCCTGAAAGTGGTATGCGACTTTTGTACGTGGACTACCTTGGCCAGCTTCTTCTGGAGATAATGTAGGTAAAGAAATCGAAGTTTGGAGACACATAGGTGAGGAATCCGGCGGAGTTGGTGCCTGGGGATCATTTCGTTTTCGTTTTGGAGAATCCGTAAAAGGAGATATCATGATTGCATTATTTGAGATGGTAGTATGTTAACTTTTGAAAGCTAGAAGCAATGGACCGTGGTTGTCATTTAAAGCAGTTGATGTTGGTTACAAAGAAGGGGAATGGAGTTGAAAGTGGTTTGGTGGTTGAAGGCCCAGGTGTGTCAGTGGAGTGTGAATCAAAGCAATGTCACTATTGGTGCGGGGTTCAGCCACAGTGAGACGGCGCTAATATAATCCTCGAATCCTTTTACACCTTTTTTGTTCAATCGAAACCTTGGTCTGGTACTATAAAGGAATTGATGTACGACATAGTGGATTCATGATATGTAATCCGCTAGCAATTCGTTTTCAGCGAATCTACAACAATTTGTTATACTGAGCTTGGATGTGAGAGGGTCTTTGAAAGCTCAAAGGTCCATTTTCGAACATTAATCAACAAAATATCATATTGAATTGTTAGAGTTTGTAGAACAGACAGGACTCAAGAGCTACATTCTATAGTTATGATCAGGCCTTGATGGATGCTATTTAACCCTCCAATCATACAAGATAAGCAGGGATTATGTGAATGCTATCATTCACCATGGTTGGTTCCAACATGTAGCTATCACTTTACTCTATGTTTTCCAAACGCCTTCCTGCTCCCTTTTCTCGACCCAAACCAATAGTTCCCTCAAATCCTTCTTCACTTCCACTTTCTCTCTATATAATCCCTCGTTGCAAGAAATTAGTTCTTCCATAGTCTTGGCCTGCTCGTTTTCTCTCTTGAGTCCGGAAATTCTATTGCCTTCAGTCTCAATATTCCCAGCTCCCGTGCCTTGACGCATTTCGTTGCCTGTGCTCGCTACATATCTTCCTTCCTCATTCCACCAAGTCCTTCAATTGTCGTTCTCATTTTTTAGGATTGCAATTTCACTGCGATCCTCAAAGAAGATTCTCCCAGTAAACCAAATCGTTCCCATAAGAGAAGAGAATGCGACGATAAAGCAATTCTGGTAAAACTGTACTTTGGTGGCTATACTTTGCGGTCTCTGGGATTGTGTCTGTGTTGGGCTTGATCTGGGAAGCTTAAATCTTCTTTTGAAGTTCTTGAGCTGCATGGTGGTAGTGTGTATCGTGTGTTGATTTCTCGTTGCTTTTTTGGCATGCAACGTGAATTGAGTTGCAAATGATGTAAGTTTTCGTTCTTTGATAGGATGAACAAAACAATGATTAGTTTCAGCATTCACGGGTGGAAAAATTGCTTCATTAGAAGTGTATTTTTGTTCTAGCTTACAAGGACATTGAATTCCCCGAGTACACAAGATCGTGCGACGTGGACTTTACAGAACCTATAGTCGCACCTTCCATATTGATCTCTAATATCGTGGTTAAAGAACAACTTGCTATCATTCCACGAGAGGCAATACTGGTCAACGTCATAAGTGGATTAGACAGATCTGGCATTCATGAAATATACTTTCAATCACAATCAACGATATGATTGAAAATCTTTCATGGGGATATGTTAATGGATGTATCTATGTCCTGATACCTCCGCACTTGGATAACTTTATTCACCTGCTTTGTAGGCCACATAGGCTCTGACTTCGGAAAAGATCTACACATAATCATAAAGTTTGATAATGCATTATAACAGAATTACATATTGTAGCGGAGTATATCTCCCATTCACAATCATACACTATGCTAAGGGCCTACGACTGTATAATCATGGTGCAGGTGCGGTCTAGAGTGTGATTTCATCCATGTCTTTAAGTCTAATCGCATATAATATTCTTATGAGCGTGTAAATCGACAATATCTTTGTCGCTTGCATCTTGCTCACTTGACTAAACAGTGACTATTATCAATCAAAACCAGTCCATTCTGAATACCTGTAAGTAATATGGCATGTCGCTAATATCAATTTTGCTATAAGGTTTCTTTCAGGTTCTAAAAAGCACTTGTGACATGGAGGTCCGCGATTTTGGTCAGTGATCAATCTAGCTTTGCTTGGCCTATGGAGTAGCTTGGTTATTCACCGCTTTTGATGAGCTTCTAGTGTGTGAATCTGGACACCTTGATAGTTGGGATTTTCCTGTCCGGTTTATTCAATTTTGTGGGGCTTCAGTCAATGCCAGCCCCTAAAGTGTGAAGAGATCTGCCTTTCCTTACATCTCGCTTCTCATGTCTCTTGGCACACCTATCTCGTATAAAAGGGGAGTAATAGAATCTGAGACAATCTTAATATGGAACAAAAAGCACAATAATACCACGATTGATGAAGACATTTCCTGATTTGTCCTCGAGCCTTTGATCACGTATCTCATCGCGACCGGAAACCAAGATTTGCTAGAGCCTTTTAGAAACAGTCGCTGTTGTCACTTACTCATATCACACTGTCATGAATTTGACTCGAGGAGTGTTATCACTCCTCAAATTTAACGGAGAGGTAAGAACAAAAGAAGATGCATGGAAGGCGCTTACGATAGCCATAGTTACGTCTGGTCGGCTTCCTCAACTCACATGGATCTACAGAGCCATGGATATGGGAGTCGTGTATTTTTCTATTTGCTTGAGGTCTCAAACTTGCGATTATATCTTTCTATTTATACTACATTTGAAACATAAGCAGAAAGAAATTAAGGTAATGTATTTTGGGTGTGGCGGATTATGGTGAATATATTGACGACTCTTGGTATCTGATGCTTACAAAGTTATAACCCCGCTTCAAGTTCGAAAGATTATGTTTGCGAGTGCTATAAGAATAAGAGTAGATAGCTTGAATAGCGGTCATAGAGCCACGTCCAATGTAGCACCGGACCCTGATGTGTTTCGTTTCGGTACAGGGCTTCTTTGTCATTAAATTTGGAACCTATTCTGAACCATGCTCCTGCTTTGCACCTGGTTCATTACACAGTCTTGATTCGACTGAGTACGAAAGTGTCATCCTATAAAACATTGGGTTTTGTGGTTTGACTGTCATTTTTTGACTCTTCTGTCGTATTTTCATATCCAACCTCCACGGTTTTTCCTCGACAACAGTTGAGAGACTATAAGCTACGAATTCGAGATTCTGCATCGGTAGATACCAGAACTTACATCTGCACTTGACGTTTCTTCTGTCCCTGCCTACTCCTGCAAGACTATACTGCAGAGCAACATGCAGTTGATAACTTTATTTATAGTCAGACCCCAAGGTCTAAGGGATTAAAAGCTTGATTCAAGTGAGTGAATTTGCCTAGCTTGAACCATACTCGACGAGTAAGACTCATATCATTCGGATGCAATATGCCTAATAAGCCTCTGCAGTCCCAAGGCTCAATGCAAAATTCGTTGTTTTAAGTATAAAAGGTCGCACAGTTCCAGCATCATTGCGCCAACCTAAAAGCTCGAAGTGCTAGTAATGAAGAAATTGGTTTTTGCTGATACAAAGTTCGTTACGCGCAAGCTTGCGGGTAGTAAATGTTGCATGTAAATGCATGCAAGCCTTCGAAATCGAGGTGCAGATGTTGGGGAACGTGAAATACAGGTTATGCAAGTTTGACAGCAACACCTTCATGCTGTTTTCTGTCTGAATATTCACTGCTATTTCATTTTTTTTTTTTTGAAGGTGACCCGAATGTTGTCAACGTTCTTGGTCAAATCATGCCATAAAAAATGCTGTCATGTAAGTGCCTCGAAAGGAATAGATGGTTGCAAACACACTGACTCAACAGATATTTCGGTTTGTTCCTCCATTATTCTTTGGCATAGAGATTGAATTTGTGCAGATTGTTGTCTTTATATATCTTATATTGGCTCCAATTCATGAGTGTTTACGGCGCTGCTTGAATCACGCGAGAACGCCCGTGAGTGAATGGTCACCAATTTCCTTTGGCTTTCAAGCGCGATCTTGAGTGGACATAATCAAAATCTTAACCCTCCATTATTTCCGTTGGTTATGAAGACTAGATCTCTGTTGTGTGAGATTTTTCGTGGTCGAGTGGAAGGATTCCCATTTGTCTCGTTTAAGGTGAGCTAAAGAGGTATGAAGTCGGATGTTTCAATTGTCATAAAGCCGGATGAGACTATACATGTGTTTTCTTTTCATTGATACTGTCAATACTGCCTTCGATTGGGTGATGCAAGCTCCAGCCTTCCTCATGCGGCGATGAAGAAAGAATTTGGGTGTACCACCCCCAAGTGTTGGTATTGATGTTCATTTTTTTGTCCAACATTATTGTGTACCTAGTAACATGAGAAACTTTACTCCCTATTCAATAATATGAAATGACAACTGTTCAAACTATATGACAATATTTGGTGCTCAGTGGGTGGTTTCAGTCTCCAATCAAGAGAATGAATACTAGAATCAATATAATATTGAAAACGATAGTAACGACTCACTCAAATTAAACCTTGCCTAGTATCTACATTTCCAAATGGAATTTCATGAATTAACTTAAACCTTATGCTTCCAGAACGTAATGATGTCATGAGACTGACTCCCATGTCCAAACTACTGATACCGAATTGGACCTCTAACCGACAGCTCAGAACACAGTTCTTGCCATCACAATGCTATTGGTTCAACTGGTGTGATTAAGTCAAATCCAAGATTCACCAGACGTACAACAAACTCAGATTGGAGATCTAAAGAAGAGTATCTGTCGTACCAAATAAGTTTCGCTGAGACTAGCGAGCTAAATTTCTTCAGTTACCTAGGTAGGTTTGTCCCCAAAAGGCGCTAGTGAATAGCACCGACCACAAGATCGGATGATCCTTTCTTCACGGTGGACGAGATCTTATTACTCTTTGCGATCGGAATGTGATTGGTTCTTCTAACATGATTACGTCAACTTCGAGATCCGTCAGATATGCAACAAATTCATGTCGGAGATCTGGACTCGAGTTTATTCACCCATGTATCGTTCTAATAGGACTAGTGTCCATGGCATACTAGTGATCTTCCAATATGATAAGTAGTTAGTTTTAGCTTTCGCGCCAGCATCGGATTCTGTCTCTCCAAAAAAGAATGGTACACAAATTTCCCTTGCGATCGTGATATTATTGGCTCTCTCGACTAAATTACGTCAAATTCGAGATTGAGCAGATATGCAACAAATCATCACCTGAGATCGAAATTTCGACGATTAGCAAGGATACGACTAGTGCTATACTTTTTTCTATCTCTGAGAATTTTTGATTGAGAGAAATTTTGAATATGTTTACCGAACCTGAATGAGTGTTGTCATTATGATTTTTCACTGTCGACTCTGTTTGTAGGTTGTTATCATATTATTTACGCCATGGTCAGGTCAGATCTCATTTCCCACAAAACTTTTGTATCAACTAGTTACAATGACGAACAGAATTCTACTTATTCTCGTTATCTCTGGGATTCTTAATTATTCTTGTGGCTCTCCAATTGAGATAGGGGTCCTTATATAGGTGTTTATTTAAATATTTAGAAACTGAAAGGTCGCGGCTTTTGTGATCAAGTAACGGACAATTCACTAATAAGCCATGGATCCCTAATTTGATCAGTCATGATTTACCTAGCTGTTCTGGGCCACTCTGCTCAAGCGAATGAGCTGGCTTGGGATGACTTTATCTCCATGTATAAAGTCTATCACTAACTTTTATTCGCTGCACATATTTTTGAGGTAAACCTTCTATCAAATGAACTTAGGTGCCATTGCAACTTCCGTTCAAAACATCTACGTGTGCTAGAAACTTCAAGCATTGGTTTTCAACAATTCTTGGTGTCTTCTATTCCGAGGAGAAAAATAATTTTTGACACCATAATCTGTCATATTTGGTGCATCAACTCATACTATGACTCGTATTCTAATAATACCCACAATACTGACAATGAATGAGAAACACAAGTTGCTGACAATTTAGAGCGATGAGTATCATTTGATTTTTCAGCTCTAGAGTCATCTTTACTTCTACTTCTACATATTGAACACATCATAAGTCCAAATTCCGATTTTGTTTTGGACGACCTGAGCATCATGAGATCTCTTCTGCCTTTTCTGTCTGTGTTCTAATATTTCTTGATCTCCTTGCGGTATCATAAAGATACGAAGATGGTCTCTTATATAAATCACGTCTGTAAAATGGATGTCTAAAGGGGGGAGAAACAGCTCACATATTTGTGGTATCTAGTAAATGCTGCACACATGAAAGGAAGCATTGCCAGCACGGAATATTGAGGCGCAGTACACCTAGGTAGGGAGCGATTGAGCAGCCATTCACTAGTTGTATCAACGAGACAACTTCTCACAATTTATCTCCCTTTGATGGTTATATAATAAGCTATTGCGTTCTGCTCACTTGGATCTTATCAATCAGTAAAATTATATACTAAAGCTTGAAGGGGCCCTAGATCTGTGGCAATACGGCTAGCAGTATTAGTTCATGTAGCTATGAGCAGTAATTTGAGCGTAAAATTAACCTTCAAGTTTATGGTCTGAGTTTGACGCGACCCTATTTTTACTATCGTCATTATTTCTTGTCAATTCTGACGATTCTTGCCGTTGATCGATTCCTGATCTCCGTCTCATCTGATCTCTCATTTCGATAATGCAGATTCATGCTTTATCTTAATCTTGGTAAGAATCATAATAGAATTTTTTCTCAACAATACACACTCTCCTAATTGAATTGGAAAATTGAATTACATTGTGCGCAGAAATAGGTCTCAGACAGCAAGATGATATTTATACATTATCTTTACTGTTCTCCTATTCATTACCGAGATTGAATTTGCTTGTCAAGATCAACCTAAAACTTTGACCCCAACAATAATCTATCAATATATTTGTCAACAAGATTTCTGTGCTGAGAAAATGCAGTGCCTTGCACCTATGGCCCAAAAGTCTCTCCAGATTGAGGTACTTACATTCAAAAGCAAAGAGCGAAAGGATGATATATATACACCTACACATATATAAATCTAAATTCCAGCCACCTTCTCAATCCGAAATCAACCACCAAGAATTATTTATGAACCTACACTCATCATCACAATTTCCTAGATCTTAGATCTCAAACCTAAGATCCGACAAAGTCCCCCTGTATAAACCCCCTCCATTCTCTTCCAATTCAACCCCAGAACCTCAGACATAGAGATCGGTTATCGTTGTGATGTGGCACTGTGAGCCTGTTTTCCTCTCTTATACCTATACACTGTCGCGGTTGAAGTCTTAGTCTTTGGGCTTCTTGGAAAGGGTATGTATGTATATATATGCATTGTGTGTAGTATCTGAGGATTCTCGTTTCATCTTTTGGAAGGTGTTTGTACAGAAGAACAGACGGAAAAACGAAGATAGAATGACAATGGTGAACCAAATAGAATCCGGGCTGGTAAGGGAAGAGTCATCATTGTTCCCTAACAGTATTAGTAACTTCATGTAATACTCGACATATGATACATATCAAAACCTCGCTCATCAAAGCTCAGACTCTAGACTCGAATTTTCTTTCCTTTTTATGGAACATGTATGGATAGGTATATTCGTAACGGAGGAAGTGGACTCTAAATAACCTAGGCATGAGAATATTGAAACTATTTGAACGCGAGAAGTTTACTCAACTGACTAGCTATCATATCCAAGTACCAGATATGAGTGACAATCATCCCCATGCTGTAGTCGAATTCAAATCTTTATGGCAACATTGTCTCGCTTAACATCTATGACAAGGAAAATGTTAACAACGACAGCGAAAAGTCCTTGAATCTTAATCACCCGCGCAGTCTCCCAATCTACCCGATTTCCCCAACCCAGCACTTTCACACCTTCACGCCTCCATTCCACCACACTTCCCAACATTCATGGTCTTCGGCAATTTTGCTCATCTCTTTACCCACCCTCCTATCTTCAACAAGCCAGCTCCTTATATACCCAGACTTCAAAAACAGAAAGTTAAAAATTGAATTGAAACTTTCAACTTCCGAGTTCGGACTCTGAGTTCTAAGCGAGAAATCTCTATTATGGAAAGGTTGAGAACGGAGTGAATAGTGAATTGAAGGATATGACGACAGGTCTGTTAAGCATGAGTATCCATCAGGAAAGAATGAGGAGAGAAGGCGTTGATACACAACCCTACCCCTCCTTCGACCCCAGATCCCCCAAGCACTATAACTCCATCTCCATACATCACTTCCAGTACATAGCTTCCACCCACGTCCCTCAGGCCACGTCTCTCAACCTTCCTCCCATCCTCCCAGTAAACAGTATAAAGAGTACACCGGACAGATCGAATACTCTGCAACATCGAGTATTCCCCACAACCCACACTTACCTATTTATAATCTTTATTCTGTATCCATCACTATCCCCACACCCCAGCCATTCCTAGAACAAACTCAAATCTATTTGACTTGTTGATCAATGAATCGAGTTTCAGAGGGGATAAAGAACAGGGATGCTCAGAAGTGGGAGGAGGAGGAGGAGGAATATATGATGATCAAGATGTAATCTACTTATGAAATTCCATAAGAAATATCATCTCCATTTATCTCTCTACTAAGTCACAGCATATTCCATTCTACACCCCCCATCATAGCCACAGTCATCCCCTTCTCCCAAAACAACACAAACATAAGCATAAACTTACAAGCCCAACAACCCAACCAATCCTTTCTCCCATCTCTCTGCCTCCTCTCCGTCATTCTCAAATCTCATTCCTATATTTCCACTATACTCACTTTTACATCCTCAATTCACTACATCAGCTCCCTTTTCCTCTTACCCCGTCCCACCCCTCTTCTCCGAATTATTTTCAGGAATCACTATATAAACCCTTTTCCTCCCTTAAATACATTCCTCACACCCAAACAGTCAATTCAAACCCATCTTCGATCCAAGGAACAATTTTTGTGTTCCTCAGCACTACTTCACATTCATATTTTACAGAAGACTTTTATTCCAAAACATGGTTTGCGCGGTTGCAAGATTTCGATTGAATTCAAAAAGGGGTTTGGAAGATGGAGATTAAGCCATGGTAAGCATTCAGTGATAACGATGATGATGATGATGATGATGATAACAATAACAATAACGATAAAATATATAATGACAAGAAATTATCATCGAAGAAGAGTTGTGATTGTTCCTACTGTTTCTATGATTACACTCCAGTATACGCATATCTATCTGTTCACTACTACCGATTATCTCACGCTCACCATATGTTCTCCTTCCCCTGAAGATTACATCACATTACACCTATTATCTCCTTTCCCTCCATGACCATTCCCTCTAGTATCTCTATCGCCATGCTGGAGGTGATAGTATGTGATAACTATAAGTATTTGTTTTTTGGAAGTGGAAAGGATGGGGTTTTAATATGTATAATGTGAGAATGAATATAAGAATGAATACAAAAATGAATTTTTCGAAAAAAAAATGAAAACCAGGGAGCATCAAAAGAGAGAATTGAATACGACACCTGCAAGATGCGAAGAGATGAAAGGAAGCGAGAACAGAGAAAATCATCAAGACATAAACAGTCGGGGGAAAATTATAGATAACTGGAAGTCCATGCATCGCATGAGTGCGCAGAAGGGTATTGAATGGGAGCAAATCGATGATCAGGGTGGGGAGGGGAGGGGAGAGAAGATTAGAAGCGAAAGAGAAGATCAGAAGCGAAAGAGAAGATCAGAAGCGAAAGGGGGCGAGGCGCGGAAGTGAGGAAGGAGAGGAGATTATAAATAAGTGGTTTAATCAGATCAAAATCTATTGAGATGTATAGAAATAGAAACAAAAACAAGGACATCAGAGAAATTTTTCTCAAGTGATTGAATAGAAGGGAAATAGAAATAGAAACAGAAACAGATGGAAGCGAAGCGAGTAGTATTGAGAAAACGGGGGGGGGGTGTAATTCATTAGGAGTGGATTGAATTGAATCAAATGACATCCGATGATCAAAATAACCCTGGAACTGGAGGTCAAGTCAGAGGGAATTTTATTCAGCTGGAGGCATTTAATGAATTAATGAATTCAATGAATCAAACAATAAAATGAATCTAACAATAAAACGAAAAAAACGAAGAAGCGAGGACAAGAAGCGAGAATAGATTACAAGAGGAGCAAGTCGCAAGTCGCAAGTCGCAAGTCGCACGTCATAACTCCCTAACTATGGATAGATCTTCAAACAAAAATCCAACATCAAATCCCAATCCTAATCCAAATCCCAATCCGAATAAACGAGGCCAAAAGTAAACAAAGCCAAAGAAAAAAGGAGGCGGGAAGACATAAAGTAAGTTAAGTATTCATCCTCTCAAGTAAGTATCCCAAACAAAAACCATCCAAACAAAAACCATCCAAACAAAAACCATCCAAACAAATATCCCCAAACAAATACCCACTATCCATCCATCCATCCATCCCCAGAGAGAAACGAAGAATATACCAATACCCTTACGAGAAGAGGATGGGAAGTAGAAAGCCATGCGATACGATGTGATGGGAAGAGATGGGAAGAGAATGACGATCTGGGGGATATAGATGGATAGATGAAAGAGAGATAGATCACCAGATAGATAGATAGAAAGAAAGAAAGAATGAATGAATGAATGAATGAATGAATACCTACCTCCCTTTACTAAAGTGTTCCCTTTCAAACTTTAAACCAATCTCAAATATACCCACTCACTCACCTACGATGACGGATTTAGCAACGGCTAGGTAGGTAAGCTAAATCGATTAGATACACACACACAAAACAGGCGACAAATACTCGATAAAATAATCTTATCGATATCATGCATTTTATCCATTTTTACCAATCCATCCATTGTATCATATCCACACAATCCTACAAATCTCTACGTACTCGTACTCGCACCACCTCTCCTCTTTGCCGCCGCTTTTTCCGCTGCTTCCCTCGCTCTACTTTCCGCCGTGACGGGTTCCCCTAGACCTGGTGGTGGGAGCCAAGTCACCGTACCTTCTTTGGCAGCTTGGAGACGTTTTCTCTGACCTTCTTCGCCGGCGCGACCCAGAACTCCGGCTATGAGTTGGATGCAGCGGAGACTATGGGGGTGTTAGTGTGTATTTTACGACATGGGTGAGAAGAGGACGGAAGAAACTAAAGAAAAGAGGAAAGAGACTAAAAGAAAGAAAAACAAACCTGTCATCATTCGCCGGGATCGGATAAGTCACCCAAGTAGGATCCGCATCTGTATCAATAACCCCAATCGTCGGAATATTATGTAGACCACACTCATGCAACAAGATATAATTTTCCAACGGATTCAAACAGACCACCAAATCCGGTTTCAGCGCTTTCCACTTCAAAAGTTTATCTTCATAGCCCGACACACTCTGATCATGAGCATCGACCGCCTTAATCGCACACTTCGCCAGAATTTGATCACCATTAGTGATACTACCCGCAACCCATCGATTAAAAAGATGACAACCCTTCGCTAATTCCGCTGCCTTAACGACTGCGGAATCCTGGCCTGCGCGCGTGCTTACGAAGAGAATAAGACCCCCATGATAAGCCACACCTTCGACGACTTTCGCACAGCGACGGAGATGCGCGGCGGTTTCTTCAAGACTGATAATGTGGACGCCCTGACGAATACCATAGATATATCTCTGATTTGCGGGGTTCCACAGCTGCGTCGCATGGCCCAGATGAGATTGACTCGCCATGAGGAGTTCGAGCGTTACATCTTTCGGAGCGGGAGGATTGACGATGAGTTGATGGGGTTCGTAGTGTTGAGGGACGACGGATCCTAATTTTGCAGTTCGTTTCTTGATGTGGTTGAATCTGTGGAAATCTTCGGCGACATTGGGGACTTTGGGCCCGGGGGTTTTCTTTTTTTGAGGGGGCGCGAAGTTGCGGGTGAGGTGGAGGGAATTGAGTGTGGCTTCGAGGGAATTGGTTTGTTTGTTGTGGTTGTCTATTGAGGCTTCGAGGCTCGAGGTCTCTGTTGAGAGAGTGCGGGATTGGGAGAGGCGGAGGGGTGCAGCGAGTGCTTTTCGGCCTATTTTGAACTTCAATTAATAGTCCGTGTAGACAGAGATACGATTACATACCATGCCGTATCGCAATATTTCTTAATATCATTTTGAGGGTTGTTATGGCTATTTTGACGTTATCGAGACTTTTTTGAGATCTCGGACATTGATATCACGCTAGTGGGGCAACACACGCTAACCCCATTTCGGAGCATTATATTTTTCATGGCGGCGACAATGTTTGAGACAATGATCACAATCATGGAGTAAAAATTTAAATTTCACACGTAGCATAAGATGTAAATTCTATTTATTTGCAAAGAAGGGTATAGAGTTGAATTCCCGCAAAACTATCAAATGGTTATCAAAAGGCAACATGATGCTTGTATGACTCCGTCTAAAAGGTGGAGATCTACAGAGAATTGAAGTCTAACAATATCAACGCAAGCTCTAAAACATTAGGTTAACGGCTCGTAGCGCGAGTCAATGCAAAAACTCCAACAATAACAACTGCAAGAGTTACAATTGCTCCAGGTAATAAGAGCTCATTTGGTACTCCTTGAATGACTTCTGCAGCTGGTGGTGGAGCTGCTGCCTTTCGTGACTTTGATTTAACTCGAGGTTCATCATCGCTTTCATCTTCAGAATCAACGACGCGACGTCTTCGGATAGTAGCTGATGCGGGTGGAGTTGCTACTTGAATGATAGGTGGTTGAGGATCTAAAGTAGCAGCCATTGGTGGCTTCTCAGGATCGTGAACGAATAAGTCGACTTTATCCCGATGACCATTTCTAGCAAGGACAATTGCTTCCAGAAGGTCTTCATCAGTTGTGATTGATACAGAATCACCCTCATCGTCAAGGTAACTGAGAGCAAACCCAGATGAGCCAATTTTACCGTCCTCCACGTTTGCTACACCTCCGACAGCATCAATTTCTGAACCCAACTTGCCTGTTACAGCAGAAATAAGTTCAGCTAAACCATGACTGGCTATGACTTGAACTCTGTGTACACGCCCGCTTGGAGCCTTGAATTTGAATGCAAAGGGAACATCCTCAGGAGGAATATCGTTATGACGACTCAGATGTGAATGCGAGGGAGAATCTACACCAACATGTGAAGCAGAATCATTAGGCGCAACACTAGCATCCACTTGACGTTCATGACTTCTTGACATGTCTGGGGACATCAAAGAACGACCGCCAGTAGTATGATGATGACTCCCTTCACCAGAGATCATTGATTCATTATCATGCTCCAGAGACATCCAAAACTTATTCCATGCTGGACCGCTATCACTCTCACCTGTTTGCATGGTGTTGATTTGCTCCAAGGTAGCATATGTGAGTTTGAGAACATCAACCATGCCGACAATTTCGCCTTGATCGTTCATGACTGGCAAGTTCAAGTAATGTCCATCTGATAACGTCAGTCAATGTGTATCGAAAGAAAATCAACCAAAACTTACCATGCATCTTTCTTAACGCTGCTTGAATAGTCATATCCATAGGAGCAAAATCCGGGTGCGGGGTCATGACACGTACAACAGAGCAGTTGGAGGGGTCCAATCCTGGTGCGATAACACGTAAAACGACATCTTTACTTGTGAAAATACCAGTGATTGATCCTCCATCCTGTACAAGAACAGCCGTGGTGTGGTTCTCCTTCATCAATGCAGCAGCCTCCTTGACGGATGTTCGTACGGTAACAGTGGTAGGTGGAATTCCATTGAGGACGGATTCCAAAGTAGGTCCGGACATTTTTGATCGAAGAGCTTCCACATATTGAATGATTTGTTGTGGTTGACTGGATCCCAATTCAGACTGAACACCTTCTAAAGCATCGTAAAGCTTTCTCGATGAGCTATAAGCCCGCTCCAATTTTTCCATGGCATCGTAAAAGCACTTTGTGATGTCAAGAATACCTGAGATATCTTGGTTCTCGTCCATGACTGGTAAATGGCGAAATCCCTTTCTGACCATCAAATCCAAGGCATCGGTAGCACTGGTGTCGGTTCTCGCACAGAGAGGATTTTTGGTCATAATCTCTGCGATTGTGATATTGGCGGCCTTGATTCCTGCTCCGACCACTCGAAACGCCAAATCTTTGGCAGTAAAAATGCCTGCAATACGATCGTCATCATCGGTAACTAGAACGCAATCTTCTCTCTTTGCGGCCATCAACTGTGCAGCCTCTGCTACCGTGGTATTTGGCTTGATCTGGAGGGCTTGACTGGGACGAAGGGCGAGAACGGTTCCTGGCGGGGCTTTTCTTGTTTGACGAGCACGACCTGTCGTCTTGCTCTTCTTACTGAGATCCGTCTCGATCTTTCTCCGGATGGCCTGCGGAACTGTCAACCTCGATTTACTTTTTTGACGTTTGATTTGCGGCATGGTGGGATGGTTGGCAACTGCAGACACCACGAACGAATTTCTTGATATGCAAAGGATTTATTCCAAATAGCGACGGGGGAACACGATGAAACAATAATGTGAAAATAATATAACGTACCTCATCCCTCTTGGATTGTTTTGCTCTGCTTGCACTCATACTGGATCCACCGACTTCACTTTGTGTATTTGGAGTCGTTGCATTTGTCGCATGAGAATCTTGTGCGGGTCGAGGGATATTCGACGCCGGACTATTGCTAAAGACAGGCAATTGACCACGCGCCTGACCGCTGCGACTTGGTGTCCCACGCATTGTGCCCGTAGTGGATGCCATGATTAATCATGCGCTCACAACTTTATGAACGAGGGTACCTGATTAGTTAGGTTGTAAGGGGATTAGGGAGTTGGGTAGTAGTTCAGTCGTTCGGGACTTTTATTAAGTACAGTAGTAGTATGTATGATGATATGGCCCAAGGAAATTCGGGATAAACCAATAAAAAAAGTCAATTGTGCATCATCTAGAAAGTAAGTAAGTGATTGGAGAATGGATGAAGGAGAGTTGAAGAGGTGTAGATTAATTAAGTTTCGAAGTTTTCGAAGTTTGGAAGATGTTTGGAAGGGATTCCGATGAAATGAAATGAAATGGGAACTAGTAACAATCTTCACGAAATTGAATTGAATTTTTTTGGTGGTGTACGAAGAAGTATCTTTCCGGGACGCTTTGGTAGGTATATAACATATCATCGTCAAGGAGAAATTGAAGTACGGGTGATAGTTGATGGGGAAACACCGAAATTCCCATTCAATACGGTACTGGTACCATACCTGGACAGCCCACCAGTGGAAGAAGAAAAGAGGGAGTGAATCTTTGGTACACGATTCCACCCGGAGATTGAATTGAGGACGATATTTCTTAGGAGAGCTCGAAAAGGAAATTTCAAATTGCTGTGATCTCATGATATGATTGGGGTTAAAAATAGATACGTGAGGATTCTGAGTATGTACTAGGTGAGGACTAGGTGAGGACTAGGTAGGTACTAGGGACAAGAGTATGTGAATCAGTTTCAGATTGGAAATTCAAAATGATTCATGGTGAAATCATGTGTGATGTGTGATGTGTGATGTGTGATGTGTGGTGTTGTGTATGTGTATGTGTGTGATATGTATAGTATGTGTGTGATATGTAGCTAGGAAGTAGTATGTCGATGCCAATGTAGATATATGTAGTATAGCATGGAGGATCTCAGATGTAGCAGAATTTCGTAGGTAGGTAGTCAATCATATAACATTTATATATAACATAACCCACTAGGTAGAGATATAACATTCATATAACATTTATAGAAGTTGTATAGATGATAAAACATGTAGGTGGTGCCTAGGTATATACAGTGTAGACATAGATAGATACCCAGTCGATACATAAGTACAATAAAACAGAGGATAAAACAGAGGATAAAATAGAGCATAATTAGGTATAAAATATACAAATCATACAAATTACCTAGTACACAAATTACACAATAGACCATTCATATCTTATTAATTTAACCATCATCCAATACCGAGTACTGATTACCACCAGGTAGATCGTTCCCTACTTATTATCTTCCTCAATCACCTCAAACTTGACTCCCCTCCCCTTCCCTTCCCTTTCCCTTCCCTTCCCTCTCCTTCCCGTCTGGTAATCTGAAAAAGGGACCTCGGGAAATCATCAAATTGACTTTGTATACCATAATGCCCATCTCCCTCTCTCCCTCATAAACCTTTCCCTACCTGAGTTAAGTGATTGGCCATCCGCACCAAATTATTGATTTTGCTTACTCTCACCATTTTAATAAAACTTTATCCGAAGTTGGATCTTTATAAAAGCGTAGGACAGTTGAATTCCAATTCAATTCAATTCAATCCATCCAATCCATCCAATCCATTGTACACGGATCATCTGATTAAGCTATTTTATCTGGTATTTTATCTTGATTCATCTCGATTTATCTTTCATTGGTTAATTAGTCCAAATTCGTTGCTATCCCAACCGACCCTCGGATTTGTTGATTTTGGCGCCTGAGATAACATCAGCTTTCAGGACGCGCGCTGGACTATCTAAACCTTCAATTCCTCTCTTCGCTCCCCTCATCCTTCATTTATCTCTCCACACCTCCCCACAAATTCATATCCAGATTCCAAAAAAAAAAGATTCACATTCTGCAAAAGAAACAATCATTACATTACATACATTTTAAAACTACCAAAGTAGATCACTCTTCCTCGACCGGAGAAGACTCTCGTTAGACACACCTATTAGCTAATTGCTCCTCCATTGACTTCAAAGGGCTGAGGAAGTCCTATATCTATTATATAAAAAAAGACTCAAAAAAGAGTCGATTACTGCTGAACAATCCTGAGATCAACATTTGCCCGGCCTAACGGCTTGCGCTGCGTGAGGTATGTATGTACGATTATGGATATCTAGACCGCTCTATCTTCATACATCGATCATCGCGCTAATTCATGCATTGCATAGTCTCGGAACATATAGGTTTGCTTAATTGCAATACTTTCAATCGACATCATTTCCGAACTCTTCTAGCATTCATAATGCTGTCTAATCCATCCAACAACCTTCAAAATCGACATCGACAACATCGACGACAAAATTCGACTCCAACCGCATTCGATGCAGTGAAGGCAAACAACCTGCCACCGGTCCAAAGACATGCCCACCGACGTGGGATGAGTCTGGATACACGACCACGTCCAATTCAACAGCAGGGTCAATCGGTAAGTAATACTAACATAGGATATCAATCGACACAACAGCATATTTTGCGAGAGACGCAGCAGCAGAGACTGGTTCGCCCGGGCCAGCAGCCATTTCCTATTTACGACAATGACGAGAATCATTTTGTTTCACCACTCGTCACCCCACACAGACAATCGTTCGACGCCGGATGTTCAAATCCATATGAAGTGCAAGGTCATCAACATTCATATTCATATTCCGGCCCAATGAACCCAATCATACCAGTCGATCCAAACTTCAATGGGAACAATGAGTTCGACTTCTTCACGACAAACACGGCAATGACACCAACATTCATGGAATTCTTTCAGGATTCCGAGGTACAGAGTGTCCATTCACAACCGAGTTCTGCAAACCACAGCAGAAGATCATCGAGAAGTATTACTGGTGTAATCTTGGATAGGGTTGCTCAATTCGAGAATCTAGCTTTGAAATCACCATCAAGACCAATTACACCTCCGGATGCAAACTCTACCAGTAAGTTGTCATCCTGAGCTTTTCGAAAAATATCTTCTCATTGTTCTAGATTACTTCCCCCCAGCTCCCCTAGAGAGTCCATACGACCGAACCATCAAGCTAGAACACATCCCACAAAGATTTCGTGATGATTACGACACATCTATGGAGGAAACGATCAAACCTAAAAGTAATCAGAGAACCAAGAATGTTTTTGACGACATGAGACGAGAAGCTGAGATGAAAGCCGAACCTGCCCCACTAGGATCAGGACCCATGCCCAGTGCCAGCACATTTGACTCCGCACCGATGCCAACATCGAATTTCATGAATATGTCAACTATTAACCTCGATTTTATGAAAAATGATCCACAATTTCAAGCGGCACAATACTCACCGACTTCTTCTAATGTTTCACAAGATCTATCATATCCCTCATCTCCAGAACAATCTCGAAGAAATGTTTTCCGAGATCCTTTCACAAACAGACCTATCTTGGAAGCGCCAGACATATCGCCTTACCCTATGTCTAATTACTCTCACGGTCTTCCTGCTTCGGAGCCAGCTTGTAGTTCCCCTGCTCAATCCTATCGACGATCCGAGTCAGTCTCGAGTATCAACCTCGAAGAGTCAATCACCGATACGGGAATTACCATTGATGATATCGCTACCTACATTCAAGCACCGGAACCTGGCGATACAAAGTGGCTCTGCTTGTATCCAGAATGTGGTAAGCGATTTGGTCGAAAGGAAAATATCAAGTCACATGTTCAGACCCATCTTGGGGATAGACAATTTCAATGTCCACATTGCCACAAATGTTTTGTGCGCCAACATGATCTCAAACGACACGCAAAGATTCACACTGGTGTAAAACCTTATCCATGTCAATGTGGAAATAGTTTTGCTAGACATGATGCTTTGACTCGCCACAGACAACGCGGGATGTGTATTGGTGCTTTCGAAGGTGTGGTAAAGAAGACAGTAAAGAGAGGTAGACCAAGGAAGAATCGGCCTGACGATGAAGAACGTGTTGAAAAGGCATCACGCACTCGAAGCAAAAACAAGACGAGTCCTTCAGACACATCGTCATCAGAATACTCGGAAAGTGCCTGCGCCCAATCACCTCGTAGCGATCTAGATATCCTTGATGATAGGCCGTTTGGAGACTATGGCTTCTCTCAAAGCTCTCTCGCCACACACGATAGCTATCAATTCTCTAGAGAAAGGTCCTCTTCGGTAGCCGCATCAATATCTTCAATTTCCTCAATGACATCAATTGCCGAATGCGTAGAACCAAATTCAATACAATCAACGCATGCGCCAAATGGATTTCGGACTCGACTCAACTTTCCTGAACATCTTCGATCAAACTCTAGATCACCCACCAAATCTGCAAATAGCAATTATTCACCGCCTGCTTTATGCCAGTCATCTTCCTCGCCCACGGCTAGCGCCAATCAATATGACCTAGATGCCGTTTCAAATAGTGGCGAACTCAGTAATCTGCCAAATATTACAGAGCAAGATGATATGTTCTTGGAGGCTTTTGCTGTCACAGGAAGTACCAGCATTACCCAACTCGAACGTGATCCAGATCTTTTGATAGGAAAATTCGATAGTATGTTTGGCGTAGCAGCTGATAATTCTGGCATGTTCAGGAATGAAGAGGATGTCTTCTTTGGCAGCCCGTGAGAGAATATTGGGATATTTCTTCCAACTTCTTTGGATTGAAACTGTACACTAGAGGGCGTGGAATTTTAGGATCGGACAAAATAGGATGGTTTGGATGGGTGTAGGATTTAGGAAATCTTTGGGTTGGATGGGGGTTGTTCATCTACCCATTCTTTTTAGGCGTTGTTTATATGTGTGTGTTTTTTGCATTTAGTTTTGATTTATTGATTTTATTTGATTATGAGAATAAGAAATGAGAATGGACGGGGATAGGGTGATGAGGTGATGAGATGGTCTGGGGGTAAGGATGCACAGGACAGTGCTAAGTAATAACAATTGCACGCGGAATATTTATTGTTAACGTCTTTTTCATGGCGTCTTTTTTTGAATTTGTAGATGTGAATGGGTGTTGTGATGATGAATTTGTTGGTTTGTCACGTTGTATTGTATGTCTGGGGAAAAGTTGTGGTTTGATTGTTCTTTGATGTATTATTCTTTGATATATTGTTATTTGATATATTGTTATTTGATATATTGTTATTTGATATATTGTTATTTGATATATTATTTAATATCTTCCAAGGTTGTTATTTGATATCTGTTTAACCCATGACCTCGGTTCACTTGCTCGGTTACTTGCTTAACTTGCGTTCTTGGTTTTGGGGGGATTTTAATTTACTTTTGGATTTAGGGTTTAAGTTTGGAGTTGAGTTTAGGGTTGATATTAATGTTGATGTTGATGTTGATGTTGATGTTGATGTTGATGTTGATGTTGATTGATATTTAATTTTAAAGTTGATTGGAGTTTTTGATGTGAATAGATGGGAGAATGAATGAGAGGAGAAGAGAGAGGATGAATGAGAGAATGGATAAAAGGAAAGAATGGATAACTGAATAACTAGATAGATGAATAAATGAATAAATGAATAATAGATAGATGAATAAATGAATAAATAGATGAATAGATAAGAGAATAGAAGGATATGAGGATTGTGCGAGGATGTGAGGATGGATGAGAGGATGGATGAGAGGATGAGAGGGTAAGGTATTGTGTGGAGGGGAGGGATGGAAGAGGGGAATGGAAGAGAGCAAAGAAGAGAGAGAAGAGAGAGAGAGAGAGAAAGAGAGAGAGAGAGAGAAGAGAGAGAAGAGAGGAGATGATGCTTTTTCTGTATTGTAGGTTGTATAGGGGTAATGGAGTTTGTTTTGTATTTTGTATTTCTGTTTGAATAGATGTGCGTGCTGTGTATAGTAAGCAAATTTGAGTGCGAGGGGTGGAGGGGTGGAGGGTGGTGGTATTGGAATTACAAGGATTTTCTTTGGATGGGGTTTATATGGATGTTGTATATATGGATTTGTCTATATGGATGGATATTTTATAATAGTGGAAGGGTAGGGTGTGAGGTGTGTGAGAGATAAAATGATGTGGAGGGAAGATATAAAAGAGATTTTTTTGAAGAACTTTGAAAGGGATTCATTGGGAGATGGGATTTTATGGGATTGTGTAATGATTGTATGGGATTGGTGATGGTATGGGGGTATGGGGGTATGGGGATACGGTAATACAGGGCTATAAGGGGATTATTAGATTGAAGTTCGTAGTCTGGAGTCTGGAATACTGATATATTATTCTTGTTTTCGCTTTTATTCTGGGCCTACTAATATAAATTTGAGATTTCATATACAAAATCGAGGATTTAGAATGTAGAATACAGAATGTAGAATGTAGAATATGGTATTAACATATAACAGGATATGAAAAGATTGATATTGGACTCAGATGATTTCATTGTACATTAACAAGTAGACTTAATTTCCAGAATTGACAAGCTATTGAGCTTGAAAGTTAAGGGATGTAGCTTTTCTATTTTATGTGTTTGTATTTGTGCAAGTGCTGGGTATAGAACTCTAGTTAGATGTAGATGATATGTTATGATATGATATGATCTGATAGGGGAAAATCGAATTCGTGGTGGTGGAATTGGAGGTGGAAGTTATGAGGTTTGTTTGATTGATGTTTATATAGTTATTCAAGGAAGAGAGGTTGGGGAAGAATCGAGATTTTGGGGGAATGTTGTCGAGAGCTGGGATATTGGTAGCAGGATAATGGTGGATTGTTGTTACAAGGAGAAGAGGGGAAACGGGAAGAAGAGAAGGGGAAGAAGAGCGTGTTTGGATTGTTTTGGGGTGTGTTGTTGCTTGATGATATGGATATGTTTGATATTTATGCTTATGCTTGTTCGTTGGAATATAGTAGATACTTGAAGATGATAGGGATTGATTTAGGATCAGCAGGTCTGTGATTATGCTTAGTCGAGGATATAGATTCCAGAGGCAATTTCTGGGGAGGGAACTATTGGGTTTGATTTGATGGGGAAATTTTGATGACTTCAATGCTTGAAAAATAATGAGCGTCTGGGTATTTTGGTGGAAGTCTTGCCGGTGCTATTCTTTTTATAGGCTTTTTTTAACTGGGGGTAGATTAGTCGGGGAGGGCGAGCGCGAATGGGTGATTCGCTTACGTGGTTCGAAATAGGAGAAGGAAGGATTGGGCGAGATGGTGATTTCTGATAGTGGATTTATTGAATGCGTTATTGGTAGATGTCTGGTCTCTACTACGGTCTAGAATAGAGATCATACTCTCGTACTCGATATTCAGATGATTGAGAACGAGACTTTGAAGAGTCTAGTTGGTATCAAGATATTAGAGAAACTAAATCTCAGTAGATAACTATACCCAGTTGAGGCCTTGTATCGAGAGAATGTGCAAGAGATTTTCTAGGGGAACAGGATGTTTTCGGCAAGAGGGTTACTTTTCTAGATTGTTTGAAAAGTGAAATGGGATTCGGAGATGATTGTGAGGACATTTGGTTTAATGGGGGTCTTACTGATTGTTGGGGGTCAGGGAATGAGATACATCTACAATTGTGACTGGAATGGATCCGAGATGAAGCCTCATGATTACTGGAACTTGGGAAAGATGGTTAGGAGAGGCTCTGTGGTGAGCGGGAAATTGGGAATGAATGTGGGAAAGGATAATGAGTGTGAGAATGAAATTTCGTGGTGGGGAAGTCATGGAAGTTGAATGGGTGGTCTGGCTATTGTAGTAGATCGTGATAGTGATGAGAGTTAGACTTTCGTTCCTGTGAGCTGTGATTCTGGAGACTGTAGTTGTGAAAATTGTGGAACTTTGCATGTGGAGATGGAGGGTCCAGATTGAATTTGATAGATTTTAGATTTGACAGATCGCGAGTATATATGCTCTTTTGCTTTTCTGTTGTGTTTGGTAGGAAGACGTGCTAGTACCGTGGTTGCGCTTTTCATCTATACATGCTAGGAAGATGGTAAGTATGTTATTCATCTTACTTAATCTCATCCTCATTCACTCCCAACAAAGATCCTATGCTTGGCGCACTTACCGATCTCTCGTTTGGGATTTTGATGAGTATTATGACCCTGAAGTTTGAATTATGTTGAAGTCGTAGTGGTTAATCCCAAATTCATCTTAATGACTTTTTGGTTATCGCGCACACTTTTCACTACATTCTGTGACTTCTCGATCCTTTAATTATAGGACGGGTTTGTTTCTTGATATTTTATAATTCACTTGTGTTGATCGAGATTACGAAATTCACTTCTTGTAGCTTTTTGGAATGAGCAATGTGGTACGGTAACGCTTATTTATTTATCCCACATAATTTTTGCATTCCCTGTGGTGGCAAAGTTAATATTCCGGACGAAGATAAATTCAATATAAATCCCTATACAAATTTCTATTTCGTATATTATAATATTGATATATATATTTATTAGTAATGAATAGAGCTTTTTGTTATTAATAAATCAAATTGGTTCTTTTTGTGATTTGTTTATTATTGAATTTTGATAAAAAGAATGAAAATATAGTTATAAAGTTGATTGTTTTTGAATTTAATTATAAATAAATATAAAAGTAATATTATTATAGTATAAAATATCTTCAATTTTCTAATCAAATAAAGCCTATTTTGTAAAATCAATATTATAAATCTATTTCAATAATTTTCACAATCCCTTATTATTTTTATTCTTTTAATAATATTTTTTATTTCTCTTAATTTTATAATCTTCAATCTATTAAATCTTTTATTAATAGATCTATTAATTATTAAAAAGTTCTATTTCCTATATTTTTGTATAGAATAAAACTCTTATATTATTGTAATCTCTTTTCAATTGTAGTTTTATATAATAATTTGTACCTTTCTATATTACTTTCTAGTTTTTCCTTCTAAATACTATTATATAACATGGTTTATCAGTGGATCGGTCATATCAGTGGATCGGCCACTTTTACCTCGAATTATTATTCTAAAGCTATATTATTCAATAATGATTAAATCAATTAATTGAAATTATAAAGATTTTAATAATCTAGAATCTATTACATTATTTTAATAAGTTCTTGCATTATACCTAGTCTTTTCGTATTTACTATAGCACCAATTAGAAAATACTTTTTTATTAGAATTCCCCCCTTTTTTAATATTTATTATATTGAATTTAAACATCAATCTCTTACTAAAATAATATATCTTCAACTTCTTATTTAATAAGTATTTCTTTATTATATAATTAAATCTTTTTAGCACATTAATATTTACTTAATACCTTATTTGTTTTTCAAAGTATATAATTCTTTATATTTAAAAGTATATTCTTATAAGCTAATCTCTTTATACCTTTAATTAGAGCTAATATAATCTCAAATATAGGTGTAGAAAAGTTTAATTAATAATAAGCTATTTGAGATTTTATTAGAATTGATTATAAAAGAGTTTCAATTAGATTATAAGGTATTTAAAAGATTCAAATATTTGAATTAATAAATGAAGAAATAAATGTATAAATTTGAATATCTAATTTCGAGAGTATAGCTTAAGGATTAAATAATATTAAATCTATTTCTTAAAAACTAGTTTTTATATTCTAAACTGTAATTGATTATTAATATATAGCTTTAAAAATTATAAGGAATTCAATCTTAATAATATAATTGATATGAGCTTTAATAAATTTATTAATTTAATAATTATATACCCGTTTCAATATACTAAAATAGTCAATATTAAATAATTGAATTAAATAACTTGAATATAATAGTAATTTGATTACTATAATATTATTTGACTTATAATATAATTGAAAAGGTATTGATTTATAACTTTTGTATTCACTTAATATTAGTATTTGATATTTGTTTTTTGTTTAATAAACTATATACTTATCAAAATGCTTTAGCTATTCTAATTCTGTTTTATTATTCATTCATTCATTAGAAATAGTTTTGATAATCCAATCTATAGGAAAACCACTTTCTATATATTAATTAAAAAGATAATATTATCCTTATATAATTAAAAATGATAATATAATTTCCCCCTTTTTATTACCATATATAATTGTTATAGCCTATTCTTTATTATTTAATTATATTATCTTACTTTTGTTATTTTGTTTAATATTAATTATTATTATTTCGGGATATATTATATTTATTATAAAGCCAGTTTTATTGAAATTATAGAAATTATAG